AGGAAAGGAAAGGAAAGGACAGGACAGGACAGGACAGGGAAGGGAAGGGAAGGACAGGACAGGACAGGACAGGACAGGACAGGACAGGGAAGGACAGGACAGGGAAGGACAGGACAGGGAAGGGAAGGGAAGGACAGGACAGGACAGGACAGGACAGGACAGGACAGGACAGGACAGGACAGGACAGGGAAGGACAGGACAGGGAAGGGAAGGGAAGGACAGGACAGGACAGGACAGGACAGGACAGGACAGGACAGGGAAGGACAGGACAGGGAAGGGAAGGACAGGACAGGACAGGGAAGGACAGGACAGGACAGGACAGGACAGGACAGGAGAGGGAAGGACAGGACAGGGAAGGGAAGGGAAGGGAAGGACAGGACAGGACAGGGAAGGGAAGGGAAGGACAGGACAGGACAGGACAGGACAGGACAGGACAGGGAAGGACAGGACAGGGAAGGGAAGGACAGGACAGGACAGGACAGGGAAGGGAAGGGAAGGGAAGGGAAGGGAAGGGAAGGGAAGGGAAGGGAAGGGAAGGGAAGGACAGGACAGGACAGGACAGGACAGGACAGGACAGGACAGGACAGGACAGGACAGGACAGGACAGGACAGAAGACTGATGACTGGGTCTGGTATAGTGGTGCACGCCTTTATCCCAGCACTCTGGGGAGGCAGGGGCAGGTGGCTTTCTCTGAGTTCAAGGCCAGCCTGGACTATCTATCAAGCTTCAGGCCTGCAGGGCTATGCAGTGAGACCTGTTAAAAAGAACACGGTTGGGGGCTGGAGAGATGGCTCAGAGGTTAAGAGCACTGACTGCTCTTCCAGAGGTCCTGAGTTCAATTCCCAGCAACCACATGGTGGCTCACAACCATCTACAATTCAATCTGGTGCCCTCTTCTGGCATGGAGACAGAACACTGTATATGTAATAAATAAAGAGATCTTAAAAACCTATACTGTAAAACCTATACTGGCATTCTAAGCCTCCAAATGTAATAAATCTGCAATGGGCTATGGCTTTAACTCAGTGCTTGCATGAAGTCCTGGATTTGAGCACTATCATAACACAAAACTGAGCAGGCAGGGCACACCTGTCATCCTAGCACTTGGAGTTAAGTTGAGGATCAGAAATTCATCGTCATCCACAGGTATACATGGAGTTCAAAGCCAGCATCAAAATAACTACACACATAAATAAATATGTGTTGTTCCCCAGCCGTAGGCTTCAGGTAAGACATCATGGCAGCAGTAGAAACAGACACAAAGGATGATTATTGTTGAGTGGTGAATTAAGCCAGGAAGGCCCCAGGTCTATGGAACAGGCAAGCAGATCACTCTCCACCTTGTTTTCTGAAACATGGTCTTTCACTAAAGCTGTGTAGTTCATGGATTTGGCTAGACTTAATGGTCAATGAGGAGCAAGGATCTGCAGGCGTGCCCCCACCCCCAGTTACAGACATATTCTGGCACCTGGCATTTATATGGGTGCCCATTAGGCACTTTATCAACTGAGTCGCCTCCCTAGCCCCAGTGTTAAAACTTTTTTTTTCTTACAGCAGTGCTTACTTAGTGAAGAACTAAAAACCTTTGAAATTGGACTAAATATTTATGGAAATTACCTGTAAAGGTTCTTAAGACTACATAGATCAATATAAAAAATAACTGGAATGGCCATGACCCAAGTATGGCATCATCTTTTATAATGTTTTATAAGATAATTACACGTGCACACACAGTCCATGGAAACCAAAAGGTCAACAAAAACAAAACTATATTCATGACTGAATTCTTACTGCTTTTTGACTAATTGCATACCTTACCTAACAAGCCAGCTTAGGCTGGATCTTAGTAAGATCCTGTTTAACATAAACAAAAATTAGATTTGTTGATTGGTTGTAAATCAAACCACCATTGGTGTGCTGAAGCTTAGCTTGGCAATGAAACACAATAGACAAAAAGCATCATGCACCAGGATATAGCAAGTAGTGTACTGTGAAATGCTTGCTTCAGCTGCCTACAAGGAGATATGCTTGAGTTACATAAGACCCTATCTAGAAACAGAAACAACTGTTCAAAATATTTATATATTAGCTTATTGTGTATGGTGTTAGAGATCAAGCATGAGACTCTATATAAGATGTATCCACAGCCCTGAGAATGTTTAATTAAAAACTTAGAAATCTTTAACACTTAATGTTAAAAAATTGTAAGTTGCTTATCCTGTCTGTCCTGGAACTCACAGAGATCCATTTGCCTCTGCTACCTGAGTGTGTGCTATCAAAGCACAGCTTATCCTTTGGGTTTTAACTGAGTAGTTGTGGAAACAATTTATACACATTTAGCAAAACATTAACTACTTACTATTTGGTGAACTGTTCATTTACTAAACTTATTACATTAACAGACTAAGTACTAAAAATGAACATATAATGCACAAAAGATTATATGCCTTTTGGTGGGCTGGATGGTTGCTCTTTCAGACAGCCTAGGCTTGATTCCTAGCATCTAAATGGCAGCTTGTAACATTTCTAACTCCAATTCTGGAGATCCAATGCTCTTTTCTGGTTTTCATGGGCACTGCATCTATGCAGACAACACACACACACACACACACACACACACACACACACACACACACACACACACACACACACACACACACAGAGGTTATAGGCTTTTCCTTTTACACCAAGGAATGGGGCCAGGAATGTGGTTGTGTATGCCTCTAATTCCAGCACCAGTGAGACTGAGTCTAAAGCACCCTAATTTGAAGCCAGCTTGGGCTACATGAGACTATGCCGCAAAACAAACAAACAAATAAATAAATACATTTTAGGAAAAAGATGTCAAAAAGTTGGGTGGTGGTGGCGCACGCCTTTAATCCCAGCACTAAAGAGGCAGAGGCAGGCAGATTTCTGTGACTTCAAGATCAGCCTGGTCTACAGAGTTTCAGGACAGACAGGACTACACAATGAAACCTTGTCTTGAAAACAAAACAAAAAGAGAAGATGTCAAAGATATGTTTTCATCCTGCTTCAGGCCTTGAGACTTGGTCCTAGAATGACCTAGCAGTGCCTGAGCTGCATCTTGACACCTAGAGACAGATATTAGGAATGTGTTAGGTGGAGGCAGGGTACTGGAGCTGCTATAGAGGTACTGGTGCATCTCAATACCTAGAGACAGATGCTGAGGGATTGCTGGTGGAGGTAGGGTACCGGAACAGTCTCGGTCTGAAAAGCCTCTTACTGGAGATTGATTGATTTATGGTGTGTGTGTGTGTGTGTGTGTGTGTGTGTGTGTGTGTGTGTGTGTGAATGTGGTTCTATATGTGCCACGAAGCCCATGTGATGGTCAGAGGATAATTTTCTGGAATAGGTCTCAATGGCTTCTTGCTGAGGCAGGGTCATTCTTGTTTCTGTTGTTATGCTGCATATTCTAGGCTAGCAACCCACCAATTTCTGGGCTCTGCTACCATCTCACTGAAGGAATCCTGGAATTACAGATGCATGGTAACATAGCTACCTTAGTCCATGGTGTCAGGGATTGAACCTGGTCAGCATGCTTGTACAGACAGTGCTTTCACCTGCTGAAACATCTCCCTAGCCTCCACTGTGTAGCCCATGTCTTCCAGGGCTTTCAGCCTTGCTGCCCTTGGCGATCTCCTGCTGATGTACTCTAATGGCATCAAGATTCTGCCTTAACTGCCTTGGGTATAGTCTAGAGGGAGCGTATTAAGAAGTGCACAGGTTGTTCTAATGTATAACTAAGAAAGGTAACCACTGATGAGCTGACTCTGTCAACTATGCCTCTACTACCCTACCTCTTACAATGGTTATTCGTAATTCTTCTACTACTAAGACTAGGTTATAGTTTACCTTACCAACAATGGATGTAGCCCTTAATTCACTGACTAGAAGTGCCTACTGTCTCCAAAAACAAATAAAGGAGGCTGTACATGGTGGCACACACCTTTAATTCTAGTACTTGGGAAGTAGAATCAGGCAGATCTCTGTGAGTTCAAGGCCAGCTTGGTCTATACAGTGAGCTTCAAGTCAGTTAATGACATCTTGTACTCTCTCTCTCTCTTTCTCTCCCGCTCCCCCCCCGTGGCCCCAGCCCCTCTAGAGACTAGAGAAGAGATGGCTCAAGGGTTAGGACTCTACTAGCGTCCTCAGCGTCTACATGGTGGCTCTCAACCCTTTCTAACTCCAGGACCAAGGGATCTGATGCCCCCTTCTGGACTCTGCAGGCATGTGCATTGTGCACACAAATCCACACAGGCAAAAACACCCATATACATAAAATAATTTAAAAATGTGTCTCGTTCTCAGCACAGTATAATGCCCACTCCATACACAGCCCACAGGAAGCAGAGCAAATGACCCTACAAGAGACACACATCTCCCATCCCACTTCTGAGCATATGTTCCTCATATCCTCCAGTGGGTGGAATCACCCACACCACTTAGACCTTTTTTGGTCAAGGATTTAGGGCTGATTTCATGTGACGTGTTGTCAGAACAATTACATCCAGTCCAAATGGGTTTCTTCTTCCTCTCCCTGCCTCATAAGCAGCTGGCCAGTCTTTCTCCCACAGACCTCCCTTTCAGGGGCTACAAAACGAGCCTATGTCTCCAGGTCTCTATCCTTGGCATTTCTCATCAACTCTTCTCCCCAGGGCTTCTGACTCTACTCAGAACTCCTGGGTCTGTAATAAGATGGTGGAACTTCCACAACTGGAGGAGATATGGTCTGAGAGATTCTCCTATATGCACTTCTCTCTGCACAAGAAAAGGAACTCATCCAGGGAGCTGGGCTTGCAGGGCACAAATGGATACAATAAATGTGCAATAGGTTGTTTTTTTGAAATCATGAATGGTACTTCTGCTACCTTATAAGGGACCCTCTAACCTCTAAGATATACCCCAAAGTTTAGATTTCACCTGCTTATCTGGGGGACGCCAGGCCAGGCCTTTGACATCAAGTCACAGGAAGCTCAGCAGTGCTCAGAGGTCTTTAATCCCCAACTTTCTGGTCAGATGCCATCCCTGCCCCAGGAAGGCAGGGAAGGACAGTGATGTATGTAGGCCACATGATACACTCAAGTGTGGGCTGGAGTCAGACTGAAGCCTGGGCAGGAAGGTCCTGGCCCCAGGAGATGAGGGAGTTGCTGGCCTGGGCAAGCTCAGTGATGGACACCCGGCCCCGCTGTCTGATGAAATTGGCCATGGCAGTCAGTTCCTCTGGGGTTATGTAGATGAACTTGCCCCGGTCGTCAATCACACCTGTAGGGACATGCACATTGCAGGACTGAGTCCTCCCGGGCCTTCCCTACCTAACCTGAAAATGCCCATTCCCTTACAACGGATTTAGAGCCTTTTGGTTCTTCTGTCAGCCTGGCTCTTCCTGGGTATATCAAATCCCATGTAGGTGAGTCACACCAATCCTTTCTTCATATTCCTCATTCTAGCTAGGCCGAGGCCTCTATATGTCTTCCTCAGTATCCCTCATTACATATCCCTCCCAACCTGGAGAAGCCAAGCTGCTCTTGGAACAAGTCCCAGCAGCCTTTTGAGGTCACACACTCCCCTCGGCAATTTCTCACCTGTCAGAGTCCCCTCGGTGAGTAGGTCTTGAATGCGGTTTATGGTGTCCTATGAGGAAAACAAGACTCAGAGCTTGTCTTGGGGTCCCCAAGACACAAACCCATCACCCTTCTACTACTACAGTCAAATTTCCCCCTCTCCTTATCATGCTTGTCCCCTGGTTGTGACCATGCTTCCCTTTGGAGGGACTCTTGAGTGGAGTGACTGTGATCCTAGGATCTGCCAGCTATTTTTCAGCTGGAAAAGGAGTTGTCTGGCTGCAAAATAACCTGCTTGCAAGAGGTAACTGGATTTGGGCTCCTTTGGTTACAGGGAAGGCTAAGGTAATGGCATTTGAATTTCCTTTTTCTTTCCTGTTCTTTTCATCTCTGTAGAAGTGCAGGATTCCTGAAATGTGCTGTTCACTCTTGGGTGGAGATAGCCTGGAGAGGCATCACAACTTACCATAATCAGGCCAGCCCCCTACTTGCCACACAGACCCTCTAGCTGTATCCCACATCCTAATCCATGGTCCAGGGCTTACCTGAGTCCTCAGACCCATCTGGAAAGCCAGATCTTCCAAAAGCACAACCTTGGACTGCTATAAATAAAAGGGAGAAGAGACAGGCTGAGACCACTTGGCCAGCTCTAAGCCAGAGAGGTGCCCTGCCTGCCTACCTGCCTGCCTTCCAGGGTTTCTCTGTGTAGCTTTGGAGCCTGTACTGGAACTCACTCTGTAGACCAGGCTGGCCTCAAACTCACAGAGATCCTCCTGCCTCTGCCTCCCGAGTGCTGGGATTAAAGGCGTGCACCAACACCCTCTTCATACTGTCTGAGGTATTACCCCTCTCACCGGGATTGGTCAAATAATTACCACTAGGGCTGGCAAGATGGCTGTCAGTCAAGTGCTTGTGTGCTAATTCCCAGAACTCACATAAAGATGCTGGGTGTAACTGGCAGAGGTGGAGGCAGAGGCAGATGGATCTCTGGGAGTTCGTATCTACATAGTGAGAACCTGTCTCAAAAAAAAACCAAATAGCTGAGTGTGATGACATTATGAAAAGCAGAGGCAGGGAGATTATTGGGGCTCACTGGTCAGCCAGTGTGACCTGCTCGGTGAGTCCCAGGCCAGTGAGCGACTGCACATCACCCTTCTCCTTGCAAAGGATATAAATAAAATTTAAAAAAGGTGGTGGACATTACCTGAAGAACAAACAATACTAGAAGTCCCCCACATATGTGCATATCTATGTATACACACCAGTACACAGGAGCACCCACACATATACAAACACACAAAGGAACCATATTAAAGTGGAGAAAGTGCTTCCTGCATGCAGTCCTATGCCATGTTTCATGAGCTGCTCTCACATCCTCAGGAAAAGCTTCAGCTCCCAGCAGCTCAGTCAAGGAGTCACAGCTGGGTCTACACATGCAGCTGCCCCCACCTTTGCCACATATAGCATATGCTTTGAGAGAAGGCGGTCCCTTGCATTTCCGTGAATCTTCCACAGCAAATGAGCTGGGGGAGTAATGACATGGTGACGCCTCCTCAGCTACACATGGCATATGACTTGTTGGAATGCCAAACTCCATGTGAAAGCAGGGGCACGGGGTAAGGGTCGGAAAGGTTGGGGAGGGTACAATCAAGAGGCAGCTGGATCAGGGATGGGGCAAACACAAGGTGACCTGGCCAGCAGCTTCTACCTACAAAACAGACCAAGCACTAGGCCTCAGTAGCAGCTTGGAGCAGGAACACAGCCACCTCCTGTGGTGCCTGGTCCCTGAGGATCTGGTCTGAGGGTACTACCAAGGTCAAAAGTGTATTTGAACAAACAGATACACCTAGCCACGGTAGAAAGTGGAATAGACATTCTTACTGTTCATGTGAAGCAAGCTGTGTGCAGACACCTTCCTCTGGTTCTGAAGTTCTGTCTAGAGGGCCTAATCCCTTGGAGTGTGGAAGAAAGTGGATGGGATGAGTTTCAGAGGTCTCCTCCTTCCTCTAAGATGGTAGCTCCACGGGCATAAGTTAGCACAGGCCGAACAAACTCCTAAGCTCCAAGAGTTTGGAGACCATCAAGAATGGTGTGATGGTAGCGCACGCCTTTAATCCTAGTACTCAGGAGGCAGAGGCAGGCAGATCTTAGAGTTTGAGGTCAGCCTGGACTACAAAGTGAGTTCCAGCACAGACAGAATTACACAGAGAAACTATCTGGAACAACAAAAACAATAACAACAACAAAGAAAAGGAACCTCCAGGGAGCCACCAAAGCAAGAGTCAGACCTACCTGGAAACTCCCTTCTGGCCTCTGAAGAAAAGAGGGCAACCCTGAAGCTGACCTCCAAATCTACCTGGGAGGCCTCGTGAAGGAAGTGCTGCTTCCCCCTGTGTAGGTAGGGATAGCAAGTCCTCAACAACAGCAGGACAGTGTGCCAGGGTAGAGTTGGGCTTCCTCAAGGGGGAAGGCGTACAATCTAAGTGTAAAGGGCCCTCTGGAAGATCCTGGGCCCTAGACATGTGCCTAGCCCCTCACTGTTGTGGGGAGACATCTAAACCCTGCTCTCTTTTAGAAGAGGTGGGGGAGGATTATGCAAGCCCCAGCTTCTTGGCAGCCCCTGATACCACCTCCACCATCGCCCCCGCTCCCTCTGCACTCCTTCCCTCAGCTGCCTCTGCACCTCTGAGCTGCACTTGAAAACCTCTCCCCTTCTCGCATCCTTTGTGGGAGAGAAGTTGCTTAGCAGCAAAGCAGATCAGGATGTGCTTACACAATGCAGAGCAGCATCGGGGCAGCCTGTGAAGTGGCTATGGACAGAGGGACACTGCTGACTGCTCTAGGTTACAATGGAAACATCATCCTATTTCTTCTTGAAGGTGCAAGTTCCCAGGCAGGACCACAGAGCACAGGACATTTGTTCCAACTCAGTGGCACCTCAGTGTGACAGCACTGACAGAAAACACATGTGAACTGACTTCAAAACATGATGACTCATTGAGCGTGGGGTCTGAAGAGCAGAGGAACTGTCAAACCAAGAATTAGGAAGCCATCAGAAGCTTGCACCTCCCACACACACCACTGTCCTTCTCTACCTTCTGGGTGTGAAGGGAAGGGACTTTCCTGGCCAAGAACCAGTCGCTGGACCCCATGCCCATTCTGATCCAGGACTAAATGAAACATCCCCCGTGGGTCCTGAGAACATCTACAAAACACACATAGACACTTATGCACACTCACATGGCAGGAGAAGATGCCAGGGTTCTCTGAGCCTCTTACCTTAATGTAATTGATGAATTCTGTCAGGAAGCTGTGAGACTAGAAGGCAGAGAAACCAGTGAACATCACCCCTGGCTGGAGGGACACAGTTCTGTGCCTGGCCCTAAGTGTCTATACTCCCTGCTTACCTACATGCTGCCTGCTTGCAGCCTGCCCTGTGTCCCCACCCCGTCACCTCCCAGACTAAGGGACAATGGGACAATAGTCTCTGCTGAGATCAAGGCTGGCTACAGTCACACTCACGGGCACCCAACTGCTTCTCAGTGCACAGCCAGAGTGTCTTAGGTGGAGCGGATGGCCTTGGATCTAACACACGCTATACTTTTGGCACAGGTTTCCCAGGGTTTCCCAGGAGTGATGGGCCCACCTGCTCCTCAGTCATGGTTTCGCTAACGCCTTCCTCTTCTACCACGAAGGCCTCCTTCAGTTTTAGGTACTCCTCATGCTCCCGCCGGGCCTGCTCCTCCCGAGCTTTTCTCTCTTCCTCCTCCTGTGGACACAGAGAACAAAGAGGCAGGTATTTGGGGCAGCTGCCCACTCACATCTGTTCCAGTTTCAGCTGTCTCTGCAGGACACAAGCAAATACAATCTAGAGAAAGTGCTTCTGCAAGACTTCCATTTCACCCTTTGGTCTCAAGCTAAACAACTGGCGGAGGCTTCCTCACCAACCCGACCACCCAGGCAATGCTGCTCAGACCCTGCTCCTGTCTGTTGCTCAGGAGGTAATGTAGGAAAAAAAAAAAAGTCTTGAAAACACTGCCACAACTTCTCCTTGGTCATGTCCAGATATAAACAAACAGCAGATTCTGCTTCCTACTACCCATTCACCCAGCCAGTCCACTACAGCCTGACTTGTGAATCACCTAAGTAGACAGCCTCACTTGAAGAACTGCCCTGACCGCCTTGATGGATGTGCGAAGGCCCGCCTCCCAGTAGCAGCCCAGATAAAAGAGCATCAAAGGAGATTATCTCGCCTTTTTCTCAGCCAGTGTCTTTGTTCACCTCTCTCTCTTGCCCCTGGAGGCCAAAAGTGGACATCAGAACCTCCTGAGCTGGAGTTACCCCAGTGTTTGTGCGCCACTTTATAAGGGTGCTGGGATCCAAACTCTGCTCCTCCAATAAAGCAGTAAACATCCTTCCCACTGACCCATCTCTCTAGATTCAACTCTCCATTTCCTAAACGAAGCAGAACAGTGACTTATTTCCAACAAGTATGAGAGATGGGGGGAAATAGTAAAAGGAAAAGCAGACAGTAATAGTTCAACAGTGGAACACTTCCCTGGAATGCACAGGCCGTGATCAATATTCAGTACTGGAAACAAAACAAAAACAAAACCTAACCCCACTCTAACCAAAGATAGACACCAGTCATTCCAGCACTCCAAAGGCAGAGGCAAGCAGAGTGCCACAAGTTTGAGGCCAGCCTCTGCTACACAGAGTTGAGGTCTGCCTTTACATAGTAAGACCATCTCAAAAAAAAAAAAAACAAATTAATTGATTAAAAATAAAAATCAGGCTGGAGTGACAGCTCAACAGTTAAAAGCAGTGGCTGTTCTTTTAGAGGACTCAAGTTTGGTTGTCGGCATCTATACGATGGCCCTTATTTTTTAATCTAAAATAATAAATAAAATAAGTAAAATAAAAATAAAAATCATTCAATCCAAATCAAGGTACAACCTACAACTACTTTCCCAGTGCCCCTCAAAGCTATCAAGAGGGTAAACAGGAAAACCTGACAAATTCCACAGAGGCCTAAGACTTGACAAGTAAATGAAACAGTACGTTATATATGACCCTGCAAGAGAAAAATACTTGGGCTGGAGAGATGGCTCAGCAGTTACGAGCAGTGGCAGCTCTTCCAGAGGACCTGGGACTGATTCCCAGAATCCACATGGTGGCTCAAAACATTCTATAACTACAGTTCCAGAGGAATCTGGCGCCTCATCTGGCCTCCAAGCATATAAGCAAGCAAAACACCCATATATATAAAATAAAAGTAAACAGAAAAAAAAAATACTAGGGCTGAGATGTATGTAGCTCAGTTGGTAGGGTCTTTGCACAACAAGCATGAAGCCCTATGTTCAATTCCCATCTAAACCAGACATAATAGTACACGCCTCTCCTCTCTGGGCTTGGGGAATAGAAACAGAAGGAAAGGACATCCTTGGTTACACAGCAAGTTCAAATCCAGTCTGTTGACTCAATAAACCAAAAGGAAGAAAAGAAGTCTGAATAAATGGTGACACTTAATTAAGGGTGTGTTACTACTGCTTTGAGAAATGTACCAGTATCTTACAGTAGGGGTTAACTGCTGAGAAACCTAACACAGGGAGAAAGCCAGAACACCAGAGGCACATTAGGCATGATCACTACTCAAAGGTAAAGAACTTTCTCTGCTCCTGCCTCCCGCTGCCACTCCTCCAGGTCCAGGCTTCCTCCAGACACAGAGTTCAGCAACAAGGCCACCTAGAGGCCCTCTTACTTTATGTGCCCTACATGCTTGCACTTCCCCCCTTCTTAGAAACCTGGATCTAGAATAATCTGGATGACAAGGAATCATTAACCACCTTCCTAGGTGGCTCCAGTTCTCCAAGCACCACTCCTATGCCAGGCACTCAATGGATTCATCATCTCTTAAAACTGTGGATAACCAGCTGGGCTGTGGTGGCACACGCCTTTAATTCCAGCACTTGGGAGATAGAGGCAGGAGGATCTCTGTGAGTTCGAGGCCAGCCTGGTCTACAGAGTGAGTTTCAGAACAGGTTCCAAAGCCACACAGAGAAACTCTGTCAAAAAAAAAGAAGAAGGAGGAGAAAAAGAAAGAGACTGAGGATAAGCTCAAGGTCCCTGGGACCTAGGAATGCCCTATTTCTCCACCTCCTTTTCTTTGTCCAGATGCTCTGACCATGTTCAATGTTTCTCAAATGTTCTATACTTTGTAGCTCATGGTCACAAGAATCCCCAGCTCTGGGCTGGAGAGATGGCTCAGAAGTTAAGAGCATTGGTCGTTCTTCCAGAGGACCTGGGTTCCAATCCCAGAACCTACATGGTAGCTCACATCTAACTTCAGTTGTGATGTCCTCTTCTGGCCTCCATGGGCACCAGGCACACACAGAGTGACAGGGTGAACAGACATACATGCAGGCAAAACACCTATACATGTAAAGTTTGTTTTGTTTTGCTTTCTCAGACAAGGTCTCTTTACATAGCTCTGACTGTACTGGAACTCAGATATCTGCCTGCCTCTGACTCCCAAATGCTCCACCATGTCTGTTTAAAAAAAACAAAAAACAATATACATTAAAAAAAAAAAAAAAAGAGCCAGGCGTAATAGCACACACCTTTAGTCCCAACACTCAGGAGGCAGAGACAGGTGGATCTCTGAGTTCAGGGCCAGCCTGGTCTAGAGTTCCAGGACAGCCAGGCCTACACAGAGAAACACTATCATCAATAACAAGAAAAACAAACCTCAGTTCAAACCCATGGTGCTTCTACAGCTGATATTTTGAGGCCAGGGGAAAGAATAAAACAGGGCAAGCCTCTGTGCTGGATTCACAGTTCATTTTCTGTTTTAGAGACAGAAGGTCCAAGCTGACCTTGAACTCAGGTCCTACTTCAGCTTCTCAAGTGCTGGGATTACAGGTATGAGCCACCACCATACCCAGTGCCATGCCTGTCTTGTAGAAGGGAGGCATCTGGGAGCTATGTAGGAGCAAGATTAGGTCATAATGGGTCAGACAACAGTGTCTGGAGTCAATCTCACCTTCTGCTCTTCCTTCAAGCGAAGTCGCTCCTCTTCCTTCTTCCATTCAGCCTCACGTTGGGACTCTAGGCGTTTCCGTTCCTCACGTTCAGCCTCCTCAGCCTGGAGAGAGGTGGATCTAGGTCCTTCTCCCTTTCTTCTGGCTAGTTTGCCCTCCCTGTGCCAGGACATAAGCTAAGACTGCAGGAGAGCAAGCCAGGTAGGCAGTGGCACCAGCCTAGCATTAAAGGACCCCAAGGGCAGTCTGATGGGAACTAAAGGTTGGGCCCTTTCCCACCCTTGGGAATTATACCCCATCCTCTTGCTTGCCTCACGCTGGGCTTTGCGAGCCTGTTTTTCCTCTAGTTTCCGTAATTTCTTGGCTCCAATTTTCCCTGTTGGGTGAGCTTCTGCTGGCTTCTCAACACCTTCTTCTTCCTGGGCTGGGTATGTTCAGGCAGAAAAAAATTAAGTCCTAGACAGAAAAGACATCCTTCCCTCAATCACCTTCCTCCAGGGATGGGGGATGGGGGTGGGGACGGAGTGTGGTACCCACCTCTGCCTTTCAGAAGTATCCACCACAAATGTGCACACACGAGTGTGGGTCTGAGAACACACTCATGTGTACTGGGGGGTAGGCAGGGGTGGAAGGCCACAGGGACAAATAAGACTTTAGGTGCCGCACAGCTGTACGAAGATCTCAACACTTGAATGCCTGTGGATCACAGGTGTCTGCACCTGCAGGCGTCCCTGGTTTCTGTCTCTGTGCTAAACCACCAGGGAAGGATGAACTTGTGGGCAAATTTATTTCAACCATATATTCAACCCTCCATGTTGTAGTCAGGAACCGTTGGGCTCCTTCAACCAGAATCCTCCCTTTATCCTAACAGAGCCAGACTGAAAAAATAACCCCAACCTCAGGGCCACTCCAGGGTCAGCTGAAAATTAATAACATGTTGATGCCCGAGCCTCAAAATGTATGACTGAAATCTGTGACAGGGAGGATGGTGACCAGAGGGCTCTCTGCTGTTGCCGTGTGCTGCTTTTGAAACAGCTGTGTAACCCAGGTTAGCCTGAAACTTGCCATGCTCCCGTCTCTGTCTTCTGAGTGCAGGAATTATAAGCATACACCAAATATCCACTAAAGGACTCTTTTTAAGCCAAAGGGGCTAATAATCCCAAGGCAAAAGTCAAATCAAGGCAAAGTCCCAAATTTGCCTAAATTCTGAGTAAGATCTAACAATCTCGTCTTCATACGAGGCCAGAAAAGAGACATTTTCCCCATAATCCTAAAGACTTCATGAGACCCCCAGCAGCTGGTATGTGGAGATCATGTCAACAGAAATATCTCTATTTCCAAGCACTTATTCTAGGGTTATAGATAATCCCACCGAACCAAGATGATTGCCCCATGGAGTAGGGATTCGGCTAAGAAATGTCAACTCTGAGCAACAAAATGCAGGCCCAAGACTCTGGCCCCACCACTAAATGTCCTTCCTGGCCCTTTTCCAGTCTGGGGGACTTGCTAACCCCTTTAATTCAGCCCTCTCCCCGAGACTGGGCCCTCTCACCTGGGATAACAGCTTCATCCTCGTTCTCATTAACTTCTGCCCAGGCCCCTCGCTGGGCTCGACGCTGGGCCTGTAGACGGCTGCTCAAGTCCCTCCTGCGCCGGGGCCGGCCTCCAGCAGCTCTCTGCTCCTCAGACTCCTGGGGCCAAGGCTGGGCTACCTGGCCTGCTCCAGCCGGCTCTGCCTCATTGAGCAGTGGTTCTCCACTAGCTTCCGGGAGGGAGGAACCACAACACTGTCAAGCAGCCCAGCCTCTTGAGAGTGAAGAAACAGCATCTTGGGAGTTTCCTCCTCCCCTGCTCAACCTCCTAGACTATTGATGCCCACAGCACAGTGTTCCAGCTTTGGTCTGTCAAGGCATTTATTACTCATGCCTCGGTGTCACGCTGCAAGCTTATTTCTTATTTCCTAACCTCTTTAATACCTTTACCTCCTTTCGAAAACTCACTCCTCCTCCCCTCTGCAGGAGACCTGTTAGGATACTCTTGCCCTGAGGGTTACAGGTCTCATTTGATGCCCACTGCAAGATTGCATTTACTTCTTGCAAGCTATAATTTTATAGGGTACTCCATCCAGAGAGCACATTTCACAGTCAGGGTTTGAATCTCCCCTCCCTGGAAGATTTGTTGGCTATCAGCTTTACCTCAGCTTCTCTCTCTTCTGCCCCTGGGGCACAGAGACGCTCTGAAGTAGCCTATAGGCTCAGGCATCAGAGACATAAGAAACTCCTAAGCAAACATGAAGTGTTAGTAAGGAAGACTGACAGGTTACATGTTTTGTGCCAGGCCAACGACATGGCCTTCTGATCCTGGTGGAGGGTAGGGCAGAGAGGAAGATGCCTTCAGTTTTCTGAGGCTGCCTCACCCTGGTAAGTAGAACACACTGGGCAGGATTAGAGAACCTGCAGCCTTTCCTATTGGTATAGAACAGAACCGCGGGCTTGGTTCCCAGGTAGCGTCCCCAGCCCAGGGCTCTTTAGTCCCGAAAGCATCCTCATGCGCGTGTGCAGAGCTGACCCGCGCACGCGCTCCTCGTTAGCACAGCAAGGCACGTCTGGGCATGCGCACCAGTCGCGATGCGAAGGCCTACCCGAGCCCTGGAGCCCTGAGAAACCGGACTCCTTCGGCCCTGGGACGGCGGCACCTCTTACCTGCTGCCGCCCGACCCCGGCTGCGAGTCAGGAAGAAGATAAGCCCGATGAGCAAAACTGCCGCCGCCAGGTACACCCAGGGCCCCACCATGACGACAGACAGCCCGGCAGTAAAGCGGCGCCCCCGCGGGACCCGGATCGCCAGGCCCCGCCCACTACCGTACGCTCTGCCCCGCCGCTCACTGTGCTCCGCCCCCGCCCGTAGATGACCAGGGCCTCAGTTAACCCCGAAGTCCCTGCTGCCGCACGCTCGGGAAGCGGAGATCCGAAGACTAGCATTTCAAGGTCGTCTTTGGCTATGTAGCGACATGGAGGCCAGTCTGCAGTTAAGAGCACAGGCTGCTATTTCAGGGTCCGAGTTCGGATCGCAGCACCTACACGGTGGCTCACAATCTTCTGTGATTTCAATTCACAGGGATCGGATGCCCTCTACAGACCTATATCCTCGAGCACCAAGCACGCACGTTGTACACAGACATACATGCCTGCAAAACACTCATACACATAAAATAAATCATATATAAAAGAGTGGAGGTGGGTAAGTGGCTATCAATTAAGCTGGGGTTATAGGTTGGTTATGTGGTCAAGGCCCTTAGTTTGACCTTGAGCACTGAAGAAATGTTAATGTCTTACTAATACTGCAGCTCAGACATCTATTGTATTTTTTCTGTAAATACTGAATATTTTGTAATTTTTCAATTATTAGGCTAGTGCTGTCACAGTAAGCTGAATCTCTAGTACCTACATTCTTTGTATTTGGAGATTTAAACCCATGCTTTCATGCAGGCAAAGGCTCTGCCATGGAGTTTTATCTCAGCCCAGGCCCCTACATTAGTTGATTTGTTTTGTTCTCAGACAGGGTCTCTGGTAGCCTAGGTTGGCTTGAAACTTGCTGGTAACAGAGGATGGCTTTGAACTCCTGATCCTTTTACTTCAAACTCCCTAGTGCTTGAGTTAGCTGGGATTACAGGCATGTACCCTGATGCCCCAATGCTCCTCCATTTTTTAAAAAGATTTATTTGCTTATTATGTATACAGTGTTCTTCCTCCATGAATGCTTGCATGCCAGATGAGGGCACCAGATCTCATTACTGATGGTTGTGAGCCACCATGTGGTTGCTGGGAATTGAACCCAGGTCCTCTGAAAGAGCCGTCAGTCTCTTAACCACTGAGCCATCTCTCCAGCTCTGCTCCTCCATTTTTTGTTTGTTTGTGGGTGAGTTGTTTTGTTTCTTTGAGACATGGTCTCATAGCCTGGCCTGGCCTAGAACTCACTATGTAGACAAGGCTAGCCTCAAACAGGAATCTGCCTTTCTCTGTCTCAGTTGTAATTAAAGGCATGTGCCACCACAGACTTGGCTGACTCCTGCTTTATTTTTTTAAAAAATACTATTTCATGATGTGTGTATGTGAGTGTAGTATATATGTGGACCAGATACCAGAGGTCACCTTTGCCTTTTAAACCTCATCTACTCCTCCACTTTCCTGAGGGTTCCCTTTGACTTCTTGGAGGAGAAAGACAAGTGCCATGTAGGAAGGGCAGTGTCCTCAACCCAGCCTTTCCCAGTCAACTCTAAGAAGCCACACGTCCTCAGAGAACACCACCATCGGAGGCCAGTGAAGGGGAAGCTTTATGATCTGCCTCCAAGGACACAGTATACATCAAAGGCACTATGCAGTACACGGCATTAACAGAACTAAGCAAAGAGTTTTGGAGAACATTGCTTTGGCTGTTCTGTGAGGATGGTTCTGGAGTTCAAGGCATTAGTGGGCTGGGCATGTGACTCAGTGGTACAGTGCTTGCCTAAGTTCCATAAACCCCCAAGTTGTACCTATAACAACACACAAACAACCAAGACTATAAGAGATAAATGCTATTAAGCTAAGCAACCAGGCTTATTAAGATTCCATTGTTTGTTTGGTTTGTTGTTGTTTGGTTGGTTTTTCGAGACAGGGTTTTTCTGTGTAGCTTTGGAGCCTGCCCTGGAACACTCTGTAGACCAGGCTGGCCTCGAATTCACAGAGACCCTCCTGCCTCTGTCTCCCGAGTGCTGGGATTAAAGACATGAGCCATCAACGCCCGGCCAAGATTACATTGTGTGTGTGCTTCGGGGTCCAAACCCAGGACCTTGGTCATGCTATGCAAATGTTCTACCATCAAGCTACATCCTTGTCACAATGTATAGCCCAGACTAGCTTTGAACTCAAGGTCTTCCTGTTTTCGTCTCAATATGCTGATATTACAAGTGTGCACCACTCTGTCTAGCTAGCACCCCGAACTTCCTTTTTAAAAGATTTGATTTTACTTTATATGTGCACAGTGTGTGTGCCTGGTACCTTCGGAGGCCAGACGAGCTCATGGATCCCCTGGAACTGGGATTACAGATAACTGGGAGCAGTCATGTGGGTGCTGGGAACAGAACTCTGGAAGAGCAATCAGTCTCTTACCTGCTGACCCATCTCAGCAGCCTGAGTTTACAGCTTGCAGAGAACCTAGGTTTGGTCCCTAGCATCCGTATCAGGTAGCTAAAAGCACTAGTAAATCCAGGTCCAGGGGATGTTCTTCTGGCTTCAGCGGGCTTAAGTGCGCATGTGGAAGGCTAATAGGGGCATTCTAATCCTCCGTGCTGTGTTCCCGGTGCAGAGACTGGGCTGAAAGGGGATGTCCCCGGAGAAGGGATGCGGTTTGATAAGCGGGACTAGCTCCCAAGCCTAAGAAATGGGTAAATGGCTTGTTGACGCTGTTTAAATTCGCAGTGAAGTAGATAGAGCTAGCTCGCGAGGTGTGGGGCTGAAGGTAAGGTTAGGACGGAGCCCTTGTCTAGGAGTTTTCCATGACAGAGCGGAGGTTCCGAGGGGCGCACACCGCCCAGGACACAGGGCTGCAGCCGGTCACGGCGCGGCTTCTAGGCTCCCTCCTCGTCCAAGCCCAGCGTGGGAGGAGCAGAGGATCCCGGCGCTGCATGACCTCTCCTGCCCGCTGCGCGCCCCTAGCGCCCCGCCCAGCACTTGCTGCAGGAAACTCCTGCCGCGGCTGCCACCTCGCGGTAGCAGGCCGCCGCAGCCTGAGGGACAGCTTTAGGTTTCAGGTAGGGCCGGAAGTCTAGCTACTTCCGCTTCCAGCCGGGAGTGTCTACTGTCCCGGGCATTCTCGGCGGTAACCAGCCCTTACAATGGCCGCGTCTTTGGCGGGAAAGAAGATCGTGTTTGTGACGGGAAACGCAAAGAAGCTGGAGGAGGTGTCGTGGGGTGCGGGGACTCTCTAGAAGGCGGGTGGAGATAAGACTTCAGGACTTGCCTTAGCAAGGAAGCACGGGAGAGGGGGCGAGGAACACCCGGAGTTGGAACGTGGTTTAGTAGCGCCTGTGTGGAAGGGCTGGGCTTGGGGAAGAGATCTTTGTGGAGTAGGCGCCTTGAAGATCCAGAGGATTTAAGGTTTTTTTTTTCCTTTAGGACTTAATTATTTACTATGTATACAGTGTTCTTCCTACCTGTATGCCAGAATGCCGTAAGAGGGCACCAGATCTCACTATAGATCGTTGTGAGCCACCATGTGATTGCTGGGAATTGAACTCAGGACTTCTGGAAGAACAGCCAGTGTTCTTAACCTCTGAGCCTATTTAAGGTTGTTTTTTTTTTTTTTCTCGTATTTGAGATCGTGTAGCCCGGGCTAGCCTGACCCAACTCTGTAGCCAGGATTGATCTTGTTCTCTTGACCCTCCTGCCTCCCAAATTCTGGATCTACGGGCATGCCCTCACAGCAGCTTTGGGATGAGTAAAGTCAGCAGACCATGAGGCTGGAGCAGCGGCATCTGTGACAAAGATCAGCCCCTAAGCCCTAAGTTTTGACACCTCTCCACCTCAAAAGTGATGACAAACAGAAAGTGTGGGGGGTTGATCCAGACTCAGTAGTTCACAGTCCACTGTGGTCCATCTACCCTTAGACATTTTCTGTATCTAAATGTGTAATACCTCATAAGACTCATGGCTGACCACAGTATAAGAAAACTGAGTGACAAAAGAAAAAAACTCGACAAGTTTGTCTAAGCTGTGCGTGCTCAGCTTTAGAATGACGACCCAAAGACTTTCGTTTTCTTAGAGCCTTGGATCTAACCCAGGACTTACAGAATTGCTGTCACTGTCCTACTTCTGAACTACACTCCTAGCCCGAGAAGCTGTTTTCCTACCTCGTTTTGATGAAGCATTACGATAGGATGTGATCAGAGAGGGTATGACCCAGTGCTAACAGACTGGGGAAACTCAGCAGGTCCATCCAGATTGGATTTCCTTGTGCAGGGTTTCTTCCTCCCTTGTATGTGGTAGGATTGTTTGTGAAGTGAGGATAGTTCACATAATTTCAGGGCTTTTGTTTGTTTGTTTGTTTTGCTTTGTTTTTGAGAGAGGGTCTTGATATGCACATACATAGCCCTTGCTGTCCTAGAACTCCCTATATAAACCAGGCAGGCCTTGAACTCACACAGAAATTCACCTGCCTCTGCCTCCCAAGTGCTGGGATTAAAGGCGTGCACCACCACCACCACCACCACCACCACCACCACCACCACCACCACCACCACCACCACCACCGCCCGGCCCTGGATGCTCATTCTTAGCCCAGTTAGTCTTTCTTATTTTTTCCCCATTTGTGAGAGGAGATAGCAAAGCTTCTGGCAGATGTCACCTCTGGCCCTAGTTGAGTGTGCTCTTCAGTCAGCATTGCTCAAAAGGTAGGGTCATGTATGGGCAAACAGGCTGACATCCACTGTATATATCTGAGGCTGAACAATTGATACAGCAGGAGGACCCTTCCTCGTTTGAAAACAGGGACTAGTGGCATTTATGTACAGGACAGGATGGTCTTCGAAAGAGCTAAAGCCATCCTGATTAAAGGTTTGGGATCCTAAGGCCAGGCCAGTCAAGGAGACAGGTGCTGCCATCTGAGTGGAGTAAAGCAGAATGGTGACTGCCAGACCCCAGTCCTCTGACTGAGCATATGGCCTTGCCACATTAAAGGGCCCAAGGCTAGTGGAGAGTGTATCAAGTGGAACACTTGCTTATGTGTGTGCAAGTCCCCACCAGTACCTCCACCTTGTCATCAACAGAAAGGAAGGGCGGTAAAGTAAGGGTCTGGTGTTCTTAGGAGGCTCTTTGGAGAATAGGACTTGAGCTTGACCTACAGCAGGAGAGGGAGTCTGTCTTTTTGGTTTATTTTTTAATTTTGTTTTTGCTTTGTGTCAGGCTTCATGCATACGAAGCAAGTGCTGTACCACTTTATATCTCTAAAGCATTTATTTATGGGTGTGTTTTATGCATATGTGCTTGCCTGTGTGGGAGTACATGAAGGGCAGACATGGATGTCAGGATGTCTTTCTAAATTGCTTCTCCACTTTTTTTTTAGAAAAAATTTTAGAGCTAGATGGCTCAGAGGTTATGAGCACTGACTGCCCTTTCAGAGGTCCTGAGTTCAATCCCAGCAACCACATGGTGGCTCACCACCATGAGATCTGATGCCCTCTTCTGGCCTGTGGACATACATGCAGACAGAACACTGTATACATAATAAATAAATAAATCAAAAAGAAAAAAGAAATTTATTTTACGTATATGTCTGTGCACTGTGGGCATGGAGTATCTACAGAGGTCAGAAGGCGTTGGATCCTCTGTAACTAGAATTACAGATGATCGTTAGCCACCACCTGGGTTCTTTGCAAGACCGACAAGAGCTCTTAGTTGCTGAGCCATCTCTGCAGCCCCTGTCCACCTTGTTTTGGGGGCAGTTTCTCTCACTGAACCTGGAACTTACTGTTTTAGCTAGACAGGCTGACTAGCCAGCCCCTGAAATCTGCCTGTGACTGCCTCCTAGTGCTGGCATTACACCACCATAGCTGACTCGTTTATCTGGATGCTGTGAGCCTGAACTCAGGGCCTTAGGCTTCTGCAGCAAGCACTTTACTCGATGAACTTTTCCCAGCCCCTCTTCACATCTTTTTGGTAGGCTGTTGGCATAACAATGAAACCTAAGTGCCTGTACTTGTTGTGTGGATGTTGTATGTGAGGTGTGCAGATTGAGACCAGAGGAGGCCGGTGCTTGTTTTTCTTCTTCTCTTGAGATGGAATCTCCCACTGAACCTGCCCTGTGCTGTTCGTTTGGTGGGGTGGCAAGCTCAAGCAGTCATCCAGCACTGAGGTTACAGGTAGCATGGCTAGCCCAGAGTTTTATGTAGTGCAGGGGACCAGAACTCAGGTCCTCATTGTGCTGCAAGTATTCTTACCAACTGAACCATCACTACAGCACACCATCCCCATTTTAAAAAGTTATTAGTTTTATGCTTATGAGTTTGCATGTGTCTGTGTACCACATGCATGCAGTGCCTATGGAAACCAGGAGAAGGCATTGGGTCTCCTGAGACTGGAGTTACAGATGGTTGTGAGCCACCCTGTGGGTGTTAGGAACCAAATAGGGGTCCTCTGCAGGAGTAACTGGTCCTCTTAACTACTGAGCCTTCTCTTTAGCTCCTCCCTAGTTTTTGAAATAGGAATTTACTCCGCAGCTGAGTTAGCCTTAAGCTGTGGTCTTCCTTTAACCTTTCTAGGGATAGGATTGTGGAATTATATGTGTGAGCAATACTCTCTCTCTCAACTGGATATTCAGAAAGAAAAAGTTTCTTTCCACCTCCCTGCCCTTAAATATTATATATGTAATTTTGTTTTGTTTTTCAAGACAGGGTTTGTCTGTGTATCTTTGGAGCCTGTCCTGGAACTCACTCTATAGACCAGGCTGGCCTTGAACTCACAGAGATCTGCCTGCCTCTGCCTCCCGAGTGCTGGGATTAAAGGCCACCACTGCCTGGCTTAAAAAAATGTGTATGTATATATACATATATCAAACATGTGTGTGTGTTTTAAATTATGAGTATGGCCGGGCGTTGGTGCGCACACCTTTAATCCCAGCACTCGGGAGGCAGAGGCAGGCGGATCTCTGTGAGTTCGAGGCCAGCCTGGACTACCAAGCGAGTTCCAGGACAGCCTCCAAAGCCACAGAGAAACCCTGTCTCGAAAAACCAAAAAAAAAAAAAAAAAAAAAAAAAAAAATTATGAGTATGTGTTGGGGGAAGGACATGACGTCAGAATAACTTTCAGAAGTTGGTTCCTTTTTTTTTTTTTTGATTGACAAGCTCAGGCTGTCGGGCTTGTGCAAGCAATAAATGCTTTTATCTGCTGAGCCATTTTGATGGCCCCATCCCCCTCTTTCTTTCCAAGATAGGTTCTTGCTGTATAGCCTTGCCTTGAACACACAAATCTTCTATCACAATAGAAATAATACTCTAATATACAAAAAGAGGAGGACATGGAGGTACATGCTTTTAATTGCAGCATTCTGAACTCTGAGATGGGAGTACTTTGAGTTACATAGTGAGACCCTGTCTCATAAAAAGTGAGTGTGTGTGAGCCCGGCAGTGGTGGCGCACGCCTTTAAACCTAGAACTGGGAAGGCAGAGGTAGATGGATCGCTGTAAATTCTAGGCCAGCCTGGTCTACAAAGCAAGTTCCCGGACAGGCTCCAAAGCTACAGAATAACCCTGTCTTGAAAAACCAAAAAAAAAAAAGTGTGTGTGAGTTGAAGGGAGGTGGATAGCTCAGTGATAAAGCATGTGCTTAGCTTGTATGAGGTCCTGAGTTCAATCCCTAATACCACAGAAGTCTGAAGGAAATAAACTCAGTGATAAAGCATGTGCCTAGCTTGTATGAGGTCCTGAATTCAATCCCTAATATCACAAAAATCTGAAGGAAATAAACTATATTGAGGTATAATTTTCAACAATGTTTGTGTGCAGTGGCTTACACCTCTGCAGACCCTGATTTTGATAGGGTTAAAAGTACTGGGAAGCTATGACATGTGCCTGTAATCCTATAGTACTGAGTTGGGGTGGGGCTTGAGTGATCAAGAGATGAAATTGCCCACGCCAGCCAGGGCTGCACCGGGAAACAGAAGAAAGGGCAGTCATGGGAACCACTGCAACCTGGCTTGTTACCCTGAATTGAAAAGGTGAATGTAAACTCGGGCTTAGGGGAAATGCAGAGCAGTTTTCTTTGTAAGGTTATTCTCTCTGACCCTTGAGAGAATTCCTGGGCTAGGGTGAATGCCTTTTAGAGCACAGAAGGGAACAACATTCTAGATGGAAGGGTGGGTGAGGTAAAAAACAAAACCAGGAGTTGGTGGGAGAAAGGATGCTCATTTAGTGGGTCTCTGAGAGTTGGGGTGAGGCCTATGGGCCCAGTTTGATAAGCGTTAGGGGACTAATGGTGATAAGCATAGGGAACTAGTGGGGAATTGTTAGCAAATGGTGTGACAAATGTTCTTTCATTTTGGAACAGGTCATTCAGATTCTAGGAGATAAGTTTCCGTGCACTTTGGTGGCACAGAAAATTGACCGTATGTTTCTGTTTTGTTTCATTTCTAAAAGTGGTTTGATTTACCTGTCACCCTGTGTCCTGACTCTGTACATCTGTGTGTCTTTTTCCCTAATAAGTGCCTGAGTACCAGGGAGAGCCTGATGAAATTTCCATACAGAAGTGCAAAGAGGCAGCTCGCCAGGTACTTAACCATTGTGGTCCCCCATTCAGTCTTGTGGGCTCCTGGGCCTGTGCCTTGTGGAAACAGGCAGAGAATAAGATAGTTTGTTGGGACACTGTCTCTTCAGTTCCAACTCTCACCTTTCTGATTGTTAGTTCCATACATTCCAGTCATACATGTCCCTGCACATATTCACCCCCACACACCCATACTCACAGTTTGCAGAGCTGGGAAGGAGTGCATTATAGAATCGGGCTTCCTAGCTGATTTCCAGCAATTCATTGCTGTGTTGAGCAAGACTTGTCATTGCTCTCGATGTCCACATTTCTAAGCTGAAGACAAAATTTTATGGCACTTAATGAACCTGTGACTCCCCTTCATCTAGCTGTGGTCTAGGCCCCAGCTGAGCATACTTATGGTTGGATGAAGCCTACCGCCGATAGAAATCTCAGGGTTGTATGTCTTTGTTACAGGTACAGGGTCCTGTACTGGTGGAGGATACCTGTCTGTGCTTTAATGCCCTCGGGGGACTCCCTGGCCCCTACATGTGAGTACCCTACTACACCTCTACCTCTGCAGGGCCCCATCCACAAAACTACCAGAAGAGTAAAATGGTTAGCTACCTGATGTTATCTTAGCATCAACACCGAGCAAGTCTGTCAAGGACAGGAATGGAGAAATGGCTCAGTAGTTAAGAGTGCTTGCTGCTTTTCCGCTGGACCCAGATTTGGTTCTCAGCACCTAAATCAGGCAGCTTATAACTGCCTATAACTTCAGCTTCATGGAATCTGATGCCTCCAGCCTTTGTGGGTACCTGCATTCATATACACACACCGAACCATACATGTGCACACACAAATAATTAAAAATAACATAAATCTTAAAAACAAAAGGAAGAGCTGGGTTTAGTGGTGCACATCTTTAATCCCAGCACTAGGAGGCAGAGATAGGCAGTTCTCAGTGAGTTTGAGGCCATCCTGGTCCACATAGTGAGTTCCAAGCCAGCTAGAGCTGTACAATGAGACTCTGTCTCAGAGAATATAGGGGCTGGAGAGAAGACTCGACCCTTAAGAATTTAGGTTCCATTCACATAGATATGTATACACACACACATAAACAAATCTTTAAAAAGAGGGGTTAGAGCAATAAGGCTTAGCTATTAAGAGCACTGGCTGCTCTTGAAGAAGACCTGGGTTCAATTCCCATCATCCACATGGCATCTCACAACATCTGTAGCTACCCTTCCAAGTAGCCTGACCTCTTCTGCCAGCACCCGGCCCGCAGGTGGGTGAAGGTGTAGTGCCTTTTTAGAGTGCTTGCCTTTGTTGTCCAATAAAGCCCAGAGTTCAGCTCCTGCTTGTGTGTGTGTGTACACCAGGTGAGCAGGCATGGTAGTGCATGCATAAAGTTCCAGCACTTGCAAGTTAGAGGCAGAAGGATCAAAACTTCTTGGCTACATAGGAAGTTCTAGGCCAGCTTAAACTACATGAGATCCTTCACCAAGCAACCAGAGAGACACAATTTTCTTTGATTATGAGAATGTCGTTCTGTGAGATTGAAAAGTGGCATCTGCTCATTTCCAAGGTGATAAGGCACTCTGTCTCACCTGCTTCGGCCTGAGTGTTTCCCTAGTCAGGACTGAGGCTCTCACCTCCTTGGTATACTGAGCCTCGCCCGGCCCTTTTTTTTTTTTTTTTTTTTTTTTTTTGACTCAGGTTTCTCTCTTTCTCCTCCCTTTCCTTCTGCCTCTCCTCAATCTCCCTTTAGTCCCCTGCCCTTCCTTCTCTTCTCTGTTCCTCTGCTGCTGAGCTATACTTTCAGGCTTTGAATTATTTTCTTAGTTTGACTTGAGACATTCTTTTTCACTCCTCTTGCCTTTGGAAGCTCCAATCCCTAGGGGGTGTAGTCCAGAGTAGGTGTTAGGAAGATTAGTCTGCTCTTGCCCTTGGTACTGACTCTCTTTCTTTTGCAGAAAATGGTTCCTAGAGAAGCTAAAGCCCGAAGGTTTGTATCCCTATTGTTTCTTCCCATTGGTCTTTGGGTTGAGTCTGGGAGTAGTCCCATTGGTCTTTGGGTTGAGTCTGGGAGTAGTCCCATTGGTCTTTGGGTTGAGTCTGGGAGTCCCCGTTAGTGATCTGTGCTTTAGACCCTGCCATCACCCTCTACTCTCTCTCTGTTTGCACACTAGTGACTCCAGAAAGCACTGAGGTGGAGAGTTGGGAACAGGCGATAAAAGCCTTGAATTTAAGGGACAGGGGGCTTATAGTTGATTTATCAAGGGACTTGACCTTAATGACTTTGTAGTTCTTGGCTTCAGCCATGGCCTAGCCTGGTCTTCAGAGAGGGAGCTACCTCTTCTAGGTCCAAGAATCTATCTTTTCACTCAGGAGTGAATGCCAAAGTGTTCCCTCTTTAGGTTTTTGGGTTTGTTTGTTTTTTTGAGACAGCATTTTTCTGTGTAGTCTTTGCTGTCCTGGAACTAGATCTGTAGACCAGGCTTGCCTTGAACTCAGATTGATTTGCCTCTGCCTCCCAAGTGCTGGGATTAAAGGTGTGTGCTGCCGCCACCTGACCCTCTTTATATGTTTTTTGTTGTTGTTTTTAAGCACTTTAGTCACAGTTAGGAGGCTGAGGTAGGAGGATCCAGAGTTCAAGACCAGCCTGGCCCACACATAAGAGCCTGTCAAGAAAACAGAATGGATTGGAGAGATGGCTCTGCTGTTAAGTGTTGCTCTTGTAGAGCACCCAGGTTTGATTCCCAGCACCTACAAGGCTGCTTATAACTGTCCATAACTTAATTCCAGAGGATCTGGCATCTTCTGGCTTCAGTGGGCACTAGTGCACATGTATGTGGCCAAAACACTTACATATGAAAAAATAAATAAGTCCTTAAAACCAAACCCCGTTTGACTTTTTGGAGCAATCTGTGTCAGCCATGCATGGGAGGCACATGCCTGTGGCCCAGCATGAGGGAGACTCTGGAGTTCAGCCTGGGCTATGGAGCAGATTCTGTTTTAGAAACAAAAACAGCTAGGCATGGAAGTCTAAGCCTGTAACCCTGAGAGCTGTAAGCAGAGGATCAGAAGTTCATCAGCTATACAGTAAGTTAAAGAATGGCCTAGATACCTGAGATGTTCGTCTCAACAGCAACAAAGGCTGGAAATGTATCCCAGTATTCAGAACGCTTGCTTAGCATACATAAAGTTCTGGATTCAGTCCCTAGTGCCACATAAACCAAGTGTGGTAATGAATACCTGTAATCCCAGCATTCACTGGTTGGAGGCAGAAGGATCTTATGCTCCAGTACAGCCTGGGTTACAAAGTGAGTTCTAGGCCAAGCTGGACTACATGCGACTTTCATCTCAATAAAGAACCTTGCTTTAGTTTGTGCCAGAGCCTGAAGAGAGACTTCAGCTCCCTCTTGAGGACTAGAATGCACCCTTGAAACCTCTCACCCCAACATAGTCCAGTTTGGAGAATTCTTCCACAGCCTTGGCCTTCTGGAGTGAGGGTGGGGACTGGACAACCTGGGTTCACTGACCTCACTAAATCTGCCTGCAGGTCTCCATCAGCTCCTGGCCGGCTTTGAGGACAAATCAGCCTATGCACTTTGCACATTTGCTCTCAGCACTGGAGACCCAAGCCAGCCCGTGCTCCTGTTCAGGGGCCAGACCTCGGTGCGTACCCACTGCGATCTGCTGCAGGAACAAAACAAGAAGAGGCTAGAGTTAGCAGGTGCTTTGGGACACTATGCTTGCTGTGAGACAAACCTGGACACTACAGTTAGAAAAATGTCAGTCCCCAAACCTATTTGACCCCTAGCCTTATATACTCAGATCTTGTCAGAGTAGGTCCTGGCAAGATGCAGGTGTATAAACAAAAGGTAACTGTTCTCAAAGCCAAAGCTAACCTTGAACTCACAGAGAGCCACCTGCCTCTGCCTCCTAAGTCCATCTTGGTTTTTTGGTTTCTCAAGACAGGGTTTGTCACCGGGCGGAGGTGGCTCATGCTTTAATCCCAACACTCGGGAGGCAGAGGCAGGCGGATCTCTGTAGGTTAGGGAACAGCCTGATCTACAAGAGCTAGTTCCAGGGCGATCCAAAGCCACAGAGAAACCCTGCCTCGACCGCCCCTCCCCCCCAAAAAAAGAAGACAGGGTTTGTTTGTTTGTTTAGCCCTGGTTGTCCTGGACTCACTCTGTGGAGCAAACTGGCCTCGAACTCACAAAGATCTGTCTGCCTCTGATTCCCAAGTGCTGGGATTAAAGGTGTGCACCACCATACCTGGCCCATCTTGTTTTTTGAAAGAGTTTCCACTGACCTGAAGCTTGCTAAATAGGCGAGTTTGTTTCCCCTTCCCTGGGGTTACAGGAGCTATACCACTATAATTGGCTTATTTAAGTGTTTTTGTTGTTGTTTCAATGTGGGTTTTGGGAGTTGAACTCAGGTCCTCACGATATTAAAAGACAAGAGAATCACCAACTGAGTCATCTCCCTAGCCTCCCTTTTTTTTTTTTTTTTGGGTTTTTTTTTTTTTTTTTTGGGTTTTTACGAGACAGGGTTTCTCTGTGTTGTTTTGGAGGCTGTCGGGCCTCCCAATTTTTTATTTCAAGACAGGATCTGACTGGCCTGGTACCTCAGCATTCCTCCTGCTTCAGCCTCCTCAGTGCTACCATTACAGACTTGCCCCATCACACCCAGCTACTGCTCTACCCTTATCCAGGTGCCTAAGAAATTTAAAGGGAAGTGGGGAGTTTTTGAGTAATTCAGGTGTAGTCAGAACAAACTCACTCTGGTCCAGTACATCTCCAGCTACACACGTGGCCGTTACACACCTGTCCTCCCTATTGCAGGGCCAGATCGTGATGCCACGAGGCTCCCGGGACTTTGGCTGGGATCCCTGCTTCCAGCCTGATGGATATGAACAAACGTAAGGAACCCAGATTTTTTCCCTGGTGCATGGGCTTGGGTGGGCACCCTGCCCATGTGCAGTCATGCAGATAAGGGTAAGGCAGGCTCTGTTCCAGCTGAAGCCAGTTCTGCTGGGATGGATGCAAGGAATCTAGGTGGCCTACTCCATGGTGGGGCAACATAGATATCCTAGGTTGTGATCCCAGCTTACTTGGCCATTATGCCAGGTGGCTCCCATCCTCTGGCCCTGCCTACTAAGATGCATAAATCTTGTGGTTTTGTGGAATGACATTAGCTCCATCTAGACTAGAAAAATGCATACTTTTGTAGCTGTCAGATATATGGAACCTACACAGTAGTATGTGTCCTCAGCACTTCACATTAGCATCACCTTCTTATTTATACTTATTTTACATTGCCATTACTAGAGCAGGCTCTCCAGACTGTAGCTCCCCTGCCTGGTACTTCATAGGGTCTCAAGCAGCCCTGGTCAGCCCGTCTTTGGGTGTCAGGAGTGTGCTCTGATGTGCTCTCCGCTTGGGCTGTCATGGAGCACTTGGAATTTAGTTAAATGAAGAACTGAGTTTACTTTTATTCTGTTTGTTTATTTTATGTTAATAGGTGTTTTGACTATGTACATATCTGTATACCTGATGACTGTACTGGTCAGAAGGGACTGTAAGATTTCAGGGACTGAGCTAGTTCTGAAGCCTAAAGGCAGGGTGTGACCTCTCACCTCTAGTAGTGTCCTCCCGCAGACAAAATTGGTTCCTGCCAGCTGCCTGGTTCTCCAGCCCACAGTGCTGTCGATCTGTCAGGCTTCCTGTCAAACACCCACCTCATTCTTGCCCCCAGCTTCTCTCCATGACTGGGCTTCTGTCTTACACAGGAATTTAACAGTGTCTGGTAGAATAGGCTGAGGAGCTGGCGGCCCATTGCCTGCTTTCCTGGTTCTCAGGGTAGAAGGTCATTTTGGGGCTCAAACACGGAATACCAGGGGCCTGTCTGCCCCTTGCCTGTACACAGGTTCTGGATATGTTTTCTACCTACAGGGAACCACCACCCCCGCAACAGAATCATTGGGCTTTGGTCTCCAGGGTGGCAGTGGGGTGCCCATCCTCCTGACAATCTGGGTTCCCTGTTTTCTGAGCTGCTTCTCTTTGCCTCTTAGGTATGCAGAGATGCCAAAGGCTGAGAAGAACACCATTTCTCATCGGTTCCGGGCCCTGCTCAAGCTACAAGAGTACTTCAGTGTGACTGCTGGGGCTGCTGGCCACTAAGGCCATGGGCGAGGGGGGACTGGTGCAGAGCTCTCCAGGAGACGGGCACTCCTGGCAAGTATTTTTCTGGGTTTCCCTTTGCCGGGGATCCAGGCAGCTTCGGCAGCCAGGTATGGAAGAGCAGTTTGCTCTGTATAGGGGATTCTGGGCCAGTTGATACTACACTCTTAACCCTTTGGGATTCAAGGGTTGCCTTGGTGGCATAGTGGTGTACACCTTTACTCCTAGAATTTGGGAGGCAGAGGCAGATAGATCTTTGTGAGTTCAAGGCCAGCCTGGTTTACATAGTGAGTTCCAGGACAGCCAGAACTACACAGTGAGATGCTGTCTCAAAAACAAACAGAAAACAGAGTTACTCTTGCAGCCTCTGGGATCCTGAGAGAACTTTGTGTTCATACTTCTAAGCGGGGTTGAGAGTTGCAAAGAAACATACAACCTTTGATTTTAGAATGCAACAAATGTAAATAAGGAAGACGTTTCCAAAATAAATGGTATATCTGTCTTGAACCTTGTCTGTCTCTTGAGTTCCCTTTGACAGGTGGGAAGCCACCTTGATAGGTGATCAGAGCTGTGGGGAGATGCTCACCTGCCTGGATAGGGCATACTACTCTACTTAAGTTCTTGTTCTTAGAGTTGTGAATCAGGCTGGCAAATGACCTGAGTTCAATCCTAGAGCATACATATGAAGGGAGAGAACCGACACTCGGAGGTTTGCTCTGACCTCCGTTTGTATGTCATAAAATGAACTCCCCCCACCACACACACACACACACACACACACACACACACACACACACACACGTTAGAGACCCTCTCTCCTCAGAAGCCCATCAGGAACGCTGCTTAAGCTGCCGTCATGTGCAACCCTCCCCAAGCAGTTGTTTCAGTAAACACTAGGGAAGAAAGCAGGCTTCTGTGCCCCAGGCAGTTCTGGGCTATTCCCTCTAGTTTTTGACCCCTGAATTTGGCAAGGTGGCCTTGGTTTTAGCCATTACAGAGGCATTTTTCCTGAACCAGGCAGGGTGGTTAAGTATAGTACACCATTCTTCCCCCGCTGCTTGACTGTCCTGGCACTGCCTGGCTCCAACATGGAGTACTGGGAGCCTCTACCCCTTGCCTATGATTCCGGATATGGCTTTCTCTTCAGGAAATGCCCAAGCTACTGAGGAAGCCCACCCCTCCCAACTTGAATTGCAGGTTGGATAGGCAGCTTGGTGTTTGCTGCTCAGCTCCTTCCTGAATCTTCCCCATTTTATTCGACCCATCCCTACAAACAGCTGTGGAGAACATACTGTACCTGATTCTCCCCACCCGGTGCAAAATTACACTTGGGCTCACACCCTGTCTCTGCACGTGTGCCACTCATCCTAGCTCCTCCAGGCTTTAGTGTGACTTGCCAGCTCAAGCCTAAGGTGGAATTCCTTTTGGCTTCTATTTCTGACTTTTCCCCCCTTTTCAGTATGGAAGACAAACTCGGCCTCTAGCATGAGGCATTCTGCAGAGCCACACCCCCAACTCTGCCAAGAGGTTTGAGCATCGCTTGCTATTCCTGCTATTCTTCTTGCTACATGCTGGACCTACCTGCGACCTAGTGTGGAGGTGTCTATATGTGATGTTACCTGGCATTTACTTCGTGTTTATCTCATGGTGCTGGGAACCAAACCAGGGCCTTGCACCAGTCAGATAACTAATTATCTTCAGCCCTGGTTTGTCTATTCACAGTTGGGCCAGTGTTGACTCTTGGAACTGACAACACAAAAGTAAATACTTGTGGGGACAGAATGACATCACCAAGAGTTATCTCCACACTTATTTTGACATGCTGATTCAGGACTTTACATCATTGCTCTGTCGATCCTCTGTGTAAAGGGTTTGTTACACAGACGTAATACAATTCACTGAAGAGACATAGGAATGTACCTGAAGCCGCCGTGGGGGTGCAAAGGCCAGGTTGTTGCTGTGTAATTTTTGGTGGGAACTGTATGGCTGGGTAAGGCACAGTGATTCCCACCAAGGTGACTGGGAAAGGTTTGCAATCACCTGTACCTGGGAATGCTAAAGAGCACAGGAAAGGTCAAACCAGATGCTCCCAAGAGTCGTAGGTTAATTGGGAACCCCAGTGTTAAGAGTGGGTTACCTCCCACAGAGGCCCTTGAGGCCCCTAAAACAAAGGCTTTGCCACAGCTGCTGATTGCCTTCTGGAACTTAATGACAAGACCCTATTGCTGAAGAGCCTGCCCGACTGGAAATAAAGCTAGGGCTGGGCTGGAAGTATCCCCTCCCTGAGAGCTAGCTCCTGTAGGGCCAGAAGTATCTACTGAGGATGCCGGGGGGGAAATTAAGCCTTGAGGTCCTGCTCGACTGTGGGTCCCTCGAGCTTCATGGTGAAGCGCCAGGCAAGTGTATAAGTGCACAATGGTTGTGGGCAGAACCAGCTCTCTGATTGGACTCCGGGGTCGCAGGAGGAAGTTCACATCTGGCGCAGGGAACACAGCCTGTGGCTAGGAAAGTCATAGGCTCCAGTGGAGAGTCAGTGCTCTTGACTGGTGAGGTGCCTGCCCACGAGTTTACTACCCTAGTTTACTGCAGTCCACACTCATTCGGATAGTCTCCTGTTCCTGTTTTTGTCAAGACTTGCCAACACCTGTGTTCCAGAAAAATGATCAACGGGCACAAGAGCACAGCCCCAGGCTCAGGGACCCTTGAAGAAGGAATGTGAGGGCTAGAGGAAGCAGGGGCGAGGCTGCTGTGATTCTCCTCAGAGCCAGACAACTGCTATCTATGAGAGTTCACTTCCCTACTTGCAAAAGATCACCCAGCTGGGCTTGTTGACTGTGGAGCCCCCCAGAGAGGTGCAAGGATCAGAAGAACTTCACCTGGGTATCCAGCACTTTCTACCACTCATATGTAACTTTACCCTAATTGCATGTGGCCTGGGCAAGGGGTGAGTGTATGTATATATAGGAGGGATATTTATGCCTCTGTGGGAGAGTCATCCCTGCTAGGTTAAGACTTGCCCATGTGGCCTTTGAGGGGGAACACCCCGGCTCTAGTAAGTAATCCCTAACCTATTCTGTTGTTGGGGTCTTAGGAAGAGGGGTAAGTGCCTTAGTCTCCCCCCTGGGAAGGAATTCCAGCAACAAATGCCAAGTGATCAAACCAGAAGCTAGGCATCTTCTTCCTCCAGTGTTGCTGGGTCCTAATGGCTCCTTTGTGGAAGGCATGAGAAGGCGCTAAACCAATGACACAGACCTCTGGAGTCAGGTGAAAGAAAAAACAGCGGACTCATTTCTTTAGCAATGGATGGAAACTTATATACCCTCCCAGCACCCAGGTGTTCTGATCTGTTGACATTGCATAGTTGCCCCCCATTGGCTAGGCAGGGTCAAGACCACTAACAACAACTGTCAGACCCCAGGAGGTTGGCTCATCTCTTGGCCTGGTAGGCCTTGACTTCCTATACTCCAGACTAATCAGCCCGTCTCCCACTTCTCAATAAATCACATCACTGGCCCAAACGGCGTTCCTGCCCTCACCCCTAACCATATCCTATAGTCACATTCTTCACCACACAGCACTATGTCTGCTCTGGGTCTTTGTTCCCTGAAAACATCCCTTGCAGGAGCCTCAACAGACTGACATATAGGTCTGCCTCTCACATTGGGCCAGTGGCCACTGTTGGAGAGGACAGCATGTAGATGGTAGTCAACAAACATTGGTCCCTTTTACTCTTCTCCCAGTGGGCTTGTTTCCTGTCCCCAAATCTGGGAGACAGCAAAGACGGGGCAGCATGTTGAAGCATAGAAACAAGACTTTTATTCACTAATGTACACACAGTGAACTCCTTATACAATCAAGGAAATGGGCTCTCTCCTGGGCATCAACTCTTTTATCAAAAGAAATCTGCTCTTAGCCCCATCCTGGCAATGTCCCTAACCCCAAACTAAAGTTAATGGGGTGAGGGGTGAGTACACACCACTGAAAACCACAATGCCCAGGGGCTTTAGACCGCAATGAGGACTGGCCAGAGCCACGGCCAGTTCATACCTCCCTTTGCGTTGTCACAGAGCAGGCCTGAAAGGATGGGGAGGATGGCACAGGTCAGGGTCTATGCTCAGCGTCCATGACATCCAAGTACTTGGCTTCAATGATCCGGGGTAGCAGATTGTATCTGCAGAGGAGGAGGACAGGCAAACTGTGTGGTAGATGGTCACAGCAGGTACCCACTGAGCCCAGCAGTGGGCTGAGCCCTCCTGACAGCCACCCAGCCTGGTCATACCGGATCGGAATCATGGCAATCATGATGAGGGGAAAGACCATCTTCATGTAGGGCAGGGAGCTCATGCCGAAGGCACAGAGAAGTAGCAGCTGCAGAATCTGCAGGCCTGTGAAGTAGTGGATCTTCCTTTGGGGCACTCTCCGGACGTAGTGTGTGGGTGGGTATGATGTCTGTGGGCAGCAGCAACAACCAGGCAGTCAGGGATGGCTGTGTTCCCACACCCCATCCCTGGCCCAGGCACCCACCTGCTCCTTGAGCAGCAGGGCCACACGTGAGAAGAGCTGGTTGCCATCCAGGGAGGTGAGCGCAATGTAGAGGAAGAGCCCATAAAGCACAGGTTTGGGGATCCACTGCAGTGGAAAGGGCAGCAGCAGCAGGGAGAGACCCACCAGGACACTGGCGCCCAGCGCGGTCAGCCGGGTCTCCTTGACATTCACAATCCTGTGGGGACCCAGAGCATACGGTTGCATGTAGGTCTAGCTGGGGCTTCATTGCCTCTGAGCCCATCCTTTCCTAGGTCACATGTAGCCCAAGCTTGTCCCCCTCTGACCTTCAGGTCTACCTGGCTCTTGCCCTAAAACCCTAGGGACCACTCATACTCACGTTTCATAAATGTGCCCATTCTCCACACGTTCCTCCACTAAAGCCAGTGCCCGCACATGCAGCGGGGAGTGGGGGTATGCAGCATGGATCCAGGGTAGCCCGAACAGAGACAGCCCCGTATTGATGATGGCAAGTAGCAGGAGGTCCCAGTGATAGGCAGTGCCCTTCACCAGCCTGAGGTAAGTAGGCACACATGGACCGAGTCCTATCGGCTGCCAGAGGCCTGGGACCCTGCCCCATCCTCCCACAGTCCTCAATACCTGTTCTCTGGTGCATTGACCAGGGCAGCCACCAGGTTCTGCTCAATGAAGAAAAGCAAGGAGAGTAGGAAACCAAGACCCATGGTGCTGCTGATGGCCTTGAAGGACAGAGAGCGGATCTGTGCCATCTCAAAGAGGCTCTCGCTGGGGTTGTATCTGAACTTGCTCACTGCAATATGGGACAGGCTTGGCCCATAGTTCCCAGGCAGCAAGGCCATGCCACCCCCAGCTTATCCTCCCATTTCAACTCACTCTCAATTTCCTGGAAGCCATAGGAGCTGATGAGGGAGAAGGTGAGCACCGCGATGGGCAGGGCACAGTCAGACAGGGTCTCACGCACACATGGGTGCAGGTAGGGGCTGGAGAGGGTGGGTGTGTCAGCATGGCTTGGGGGCTGGCTGGCTCTTACCTCCCACCCGTGGGCCCCCTCATTTCTTTTGAGGAGTCTTGAGCTAGAGTCTGCATAGCATAGACTGGCTTCAAATTTGAGAGCCTCTGCTTCCGCCTCCTAAGTATTGGGATCAAAGGTACTCCCTTACCTTTTCTTGAACTGGTAGAGGGTATAGCCCAGCCAGAGTGTGCCCAACATGATGAGGAGGCTGAGCACTGCCGTAGCCTGACCCGAGTGAGTGCTGCTGGGGCTGCTGGCTGTGGCCATCTCTATGGGGCTATCCAACAGGCTGGTGTTGAGCGCAGTGTGGAGGCTGGTGTTGGAGTTTCTGCCAATGCTCAACAAGCTCACCAAGGATGAAGTCCTTTTGGTGTGGTCGTGGTGACCATGGTAGTACTTCCAGAAGACTGTGGGACAGGTCAACAGGCCTAAGCCATCTGGGATCTGGGAGCCTAGCTTCCTTATTGATATAAAGTGAGGGATGCCTCAAGGGAGGTAGAGATGCTGAAGGAAGGGAAGGGGCCAGAAAGGGGGAGAGGGCTTCTAAGGGGAAACAGGAATAGGATAGACCTCTGGTCTTTTCAATCAACCGGGAACCACCCACCTGTCCATCTATCTTTTGTCTCCCAAGTCTGCTACTGCCTCTGTTGTGGTTGATACCCCTCCCTGCCTGGTCAGTGCCTCTGCTGTATAGTTGATACCCCTCCCTGCCTGGTCAGTGCCTCTGCTGTATAGTTGATACCCCTCCCTGTCTGGCCAGTGCCTGTCCCCTCTCTGGTTTTGCCTGGAGGAGCTCTTCCCCTTCAGTACATGGTGCTGCTGATGTGTCAGTCACCGCTCCTGCAGTACCTTTGCTTAGCTTGACACCTTCTCCTCTGCTGCATCAAGCACAGCTGATAGCCCTCCCACCCCCAAGCAGGTCCCTCTCTGGGTCTGTCCTAAATTTTTTTTTGAGACAGGGCCTCAATATATAGCTCTAGCTGTCCTCAAATTCAGAGACCCTCCTGCCTCCGCCTTCCGAGGAAAAGGATTAAAGGCGTGCCCCACCACACCTGACTTGTACTCACTTTTGACCATGCCCTTGACAGCATCCAGCACAAACGTGATGGAAATGAAGAGGGCAATGATTTCCTCTGTTGACCTGCAAAGCAGTGATAATGCTCAAGATGGGGGGGGGGAGGGCATAATTATTGAAGAAAAGGCTTTCTCAAGCTCCATGGACCATCGCCGTGAAGAATGCTTCCCCATGGGACCACTCTCAGTAAGTTCACCTCCGCCTATGGAGAGCACACTATCTAAGGGCCTTGGCATGAGGCTGACCCACATCCCCAGACACTGCAGCCCAGGACTAGTCACCTCTTAAAAAGATTCATGAGCAGGCTGAGGTTGAAGAAGGCATAAAGCGCAAGGAAGAAACTGTTCCACAGGCCCGTCCATGCATAGAAGGAGTTGAAGTCTAAGCTGTAGTCATCACAGATGACCCGGATCACTGCAAACAACAGGGCAGGATGTGTCGTCAGGGCTGGGTTGGGCTCCAGGACCTGGGCACCATCTCCCATCTCCACCCTACTGTACCCTGGATGTAGATGGCCAGGGGAGCAGTTGTCAGCAGTATCACCAGTGGCTGTCCGGAGAAGAGCGCGTATAAGAGGCCTCCGATGCTCTGCCCAGCTATGGTCTTCTGCACGTCTGTGGAGACAGAAAGCTCAGGGGTCACCACAGTGCAGGGTCCTACCTGGCACATCCCTACCGCCCCAGCCCCTCACCAATGGCCCCATTCGTGTTCTCATCATTGAGGGATCCAAAAGCAATCGTTGGCAGGAGGCAGGCAAAGTAGAGGAAGAGCGTGGTGGTGACATATTTGCCCACGGTCTTGCCTTTCCCGATGATGCCTAGGAACGCAGGACAGACAGCATTTGCTGGCGATGCAGGACAGGCACAGGTGGCCTCATGGCCTGCAAGGCTGAGCTCTGGCTGGACACATACCATCGGTAAAATCCAGAGGGTACACGGGGAACCTGTGCATGATGTCCACACAGATGCCCTTTCCAAAAGGGAAAAAGTCCTTGAACTTCGGGGGCTGGGAGAAAAGACAGACGACATTAGCCCCGGCTGGCCTGTGCCCCTCCCACCACCCCAGCTCTGTTCTGAACCTGAGGGTGTTTATGAGAGTGGAGGGAGTTCGTGCTGTGCCCTTTCGCTCGTGGCATCATCATGGTGAGCAGCTGTCTCTGATGCACCAACGCCTCCTTGAATTCTTCCTCTGTGCGGGTCTTCAGGAGCTTCTGGCGGAAGGTGATGTCTGAGAACATGGTGGCAAACGTGCGCGCCACCTCCATCGCAGTCTTTGTGCTTTTCTGGGAACAGGAGGTGGTATGGTGACACCTCCAGTTCCTGTAGCAGAGGACACCCCTTCTTTCCTAAGCGCAGCCATGCGCAGGCAACTGGCAACAGGTTGTTTCCCTAAGCTCAGACATTAACGCACCGTGCCATTATTCCCACTAAAAACTGCTGTGGATCTTGTGTTTTTCTTTCTTACCTTTTATTTTTCCAGACAGGGTTTCTGTGTACAGTCCTGGCTCTCCTGGAATTGGCCTCAAACTCACAGAGATCCACCTGCCTCTACCTCTCAAGTGCCGGGATCAAAGATGTGTACCATCAAAGCCAGGCCTTTTTTTTTTTAACATTTAAAAATGATTTATTTATTCTTATTTTATGTGCATTGGTATTTTGCCTGCAGGTATGCCTGTGTGACGGTGTCAGATGCCCTGCAACTGTAGTAACAGACAGTTGTGGGCCGCCATGTGGGTGCCGGGAATTGAACCCAGGTCTTCTGGAAGAGCAGCCAGTGCTCTTAACCACTGAACCATCTCTCTAGCTAGTGTTTTTCTTTCTTTTTTGTTTGTTTGAGATAGGATCACATTCTGTAGACCAGGCTAGAATTCTTCCTACCTCAGCTTTCCAAGTGTTGTGATTACAGACGAGCCACCATGTCTGGGTTAGTATTTTTTTTAGAACTCAGACATTAGCATCATCCTAAACAAGAAAAAGGTTTGAGAGCCGGGCGTTGGTGGCGCATGCCTTTAATCCCAGCACTAGGGAGGCCGAGGCATGCGAATCTCTGAGTTTGAGGCCAGCCTGGTTTACAGAGCGAGTTCTAGGACAGCCTCCAAAATAATATAGAGAAACCCTGTCTCGAAAAACAAAAAAAGAAGGAAAGAAAGAAAGAAAGAAAGAAAGAAAGAAAGAAAGAAAGAAAGAAAGAAAGAAAGAAAGAAAGAAAGAAAGAAAGAAAGAGGTTTGAGCTCTGACATGAAACCACATCAGAGCATAACACACCCCTAGCCCAATCTCACCAGTGGGCCTAGACGTCAGGTGGCTTGTCTTGAAAGGGGCTCCAGGCCCATCAGTCTTTATTCTCTTACCTAACCTTGGTCAAGTGTTAGGGTTAGATATGAAATGTCCCCCTAAAGTCTCATGCATTGAAGGCTTGGCCCCAGCTGATGGGTCTAATCATGGGAAGGTAGCTGGATTCTGAGTGCTCTGACCTCGCTGATGGATTAGTGCAGACAGTCACAACTTCATGGCATTATTGAGAAGTGGTGGAGATGAGAACGTGGGCCTGGCATGAAGAAGTATTTTTTTTTTTTTTTTTTTGGTTTTTCGAGACAGGGTTTCTCTGTGGCTTTGGAGGCTGTCCTGGAACTCGCTTGGTAGTCCAGGCTGGTCTCGAACTCACAGAGATCCGCCTGCCTCTGCCTCCCGAGTGCTGGGATTAAAGGCGTGCGCCACCAACGCCCGGCAATGAAGAAGTAGGTTATTGAGAAGTGCTCCCTAGAAGAGTATATGTTGCCGGGCAGTGGTGGCACACCCCTGTAATCCCAGCACTCGGGAGACAGAGGCAGGCAGAGTTCAAGGCCAGTCTGATGATAAGAGTTTTAGGACAGCCAGGGCTGTTACACAGAGAAACCCTGCCTCAAAAAATAAAATAAATAAATACAAAAAAAAAGAAGAGTATCTATTTTCCCAGGAGCCTTTCTTTCCCCATTTTTAGGGAGGTTATGGGGCTCAAGCTCAGAGTCTCAAGGTTGCTATGACAGCCTGTTGCCACTGAGCCATAGCCACACCATGAGGTCATCAGCTCTATTCCCTCTTCAGAGCACTTCCCATCACGACATTCTGCTCTGCTCCAAAGTTGTGGAGCCAGTCAGCCATGGACTGAAACCCTGAGATGAGGTATTCCTTCCCTCCTTCTAGTTGATTCTGAGTTTTCCATCACAGTAACAGCTGACACACGGCTTGTTCATGCCCTAGCCCGAGTCTCAGGAGGCCCCTCTATCAGATGCACGGTGACAGTCCGGGCTGCACCTACTGTGTGTTCCTGAGCAGGAACTCCACGCCGGGTACAGCCTGACTTGCCTCAAGTGATATGAACACTAAGGCCATCACCTCTTCCAATTGTTCTTACCATACTGCCAGCCGACACTCCTCTAAATCATGAGGTGCTCTCTTTTCTAGAAGAATATTACGGGCAGCATATCTATAAGACTACTGGCAGAGAACAGAGTCAGGCAGAGTTATCAAAAAGTTAATGAGCCAGGCAGTGGTGGTGCACACCTTTAATCCCAGCACTCGGGAGGCAGAGGCAGGCAGATCTCTGTGAGTTCAAAACCAACCTGTTCTACAGAGCAAATTCCAGGACAATCTCCAAAGCAATACAGAAAAACCCTGCCTCAAAAAACAAACAAACAAACAAAAACCCAAAAAAACTAATGAACAGAGGATGTTTGGAGAAGGTCTATAATGCCAGCACAGGGAAGGCAGGAGGCTCTGGAGTTCAATGCCAGTCTCCAGTCTGTTTCAAAAGAACTTGGGTCAGTGATAGAGTCCCTGTCCAGCTGCATGTACATGAGGGCCCTGAAGTCCATCCACAGCACTGGGGGAAACAGCACAGCAGCTAATAAAGGCTGAAATAGTCAATCCCTTCCATAGCTTTGGGCAGAGGCTTACAGTTCCCTGTTCAGGATTTTAAACCTTTTTCCTTATAGGGAGAACTCCCACACTGGATTGCTACAACCTCTAGAAAAGCAGGGTATCCAGCTGGGCGGTGTCAGGGCGCAGCTTTAATTCCAGCACTTGGGAGGCAGAGGTGGGTAGAGGCAGAGGTAGGTGAATCTCAGTGAGTTTGAGGCCAGTCTGGTCTACAGAGCAAGTTCTAGGAGAGCAAGGGCTACATAGAGAAACCCTGTCTCGAGAGGGAAAAAAGGAAACAGAAACAGCAAAGTATCCTTGCCCAGGTAGCATATGGCCCAAGGAGTACAGGTCCTTGTCCAGCAAATCATAAAGCAGGAGTGTTGGTAGGAAGCCAGCCAAAGAATGGCCCAACGCATATAGTCATTATATTGGAACTTGAATCCAGGGCCTTGTACATGCTGAGGACATTCCTTGGCACCAATCTATGGTGCTAGCAGCCTGATTTATAATTGTGAAAAGCATTGCCTTTCAGTAGGAAAGCAAACCTTAAGGGCATTTCCAAGGAAATTCAGATGCAATGGGAATTTTGCAAGAGCATCTCTAATAAACATCGGATAGAGAGGAAGAGCAGGTATGAGGAAGCCTATAGAGATGTTTCCAAGGAAACAGTAGAGCAACCTGGGGACCTGCCTGCCTCACAAGACACCCAAGACTGAAACTCACCATCTTGGGTGGGGCCAGCACCAGGATGACAAAGCGAACCTCACAGGAGTTTTCTCCCCAGTTCTGTGGTCGAACCAGGCGGCTGATGCACACATGCCGCTTCTGCAGGGCCTTCAGGGTACAGCTGGTTAAAACATAAGAACAAAGGACAGTTGCCACCCTCAGGAGCAGACTCTTGCCACCCTGCAGAGCCTGTAACAGAGGCTACCAGGGGAAAACAAAAAGACCACATGGGGGCTGGAGAGATGGCTTAGCAGTAAACAGCACCGGCTGCTCTTGCAGAGGAACAGAGTTCAATTCCCAGCACCCACATGGCAGCTAACAATGAATCAGGAACTCCGGTATCTGTGGCATGCATGTGGTGCACATACATACATACATGTACACCCAATACCCTACACATTTAAGAAAAAGATCAAATAGGACAGAGTATGTATATGCTCTTTCCCCAAACTGGGGGTGCCACCACAGTTGTGTCACTGTGTGAAGGTTGGTCTCTGCAGGGACATGAGATACCTGGCCAGCTCCAGGGTGACAGTGGGGCCGGATGTGGTGGTAGGATGACAACTCACATGACGCAGAGCCATGACTGCTGGTACTGCACCCCTCTGACAGTGGCGGTGACTCCCTGGATGGTATCTGACAGCAGGTGGACTGAGGATGCAGGAAAGGATACAGGTGAGTCAGCTGCCCCAGCCACACCGTCACACGCCAGGGCAGGGAGAGGGCCTTACCTTTACTCTCCATGGGGGCCCCTGCATCTGTAAAGAGCTTGGCCATGAGCAGGTCCAGGTCACAGTCAGGTTCTGCATGGTTGGGGTCCTGGGCAAAGCGGTTCAGCATAGTCCGAAGAACATCATCCAGTGAGGTAGCTGTCTCATTCAGGATGATGCTGGCCTGGGCCAGGAAGCCATCCAGGTCCCGGTGTGCACGGACCTCTTCCTCGAAGTTCTTCAACTTCAGATACTGTAGGGAGCCCAGGTGCAGAACCACACAGGCCTCTGAGTTAGACCATTGTTTCTCTTGCCCCCACCTGCCCTCCATGAGAGTCTATGAATGTCCCTGCCCACCAGGAACCATATCTAGGGGAGAAAGCTCAGGCCTGGGCTAGTTTGAGATCCCTATTTAGGAATGCCTGGGAATATGGGGACAGCATAGTAGATATAAGGGAATCAGCTCTCTCTAACCCTAACTGGAGACCCAGCACAGCCCTGCAGGATGGATCTCACCTTGCGGGAGGTGTGTAGGAGCACACAGCCACCAGTTGCAGTTTCTAAGTCTGGAGGATCGGGAAGAGAGATCAGTATGCTGCCCCACCTCTTCAGGGCTCCTTAGCAGAGTAGGGTCACCTACAGTCCCCATACCAGATTTGGAGGGCTGAACTTCAAGGTTGACATTGACGAAAAACCTGATGCTCTCGGCAGACACAATGGAGGAGTTGACGGTGTCAAAGGCTTCATCCCCCAGGCTGTCTTCCCGCACTTCAGGGGTATCATCCATGTCGTTCTTGAAGTATCCCAGAGTCGCAGCTGTCACCAGGAGAGACCATCTGTCAGTGCTACACACCATAAGGAGGGGCTGTAAGTCCCGGGCATGGGAACCTCTGCTCTATCTCCTGAGTGCAGCCCTGATGGTAAGAGGCTTCTCACCAGTCAAGGCCTACTTTGGTGAAGGAAAGCAGAAGTGCTGGTCCTGCCTGGCCCTACTCAGAGGGGGGCAGCTGGCACATAGACTGAAGGCCCTGCCCAGTGATCTAATGTATCATTTTTCAGCTTTAAGAACCAGGGCTTGCTGGGCAGAGGTGGCGCACACCTTTAGTCCCAGCATTCAGGAGGCAGAGGCAGGTGGATCTCAGTGAGTTCAAGGTCAGTCTGGTCTACAGAGTGAGTGCCAGGACAGCTGACTGTTACACAGAGAAACCTTGTCTCAAAAAACAAAAAACAGGCTGGACGTTGGTGGCGCACACGCCTTTAATCCCAGCACTCGGGAGGCAGAGGCAGGGGGATCTCTGTGAGTTCAAGACCAGCCTGGACTACCAAGCGAGTTCCAGGACAGCCTCCAAAGCCACAGAGAAACCCTGTCTCGAAAAACCAAAAACAACAAAAAACAAAGAACCAGGGCTCTGTCCTATTCTGACCCTTCACTTTAAATTTTTTTTTTTTTTTTTTTTTGGTTTTTATGAGATAGGGTTTCTCTGTATTGTTTTGGAGGCTGTCAATCCAGCCCGGCCTGGAACTCACAGAGATCCACCTGCTTCTGCCTCCCGAGTGCTGGGATTAAAGGCGTGTGCCACCACCGCCTGGCTTCACTTTAAATTTAATTCTAGCATTTGGGAAGCAGAGGCAGACAGATCCTGTGTGAACTCAAGGGCAGCCTGGTCTACACAGAGTTATAAGCCAGCACACATCTGTAATGTAGAACTCAGGAGGCTAAGGCAGGAACATCAAGAGTTTAAGCCTAGCTTGGGCTACACAATGAGGCCCAATCTAAGAAGAAAAACTAAAACAACTTTAAAGCCGGGCATGGTGGTGCACCCCTTTAATCCCAGCACTCAGGAGTCAGAGGCAGGCGGATCTCTGTGAGTTCAAGGTCAGCCTGGTCTACCCTGGTCACCCCTGGGAAGGTGAAGTTGCTGCAGATCCAAATGACCCCCACCTCATGGCCTCAATGGTACAGGGCTTACAGCTTCTCCTCCCAGGGAGGGCAGGTGAGACCGAGGGAAGAGCATCAGGGCCAGTTCAGCAGTCGAATACCCAGGAGGCAAGAAAGCCTGTGAACCAGCCAGAAGATGGGAGGCCTCCTTAGCCCCGCTCCCACGATGCCCTTCCAAGGCACAGCAGGAACTCCTGAGCACTGGCCACGGTCACTATTGCAGCTTCTACCACCTTCCCAGACCCCTCATATGAAGGCTTCCATACAACATGCAAGTTCTCTTTTCCCTGTAACCTTGAGAAATCACAGCCTAAGCCAGCATGTTATCCCTGCCCTAGGCCTTGGCGCCTCAGGCCAGTCAGACCTTGTGATGACAGCTAGGGTCATAGGCATGCCCACTCTTGTCCTATAAGCTAGCCAAGTGTCTCTCCCCGCAGGGCCACCTTTAGGTTCATTTGGCATCTGGTAGAGTTCTACCTTTTCCAGTCCAGCCAGAACCTCTTTCAGGCTGTCCCATAGCTCCCCACCTGTGACTGACAAACCCCTGCACAGGGACAGGGACAGGTCAATGGCATGCCCACACTTGCCAGCCAGTGACTCACCTGACTCTTTCCACTCTAGCCCTTCAGCTCCCTCTGCACATTCCAGGACTCATACCTGGGTATCCTGAGCTCAGGACCCGGTAATCATCTCCCCATCCCCAGATCCAGGACTATTGAGCCAAAAGGCATTCTCCCTGCCTTCATTGTGGAGGACATTGTTAGTATTCAGGCATCTATACTGGTCTGCCCTTGGGGTTCTGACAGGATATGTCCTCAGCTGCAGCCGCTAAGAGCACCTCTTGTGCACATTCACTACATTCCCCTTTAAAAGAGCCCTGCCCACCTCCCGTCTCTCTCCCTGCCTCTGTCTATCTGTTCCCCCCTCTCTCTCCTGCTTCTCTGCCTCTCTCTGTCTCCCCTCTCCCCCCTCTATGCCTCTCTTTTCTGCTGCTCCTATCCCTAGAGGCCAGTTTCCCCCTCCCTTTCCCCAGTTTCCCATTCCCCTTCCCCTAATTAAAAAAAAACAACCCCTCCACATGAGCTCTGTCGCTTGGTGTCTTTTTCTCTCACACTAATTAAAAAAAAATTACAACACACATGACAAAACCCTCCTTAAGGCAAGCCTGCCTTATTTAAAACTACTTGGGAGGGACAGTCCTATTAGAGAGGCAAGATCAGAAGTTCAGCTATCCTCAGCTACATGAGCTAGAGGCCAGCCTGGGTTACACAAGACCTTGTCTAAATAATTATCCACCAGCCAGTCTGAGTCTTGCTTTTGTTGCCACTCCCAGCCCACTACTTCCTTCTCTACCTGGAGTCTGTCTGTCCTCCGCCTTGGGTCTCAGACCCCTTGGGTCTCAGCAGGCCTCCTGCCATGCTATTCTACACACAGACACCAAGCTAGGCTGCCAGCTAGCAGCCTGACAGAGTCCTCAGGCCCTGGGCAGCTGGGTGAAAACAATTACCAGAACACCTAAACACTGTACCTCTAAACAACACGGGAGAGCTAGGGATGCAGTTCAGTGTGTAGTGTGTGTTCCTAATATGTGAAACCCAGAGTTCAAGCTCCGGTACCCCAAAAACATGGTTTGGGGGTAAAAGCTTTTAATCTTAATACTTGGACATAATTGGAAGAAATTTAAGTTCACATTTAGCTACATAGAGAGTTTTAGGCTAGCCTAGACTACATGAGGTTTTTTTTTCTCTCAAACAAAGTCAAATTTAAAAAACAAAAAACAAAGCCGGGCGGTGGTGGTGCACGCCTTTAATCCCAGCACTCGGAGGCAGAGGCAGGCGGATCTCTGTGAGTTCGAGGCCGGGCTGGACCGACAGCCTCCAAAACAATACAGAGAAACCTTGTCTCGTAAAACAAAAAGACAAACAAAACAAACAAAAAACACCAAGAAACATTGGGTAGACCCAGCTAGATGGAATGGAGCCAAATGCAGGGAAGAAGCTAGACCAGTTGATTTTTGTTGTTGTTTTTTTGTTTTTTTGAGACAAGGTTTCTCTGTTTTTCTTTGGAAGCTGTCCAGGAACTAGCTCTTGTAGACCAGGCTAGTCTTGAACTCACAGAGATCCACCTGCCTCTGCCTCCTGAGTGCTGGCATTAAAGGAGTGTGCCACCATCACCGGGTAGACCAGTTGAAACAGGGATGATTGCAGCCTTTCTCTTCAGGGTTAAATGGGGACTGAGAAGACAAGGCATGCGCATGCATAGCATGTAGTGGAGCCTAAAGCTGGCCAGATACGCATGACCCCGCCCCGGAATAGTGAACCACAAGAGAAAACAGCAAGCAATGCTGGTAGTCATCTGCCCTCCCAGGACTTCAGAACCCTGGTTCATTGCCACTGGTCAGCCCCATGAGCTGCCCACCCAGCAAGCCACACAGCCTCCAGAAGGGTGCTAACCACTCCAGCGCTGGGCGGGACAAGTGCCTTCTGCTATGCATTTGTTTGGAGGTGTACGGGGCTGAATTCCCTGGAGAGTTCTGATCGTGGGCACTATCTAGATACACACCTGAGAAGTATTCACTGGAGTCCTCAAGGTGTCCATTCTGTGACATGGCCAAAGGACAGTCTTCTACAAGGGAAACCAAAGAATTTCACCAGCCCCGTGGACCAGCCCAGGACTGTCTGTCTCCTGTACCCTCTTCAACTCAGCCCACGCCACCCCTGCTGACTCCTTCTCTTTCCTAGGAACACATACCAGGCTAAGAGGCAGAGGTCAGAGTATTACAGAGGGGACCCTGTAATATCTGGGGAGGCCAGTCTTCATCTAGGCTACTAAATCCCTTCCTTAGTTTATCTACTAGGGGCTGCCTAGGTAAGCAAAGGGCGCGAAGGGTGCTTTTTCAGGTCATTTCATCACTAAATTATCATCAGTACTCAGCTCACTAACCCAAGCATCTCTGACTGAACCGAATCCAGCTCTGGAGGAAGGCAGCTGGATCTGGCCTCCTGCCTGGATCCCGCCCTGCCACGCCCAGTACTTTGGGAAGGGGGAGTGTTCATGAGCCTCTCCTCAGATCTGCCCTGGTCCCACGGACTACACATGCCCATCTTAGGCGCAGTTTTAACGACTTCCCCAATAGCCAGGGGTCATCTGGGGAACCGACTCAGCAACTGCCTGCTTCCCACGGCGTCACCGTGGTTCTGGGCCGCCAGAGAGGAGTCACTGGTCCAGAAAGAAGGGTCGGAGTGGGCAGGTAGAATAGATTGAGGTTGGAGATACTATCAGGATGTTTGTGCGAGGAAGGACTCACTGGAGAGACCATATGCACGAGAAAGGGGCATGGTCGACACTCGCAAACCCTGAGAATGAGGGGATGGACAGGATTTCGAGGCACTAGGGGCGGTAGCGAAGAACAAACTACACCAGGAGCAGGTGAGCGACCGGACACACCCGGCTCTGGTGGTTCTCGACTCTAGGCGGTGGCACGCACTCCGGAGCTGTGGACGCCGCAGCGCCACCCTGCCCACTTCCTCATTCCCCACCCTCCGCTCCGCCGGTTACGTTACATCTTTCATTCAAGTACTGAAGGTGTGTCAAGGCGGCTAACGCAGAACAAATACCAACGGGATGCCCGCCCACGGCGTCCCCGGCCGTCCCTTGCCGCGAGCGCGCACTGGGACTCGGGTCGCCTTCTGTAGAACCCCGCCGGAGGCGCGAAGCCCGCACAGCCTCTGGCCCACCCTGGTCTGCGCTGGAACACACGCCTGGTGGCCGTGGCCCGGGCTTCTCACCCAGGACTCCGCCGTTCCGGGCGGGCTCGCAGCAGGAGCCGGTGACACACTCGCGAGCCGCGCCGCGGTCCTAACCGTGCGACGTGAAGTGGCTTCCAGCCTAGGTCGCGCCCTCACCCGCGAGGTCTGCTCCGGATCCGTGGCGGCTCACGTGCACAGGCCCAAGCTTCGCGGAGTGCGGACCCGGGAGGGGCTACGAAGTTTCGGAACAGTTCCAATGTGTGGGGCTACTCATCTGCGCCCCGAAGGCACCGGGGCGTCCGCCTTAAAAGCGTGGCGGAACTCCGCCTCCACCTTAGCTGAGCGCCACTGCCAGCCACGCCTGCGGGCTGCAGAGCCGCCCCCAACACGCCCTTGCCGCGCCCCTTTGTCCTTGCCACGCCCCCGACCGCCCCAGCAGTCTCCAACCCCCGCCCACGCCGCTTTGTGCACTTGCCCCCCGGCTAGCGCCCTGAGCCGTCGCTGCTCGTTCGTGTGCTGGCGCCCGCCATGAATTCCTCATCCTTCTCTCAGGTTAGGAGGTGCCCGGGTCTCTGGAGAGCGGGTCGTGATGAGTTCTGACAAGTAGGATGAGCATCTCTTTTCCCCACCCTACCTCCACCCCCGGCCCGACCCTTCGTGGCTTCCAAGTAAGTGATTCTGCAGACCTCGGGCCTCGTACTGACTCTGGAGCACACACTTAAGCAAAGTACTAGTCTCCAGCCACCCCTCTACCACTCCGTGATACACCCCGCACAGAGTTCTCCCCACTGTCGTGGAAAGGGGCCGTGCAGCGCAGGCTTTTGGAGTGTTGCAGGGATTTGTATGTAAATAGCTGTGATTGCTGGGCGTTGGTGGCGCACGCCTTTAATCCCAGCGCTCAGGAGGCAGAGGCAGGTGGATCTCTGTGAGTTCAAGGCTAGCCTGGTCTACAGAGCGAGTTCCAGGACAGCCAGGGCTGTTACATAGAGTAAACCCTGCCTCAGAAAACCAAAATAAACAAGCAAACAAACAAATAGCTGTGATGAGCCCAGCTGGCATTAGGAGCCTGGAGGGCCCCGAAGGCTCCTCACTCTCGTGCTTTTCCAGGATCCCTGCTCCAAGAATCCTGATGAAGCCCCGCGCTGCTTCATGTAGGACGACCATGTAGGACGATCTCCTCTTTTCTTCTAGCTTGAGCCCCAGCCCTATACAAGCTTGCGGAGTTGCAGCAAGGTTCAGGAAAACGGAAGAGCCAGGTAGGATGACAGACAGAGGGCCGTGATCCTGCTTTAACCCAGGCACTCTTGTCCTAATACCTGGTTGGTCCAACCCCTGCTATTCATGGAAACCTCTGGTGACTAGAGGAACAACTTCCCCAACTCTGCTTACTGAGGAAAGGGAGTGCGCTGTCCCCCTCAACACGCGTCCTGCCATGTGTGTGTGGCCTTCTCTGTCTCAGGACCTGACCTCTCCACTGCAGCCTCCCAGGCAGTGTATCAGGACCAGTTTCCTTATGGCCTTCCCACCTGCCTTGTGCTGTGCAGACTAGAGGCCGAGGGCAAACAGATGCACAAGTCTTCCTGCCTTTGCCTCACTGGGTGATGACTTGAACAGGCAGGCTGAGGGACCCCAGTATATGCACACACATCCCCTCAAATTCCCTGAGAGCCTCTGACATCACTGGATTCCAGGCAGTGCCTAGTGACTTTACAGGTACTTTAAGCTCCGCCTGCCCTTTGCCAATTGTAGACTCTGGGGTGAGATGCAACCATTTAGTACTTCATTTAAAAAAATAATAAAACAAGACAAATGTGGCAGCATAGGCTTTTAATCCCAGCACTCAGTGGGCAGAGGCAGGTGGATCTCTCCAAGTTTGAGGCCAGCCTGGGCTAAAGAGAAGTTCGAAGTCAGTCAGAGATCCATAATGAGATCTTAATCCCAAAACAACAACAAAACAAACAAACAAAACTTAAGGGTAGAGAGACTGCTCACTGCTCTGGTAGAGGACCTGGGTTTGTTTCTCAGCCCCGCATGGTGGCTGGCGACTACCTGTAACCCCACTTCTGATGCCTGCTTCAGCTTCTGCTTTCTACAGGCAGTCACGGTGGACACATGAGCACACTCATACACATAAAAGAAAACTGACCTAGGGTCGGGCAGTGGTGGCACACGCCTTTAATCCCAGCACTCGGGAGGCAGAGGCAGGCGGATCTCTGGGAGTTCGAGGCCAGCCTGGACTACAGAGAGAGTACCAGGACAACTTTCAAAGCAATACAGAAAAATCCTATCTCGGAAAAAAACAAAACAAACAAACAACTGATCTAAAAAATACTCAAAACATTAAAAACTTTTCAAATGGGGGACTGACAACCTGACTAGCAGGTAGTGGCTCTTGCCACCAAGCCTAACGACTTGAGTTCAATCCCAGGAGCCCACATGTGGAAGGAGGAATCCCACTCTCACAAGTAGTCCTCCAACCTTGACCCTCCACATGCCCCGTGGAACATGTGTCCCTCCAAATAATAAAGAGCTTTAATAAAAAGGGGAGGTGGGGACGGGAGGGCAGGGGAGAGAGAGCGAGCTGGAATTGACATGTGAAGCAAGCTTGTTTCTAATTTAAATAAATAAAAAACAGGTTAAAAAAGGGTGGTGGCATCAAGATGGCAATTTGTAACGGTGCTTGCCATGCAGGCCTGGTGACCTGTGGTCAGTGCCTGGAGCACACATAGAGGTGAAGGAAGAGAACTGACCCCAAATCAAATCCAGGAACAAATGCTGCCTTTTCACAATGGCTTGAATTGGCCTGTTTGCACCTCTAGCCCTGTCTACTGTGTGGCTGTCTAACAGCACTGCCTTTATCACTCCATAAGCCTCTTTTCCTTCTGCTGGTTTCCCTTCCACTTAGCAAGGAGAACCACATTCTGGCTGGCCTGTAGAAGCGGGACTGCTATTCAAGCTGACTATAGCCTGTCCCTGGCCTCATCTTACACCTGCTCCTGGGGATGTCATTCTACCCGAAGGGACTGCCATGGACCCTCCACCACGACCAGCCCCTTCCTGCCTCGAAGCCTGAGGAGCTTGATATGACCCCATTTACTTTTCAAGCCTCAGAGACTTTTGGTTCATCTTACTTCCTAAAGTTAAATTCCTGCCTTCCTTGGTAGGCTTTCTTGGGAATACTGCGGTCCATTCTTTCTACCTGCTTTCTGGTTCCATCCCTCTGGCTAGATGTGAGCCCCTGACAGCAGGTCTGTATGTTTGTCCTTCAAGGGTACAGCATGGGGAATAAACGACACGTACTAAGTGATGCTGGTTTGAACACCCATCAGCGTCTCTTTATGTGCATATTCAGTCTCATGTTGGGCTTTCTTGTCTAAATGGCTTCTTAGGGAAGAATCTAAACAGAGATGGAGTTATTTCAAGCCAATGACCCCTCCACTTCCACTTAAGTATAGATTGCCAGCTATACCCCAGGCAGAGGTAGAGGCAGGGGGATTAGCAAGTTCAGGGTCATCTTTGCCTACAGAGAATCTCACGCTATCCTGAAATATGAGACCCTGTTTCAAAAACAAGGTAGGTCAGGCATGGTGGCACAGGCCTTTAATCCCACTGCTAGAGAAAAAGAGGCAGTCAATTTCTGTGAGTTTGAGGCCAGCCTGGGCTAATTAGTGAGTTCTGAGACAGTCAGAGCTATATAGAGAGATCCCATCTCAGGAAACCAAAGCCAACCATCCAACCAGAAAAAAAACAAAACAAACAAACAAAAAAAAAAAACTCCACAGAAACCAACGATGCAACAAAACCCTAAAATAATCAGAAACAAAAATGTTAAAATGAGATTCGTGGTGGGGGGTTGTGGAGTGCACTTACATGGACAGGCACTTATGTGGACAGTGGACAAGCATGGTGGCCAGAGGTCAACCTTCTCTGTTGAAACTCAAGTGCTGTCAGCCAGCGTTGGTGCCACATACCTTTAATCCCAGCACTTGAGAGGCAGAGGCAGGCAGATCTCTGTGAGTTCCAGGCCAGTCTGGTCTACAGAGGGAGTGCCAGAATAATAGGCTCCAAAGCTAAACAGAGAAACCCTGTCTTGAAAAAAACAAAAAAGAAAAAGAAAAACCTCAAGTGTTGTCTGCCTTGTCTTATTGGTACCTGAGGTTGCCAATTAAGCTAGGCTGACTGGTCAGGATCTGCCTGCATCCACTTCCCAGTCAACACTGGATTCAAGATGAGACACCCACCTTTTTGTTTGCTATGTGGGGGCTCTAGTAGGAACCCAGGCCCCCACGATTGCACAGCAAGTGTCTTACTGACTGACCCACCCCATCTGTCTCCCCAGTCCCCAGAAATGAGTCTTCTTAGTTAGAAAATTCCATGAAGATTTAGTCTCAGACTGAACAGTGTTCCTTATCAGTCCATCTTTCCTTTTTCCTGTTGTCTGTATTTCTCTATTACTAGGACATTCACCCAGGCATTAAGTTTCAGAGATGCAATTTCCCAAAACGTGAAACAATGAGGGGGAAAACTTCAACTTCTTTACTGATGTCGGGAAAGCAGCAGTCACTGTGGGGGAAGGTGGATACACATGCCAACTGTCGGGTTGCTCTTCTCCTTTGAAGACTTTTATTTATTAGTATGAAATAGAAATCTTTGAGCCTCCTGCAGACTTTGCTTTAAGCTGATCAATTTAGCAATTCAGAGGTCTTGAATAGGGAAAGGAAAATAATTTGTTGATAAACACATTTATTTTTCTTCAGATGTTTGGAGAATGAAACAAGTTTGGCATCGTTTCAGAACATTAGGTTTTTTCCATTTCGGTTTTTTCCACTTTTACCTTCAAGTCATCCATCCCCTTGGCACTATCTGGCCAGTCATTGTCTTGTCATCAACTGGTCCTTCAAAATGGCTTTGTTTGGTACCCTTGTTACCACCACCAACCTGTAGCAGCAAGTCCCTGCTTATCAAATAGGCTCCCCCCAGGACACTCCTGCACTAGGTATACAAAGGAACTATACAGTCAAGTGGTGGTGGTGAATTATTTTGCTTGTTTGATACAGGGTCTATGTAGCCCGGGCTGGCTGGAACTCGATATCTAGCTGAAACCGGCCTCAAACTCAGAGCTCCATGTGTGCCTCCCAATTGCTGTAATTAAAGGCATGTGCCACCATGCCTGGCTAATTTTGATGTACAGGATAATAATTATCATATTCATATTTATTTGTGTTTGCCTGCATGTATATGTGTGCCATGTTGATATCTGGTACCTGCAGAAATGAGAAGAGGCATTGGATCCCCTGGAGTTACAGATGCTTGCAAGCCACCATGTTGGTGCTAGGAATGGAACCTGAGTCCTCTGCAAGTGCAACAAGTGCCCTTAACCACTGAGCCATCTCTACAGCCCTTACTATTATTTTTTGAACTCTGTGCTGTTGAAGATAACCTTGAAGTCTTGGTCTGCCTGGGTCTGCCACACCTGAGTGCTGGGATTACAAGTGTGTGCCACCATGTCCAATTTATTCAGTGTTGAGGGTGGGACCCAGGGCTTCTTGCATGCTAGGCTAGTACTCTATCAACTAAACTGCAACCCCAGCCTGAGAATTCTTTTTGGTGTGTGTATGTGCCAGTGCTCTTGTGTATACATGTGTGTGTAGGCCTGTTGGTGGATGTTTGTTTCCCATCTGCCAGTTCCCAAATAACTGACATGGAGACTGAATATGAATTATAAATGCTTGGCCAATAGTTCAGGCTTGTTACTAGCTAACTTTTTTTTTTTTTTTTTTTTTTAGACAGGGTTTCTCTGTGGCTTTGGAGGCTGTCCTGGAACTCACTTAGTAGACCAGGCTGGTCTCGAACTCACAGAGATCCCCTGCCTCTACCCCCCCCCCCCCCCAGGGCTGGGATTAAAGGAGTGTGCCACGAATGCCAGGCTACTAGCTAACTCTTAAAGGTGTAGAAATTAAGGATTCACCAGACCCAGTATGAATAATTAGTGAAGTTTTATTGGTGGAAGAACTTACATAGAAAACAGTGACTGTCGCTCCAAGGACACAGTGTGACCTTAGCACCCCCTCCACCCCGCCCCAATCCTTTCCCTTTAACCAGTCATGTCTGTACCTGTAACCATGTGGAAAAGGCGTGGCCACTGTTACAGGTGCCCAGGCAAATATATCGCTACAAACTCTTACATTTAAATTAACCCCTATTTCTTATCTATGCTTTGCCATGTGGCTTGGTACCTTTTTTTGTTGTTGTTGTTTTTGTTTTACGAGACAGGGTTTCTCTGTATTGTTTTGGAGGCTGTCGGTCTAGCCTGGCCTCGAACTCACAGAGATCCGCCTGCCTCTGCCTCCCGAGTGCTGGGATTAAAGGCATGTGCCACCACCGCCCAGCGTGGCTTGGTACCTTTTCTGAGTACCACATGCCCGTCTTGCTTCTCTCTGCGTCTGCTGGAGACTCCTCAGACTTTGCCCTTCTTTCCAACATTCTCTGTTTGGCTCTCCTGCCTAACCTTATCCTGTTCAGCTATTGGCCAGTTAGCTTCTTTATTAAACCAACCACAGTGACATATATTCACACAGTGCAAAGGAATATTCCACACAGGTCAGAGGATAACCTTCCTCTGTCAAGTTCATCAATGCTACTCACCTCCCCTCAAGCCCCCCTCCAAACCCCCTGATTGTCTCTTACCTCCTGGAACTTGCCAAGTAGAGTGGGCTAGCTAACAGGTCGGTCTGCGAGCCTCAGGGATCTACCCGGTTTCCATCTCCTAGTGTTCTACACATGTGCCACCATACCCAGACTTAATTTTCTTTTACTTTTTAGGTATATGTTTTGCCTGCATGTATATTTGTGCACCACTTGTGTGGCTGGTGCCTGTGGAGACCAGAAGAAGGTGTTGGATCCCCTGCAACTGGAGTTATAGACAGGTATGAGCCAGAATATGGGTCCTGGAGATCAAACCCAGGTTCTTCTGGGTTAGGAGTCATCTCTCCTTAGTTCTCTAGATGGCTGGAGCCATCTCTACAGCCCCAGAAGTTTTTTTTTTTTTTTAAACTTGAGTTCTGGGGATCAAACTGAGGTCCTTAGACTAAGTCATTCTGAGAATTCCATTTAATGTATTTTGATTATATTCTTTTCCCTTCCTCCTCCCAGGTCCTCCCTTCCCTCGTACTCACCTGACACACGTAGTGTGCAATGATTTGTGCTGACCAGCTAACTATTCCTGCCATAGATTTGTAAAGACAAAGGCTCATATAGCCCAGACTGGCCTCAAACTACATAGCCAAGGCTGACCTTAAACGCCTGATCCTCCTGCCAAATTACCTGGATTACAGGCATATACTACCCTGCCTGGTTTTAGAATGTTTTTTTTTGTTGTTGTTGTTGTTTGTTTGTTTTTTGGTTTTTCGAGATGGTTTCTCTGTATTGTTTTGGAGGCTGTTCTGGAATTCACTCTGTAGACCAGGCTGGCCTTGAACTCAACAGAGATCCGCCTGCCTCTGCTTCTCAAGTGCTGGGATTAAAGGCATGTGCCATCAATGCCCTGCTAGTACCTACCAGAAAACAGTGTTTATGAAAATCAGTCAGGAACATCTGATAGATTGGAAGGCTCCCTGGGAGCAAGCCCTTGACACTGTTTCTCCTCACCCAACCTTCCTGAATGTGGGCCTCTGGTCTGCAAGATGTGAGGCAGGAGGCTTGGGGGGCAGGGTTACTGCTGTCACCCTTTCCACATCTACCAGACCTTCCCCTGTACTGCAGCATTTAAACTCCCAAGCCTCCTGCACTGTTTTAGGAGGGCTGCTCTGAGCTCTCCTTTGGGCTAACTCCCAAAGCTGCCCTTGGGGGGCACTTCCCTTTGCCTCAGGCCCCTGAGGATATGACAGGAAGCAGGAGCTGTATGGACCAGGCTGCCTGGAGAGGTATCCCAAGAATCAGCCCTGTCAGCTTTGGGGTTGGGGATGAGGGGTAGATGGCAGCCATGTGACACAAACCCCATGCCAGTTCATGTTTGTTTTATTCCTCTAGTGTTGCAGACACTTGGGCCAACTTTGGAAGCTCTGTGCTTCCACAGCCCCACTCCAGAGCTCTTTCAGATCCAATTAGACGAGGCCAGTGTCCCCACTGCTGTGCTGTTACTCTGCCTGTTGGTAACTCAGTTGCCCCCATTCATAAAGAGAGCTTGTAAAAGGAGTTGGTCGAGCTCTGAAAGCATGGCTCCCACTGAAGCTTTGCCAGGTGGTCAGGGTTGGGCGAGTAAGCACGGTGCACATGCCTATAACCCTATTATACTAACTTTTGAGAATAGAACATGGCCAGCCTCTGGTACATAGCAAATTTGAGGCCAGCATGGTCTACAGGACATCTTATTTCAAAAAAAGCAACAACAAAAAGGAGGGTGGAGGGTCTGGGGTTGTAGATGAGCGATGGAGCCATGTGCCCAGCATGATCCTCCCTGACCCTTGCAATACAACAAGCAGAGAGGTGGAGTCTCAGGAGTGGGCAGGGGGCACTTGCAGTGTGGTGAGCTTTTCTTTGGGATGGTTAGTTTTGTGTACCTTGTCTCCAGCTCCTGGGGCTCCTCAAGTGTATAAGCCAGGGTGGGTAACTGTATGGTGTTTTACCCTCTGTGGGGGCTCCAAGTGTGAGTCTCGAGGGCTCCTCTCAGCAGTCCTAGCCAGGAACAACCCAGCCAGACTGAGAAAGTCTCCAGTTCCCAGGTTCTACCTTACAAAGCCATACCTGGGACATGGGACATGGGACAGTCAGGGACAGAGGCAACTTGTTGAGTGACAGTTTATTGGTCCTTAGCATTACATCTTAATATCCAAGGGAAATTCACAGACACAACTGCAGGTAAAAACATGTAAAATAATATAAAAATAAATTGAAGGCTACTTTTATATATTTACTGAATTAAGTAGTGTAATAAATACTATAATAAGCAAAAAGCTTCAATCACACAGTTCAGTTTCACTGAAGTTATAGTAGTGTTTGTAAATATGAATTTGTAAAATTTAAGTTACAAATATTAAAGCATTGAAAAACTAGTATAAAAGTGAATTTTGGCACGTAAGGGAGCTCTTCCATTAGTATCTGACTGAGGGACAGTGAGAAAGCCACCTCCCACCAGTTTTTGAGGTACAGCTATCAACTAGTTAGCAGCACGGCTAGAATACTTAACAGTTTAGTCTTTGAGTTGAACTTTTCCCTTTTGAGAAGCCAGAGCTTATTACTGTGCAAAAATTCTCCAAAATCCTAACAGGATTTAGGAGGGACATTTGTACTGATCACAGCCTAAAGGGCTAGTGTTCAGGCCTCAGGTCCAAGAGCCTGAGGGCTTGGTGGGGCCAACCTGGCTCCTATATTTGCTTCCTCCCTCCAATCATCAAGGGGAAATCCCACATTAAAACAAACAACCCATAACTTCAGTGACTTCACCACTATCACACTCACTCTGGTGATAAAACTGAAGCTGCTACTAGGGAAGCTGGTGGAAAGCACAAAAGCCCCTGGAGGACTTTGCCTGTCCTGGGAACTGATCCCTAAAACCCTTGCTGGGTCCCTGCTATCTATCCACTTCTAAGATCAAAGGCTGAAACAGAGCCACGCTTTTCCTCAGGAGATGGCTTCAGACCACACTGTTTGACCCAAAGGTCAAAGTGGATCATCCAATCGCATCGTCAAAGTCAAGAGACGCACAGGTTGTAGGGGACAGTCCAGGAGAAGCCTGGCCCTCTCCTGGTCCTCAAAGAACTCACAGTGTGTGGTTGCTGGGCCCCTCTAGACTCCCGAGCAGGCTGGGAACATCTATGGAGGCTTCAGCTGGCAAAGAATTTCTGAATATTCCGCCTTTTCTTCAAACCCACAGTTTTATAATCGTGTTGAGGTAATCAGTTTTCCCTCTGATGAGAGAACGGGGCAGTGGGGCAGGTTGGTGAAAGCACATTGCTATGACAGTGGTCAGAAACCAAGTTCACACACAGCGTGGCCCCAACCCCTCTTTAAAAACACTTTGTGCAGCAGCCAGACTGCCAGGCCAGAGCAGCCAGAGCTCTTAATCCAGAGCTTCCATTGAAAATTTCACAGTAACCCTGCAGGAAATGAAATGGCCTGTGGTTCTCCCCCCACCCCCAAAGGAAATGAAATAGCTTTGTGGTCCCCTTTCCCTTTTCTAAGGCTGCTAGCTCAAATTTTAGTTTTTAAAAAGAGCTTGGTGAAGATAAGTCATTGCTTATTAATCAATTGCACTTAAGATCTATGCTACTGAACTCCAGCCAGAAGTCGGGGATTTCCAGACTGGAGCTCGACAGGAGAGCCTTGTCACCAGTGTATTTTGGAGCTGAGATTGGAGCATATGGGCCTTTCTCTCTCAATGCAAGATTTCTTATCCAAATGGTACTTGTAATTTGGCTCATTTGTTCAAATGCTTTTTTCCTAATAAAAGTATATTTCACTGACAAGCCTTGATTATTACTTTGCTTTTTGCCCAGAGAGCTCTGTTATGAGCGCACGGCCTCATAAGCTCCATGTACCTCTCTGTTGTGCCAGGGCCCTTCCTCAAAGTCTCTCCACATCACAGAACACGATGCTGGCTTTACCTATGTGCTTCTTCCTAAGGCATGCAAAGAAGTCCAAGAAACTCAGAAAACGTTTATAGTTCAAACAGCAGAGGCTCTCACATCCTAGCAGACGTCCCCTTTAGTGACCTTGTTCCCCACTCTAATTAGGAAGGTCAGTCTTGGGATGCTAACTAATTCACCTTTGCTGTACGGTTCAACCTAAAAAAAAAAAAAAAACACTGGAACACTGGAGGGGATTCTAATTTGGATATCAGAATTCTTGAAATTCCTGGTCCCCAGGAACCAAGTAAACAAATTCAGGGGCAGTTTCGGGGGGAGGTTTTCTGAAATGTATTGCCTTCCATGACAAAGAGTGACGAGGCTGGATGTCAGAGACCAACAGCTCCCAAACGATTAGACCCTGGGCCCAAGACTAACCAGTTAGGGATATTCACCTTGACTGGGAGGCCAGGACTGCCAGGGCTTAGGCAGCAGGTCTGCTTGTCTCTGAATGCACAGCAATGCCACAGCAGCACCTAGACCAACCCCGGGAGTGCTGCTATTAATGCAGGGGCATCACACTTCCAGGAAGCAACCTATCTTGCTTCCATTCATCCCACAAAAGTGCTTTCATCTAGAAGGCATTGTAGATCTCTGCCTGGCCACTGCTTAGGCAACCAGGGCTCCTTCTAAATCCCAACAGCATCACTGTGCAAGTCAAAGGCTTCTCCTCAGCCCAGCAGTCTGAGGGAGATTGCTTCATCAGACACCAGAGCTGCTCATCCTGTGCACAGCCCCCACTGAGGGTGCAGAGAGAAGGGAGAATAAAGACAACATGTACTACACGGCAGGCACAGGCCAGGGAGGACAGAGACAGCCCCTTCAGGAGGGGCCTCCTAGGAAAGATGGACACCCATTCATTCATTCATCTCTGGTGGGCACAGGCCCAGCTTTCTTTAGGGCTTCTGCTCAAAGAGGTCGCGGTATTCCTGCTGCTCCAGCTCCCGGTTGTACCTCTCAATTTCCCGATTGGCCTCTTCCACGTAATCATTCATGAACTGGTCCATGACTGGCGCCTGGTTAAGGTGGTAAGATATGAGCCTGGAGAACAGGAAGGAGCACTTACCCTAGGGGGACCTGTGGGCAGGTGAGGTATGGGACACCAAACTGTCTGACACAGAGCATCTCAGCTACAAGGAGGGCAACAGGCATCATGAAGTCCTAGACCGGGCTCTTGGGTTTCATTACACATTGAAGCTTGCCAGTCTTGTGCTTCATCCTGTCCTTCTCTTTACACACAGACTGCTCTAACAGGCCATCTTCACTTTGTATGTCACGACCCTGTTGTTACCAATGCTGCCTTAAAACCACACTGCTCAATTAATCCCAGCACTCGGGAGGCAGAGGCAGGCAGATCTCTGTGAGTTCCAGACCAGCCTGGTCTACAAGAGCTAAGTTCCAGGACAGCCTCCAAAGCCACAGAGAAACCCTCTCAAAAAGCCAAAAAAACAAAGTACCAAAAAACCAACAACTTTAAAAGGATAATATGGTGCCTGTGGGGTTTGTCCCTGTGAGCTCCTTCAGGACTATAGACCTTGTATGCTCCTAGGACTTAGCTGTGCTGGTCCTAGCAGATACCCATTTTACAGGAGAAGTTTGCATCTCCCATATTTTCACACTGGGATTAAACTGATTCCAAGGATACGTGGGTGAAAATCGGTCTTGTCCCCAAAGAAGTTAACAAACTGGGTGCCATTGTAAAAGTAGCCTGCAGGAAGGGGATCCAAATGGCGTTTCACCTGTTGGAAAAGAATCCTCTTGAATAATCTGACAACTTTTTATCATTCATTCATTCATCCATTCAAAACAAACACCTGGGCATGGAGGCCCATGACTTTATTCCTAGTACCCTGAAGGCAGAGGTATGTGGATATCTAGGAATTTGTGGCTAGCTGGCCTGGTCTACATAGTGAGTTCCAGGCCAGCTGACTGCATAGGTGGCTCAGTTGTTCTTTCAGAAGACCTGGGTTCAATTCCAAGCACCCACATGGTAGTTCACAACCATCTGTAACTCCAGTTTCAGAGATCTGACACCCTCTTCTGGCACTAACATGATGCACAGACATTGGGACTAGCAGCAGTCCATGATGGCACTTAGAATGTAGCTTCTGGTTTTTTGTCCTGAGGCCTCAGTGTGCATGGGCTTTGGGAAGAGGTTTGGGGTCAGTTTGCTATTAACACTTACCCAGGAAATCTCACTTTGGCCTTAGGATACCATAGCTTTCCTACGAACAGCTCTGTCTATATGACTTTCTTCTGGGACTCAGCTGACTTCTGTGTAATTTGTCTTAAGCAGAGATCTTGTAAAACTACTTGGGCAGGTTGAGAAGTTCACGCTTCCCATTTTCCAGTCCTTTTACAGGTACCAGATCTCTTCCACTTCATTGACAGGTCACAGCAGAAGTGGCCACTCCATTTACTGAAGCTATAGGTCAGGTTTCCTGACCAGCTTCCTTTTGTGTCCAGAGAGAAGCAAGACTGCCAGGATATCCTACAAACCGTCCCTGACTCTGTGAACAAACCCAGGACAGCACTACAAGTCTAGGACAAGCACTTAGGGGAAGGTAGGCCACTCACATGGATGGTCTTGATCTCCTGCTGGGTCAGCATTCCCCTGGTTTTCAGAGCTTTCCTCTGAGGCCTCTATGTAGATGTGGAGAGAACACACATTTCAACAGAGCTGAGGGAATACAGGGTAGCTGAAGGCTCAAAGGAGTGTGAGTCAGTTACATATCGAAGATCCCAGAAGGAAGAGCAAATGAACTAGCTTTTGTGGACATAATATCTTGCTTGTCTACTCCCTTGAGGAAACTCCTTTCCCACTACAGAGGTTTGCAAGATAGTCGGAAACAAATGGTAGAGCCTAGTGCTTTGCAAATGGGCATAGTCCTTCCTGCCTTTTGGCAGATTCAGGTGCCTAAGTCACAACAGGTAACTGAGTGCCTGAGGTTTCACAGTCTAGTAGCATTTAAGACATTATCCAAAGCAGGGAGTGGTGACACACACCTGTGATCCCTGCAATTGGGAGGCTTAAAGCCGGAGGGTTAAAAATCTGAAGCCAGCCTGGCCTACACAGTGAGAGTCTGCCTAACCACCTCAGTCAAAAAAACAACTAACATCCTACAAAACACCCCTTCAAAACAAAAGCACAGGCCGGGCGTTGGTGGTGCACGCCTTTAATCCCAGCACTGGGGAGGCAGAGGCAGGCGGATCTCTGTGAGTTCGAGACCAGCCTGGACTACCAAGCTAGTTCCAGGACAGCCTCCAAAGCCACAGAGAAACCCTGTCTCGAAAAACCAAAAAAAAAAAAAAAAACAAAAAAACAAAAACAACAAAAAAAAACAAAAGCACAAGCAGAGCTGGGTGTTGGTGGCCCACACCTTTAATCCCAACACTGGGGAGGCAGAGGCAGGAGGATCTCTTTGAGGCCAGCCTGTCTACAGAGTGGGTTCCAGGAAAGGCTCCAAAGCAATACAGAGAAACCCTGTCTTGAAAAACAAAACCAAAAAAAACAAACAAAAAGAAAAACTAGGAAGGGAAAAGCAAAAGCATAATTTACCCGTGAGAGGCAGCTCATAGCTCCTATAAGGCTAGTATCAATGGACAAAACCTAGGGCCCATGCAACTCTGCTCCTGGAGTTCCAGACAAGCCAAACTACCGATATTGCCTGCGCTTAGCACCACAGCTTCTAGAGCATCTGGGCGTCAGAGTCCACAGTACTGGGCTGGAAGAAGCTCAGCAGCATGGAGCACTGCTCTTCCAGAGGACCTGGGAGTGACTTCTAGCCCCCAGGTATCTGCATCTCTAGTTCCAGGGCTTCTGACTCTTCCAGCCTCCACAGGCACCAAGCACACATGTGGTGCAGATATATGTGCAGGCAAAACGCCCATACACATAAAATAAAAAGTAAAAAAAGTACATAGGGCCAGGCTTTAGTCGCAGCACTCAAGAGGTAGGGCTGTGAGTTCGAGGCCAGTCTGGTCTACATAGCTCCAGGACAGCCAGGACTGTCACAGAAAAACTCTGTCTTGAAAAACAAATAAAACCCCCAAACCAAGGTGGGTGGTAGCTGTGTATGCCTTTAATCTTAGCACTCAGGAAGCAAAGGTAGGCAGGCAGATCTCTGTGAGTTCGAGGTCAGCCTGGTCTACAGAGGACAGCCTAGAACTAGAGCTACACAGAGACCCTGTTCAGAAAAACAAACAACAACAACAAAAAACCCAGACACAAAACAAAACACAATATTGCCATATCTGCCTTGAGTTTGCCCCCACAGGCTGCTTCTTAATCCTAAAATGTCCCTAAGTATTGACTGAGCCCTGAGGTGTATACTGGTGGGTGTCAGAGGGAAGAAGGCCAGAGTCAGTGGAGTGTGCTGGTTGTGTCTGGGCTCAGCTATGTTGGTTTTGCAAGTCACCTGCTTAGCTGACTGTCGAAGCCAGTCCTTGAGGCTGTCCTCCTTCAGGGAGCAACCAATGAACACAAGGTAGCATTCTGGCTGCCCACTGTCTTGAGGTGTGCTTCTTGAGTTGGGTGGTGGAGTAGGTCCCTCCAAAACTGGCATAATGCTCAGGGAGTTGGTCAAAGTGTTGTGACAGACCTCCATGGTCTTTTCAGAATCTGCACAGAGAACACATTTTTCCATGAGATCAAATCACAAAAGAATGCTACACTATAAGCCGGGTGGTGGTGGCGCACGCCTTTAATCCCAGCACTTGGGAGACAGATGCAGGTGGATCTCTGTGAGTTCGAGGCCAGCCTGGTCTACAGAGCGAGTTCCAGGACAACCTCCAAACAATACAGAGAAACCCTGTCACGAAAAACCAAAAAAAAAAAAAAAAAAAAAAGAATGCTACACTGTAAGTGTTGGCAGGTTGACAGATTCCTAAGAACTGACATGATGAGTAGTGGTAAGTTGGAAAGGATGAAATAGAAGTTTATGGCTCGGTTGGTGTGGGTGATAAGACACACACTTAACCAGGCAGAGGACCATAAGAGGAAGAAAAGACTTGTAGGCAAGATAAGCTGGGCCATTCACCACTGCCTCTGCAAGGCTGTAAAAGGAGAGGCCTCTGCACTGATAGTAACATCCAGGGAAGCAGCAACATCTCCCCAGAGGCTAAATGCAGTGTCTGGCTGTGACACCAAGAACTAAGCACTACCCAGCAGCTTGAGGGGCAGCAACCTGAGGAGGTGGCCAGTGGTGAATGCTCTTCTAGAGGACCAGTTTTTGATTCCCAGCACCCAGACAGTGGCTCACATCATCTATAATTCCAGGTGCAGGGGATATAAATGGGTACTAGGCACACATGGTATACACATACATTCGGGCAAAACCTGCATAAATGTAAGTAACACAGATTTATAAAAGAGTGGAAGAAAGCATTGACACACATTAGCTGGGTTTTAATGGCTGTATCCTGTAGCCCAACTGCTCCAAGATTTGGAGGCCCTCAGCAGAAATCCTTCATCTCCTCAGATGCAATAAACTGCTGTGGTTCCTGTCTTTTCTGCCTCTGAACTTTGGCAAATGCTGTTCTTTTTCCTTGGCATTTGCTCCTCTTCCTCAACATTGAGGTGACATGTTTGAGTTCCTCTCTGACCCCCATCCTCAGAAAATCAACAGGATTTTAAGGGCTCTAAGGGTCTAAAGCTTACTAAACAAAAGGAAGAAAAAAAAAAGCAGAGTTCCAAGACTTTGACTAGATTGGGAATTCTGGCTTTGTCAAGTCTGGGAGGAAGGAAAGAGGAAGCCATGGATGACCATGTGGGGTGTAGGTCTGTGAAATGTGGAGTCAAGGAGATGTGGAGAGTAACCCAGGAGCAGAGGGAAGATTCTCCACTCTGAGAGAGGACTGGGCCAGAAAGTCCTCCAGCAGGGTAGTGCCAGGAGAGACTATGAGGTTACACCATGAGCGTGAGTGTCCAAGCTACCAAGGCTCACCATGCATTTACCTGAAAACTTCACTTTGCCAAGGATGTGGTAGATATTTCCAGAGAAGGGACTTGGCTTGATGGAAGACTGAATGGCTGGGGAGGAAAAGGATAGAATGTCAGCTATCTGGACGTAGAGGCCAAGCTTAGGCCAACATAGTTGGGAAGGTCAGGGCCAAAGGAGGGGCTCAAAATTCAGAGCTGCCATCTCCATTTCCAACTCCATCTCCATCTCCTCCGGTCCAGGGCCTCTGCCACTATTCCCTCGGAGGATCAAAGTGTGGCCACATGTTATCAGACCCAGGAACTCTGAGCTCATCAAACCCCCTACCTGCTTTTGATCCTGACGGTATGGAGAAAACACCAAGGATATTGACTGAAATGGAGCCACAGGGAAGGGACAATTCTTCCATCGGGGTGAATCATGTCCTAACAACAGCTCACCTTTACACTTGGTCACAAAGCGGGTTTTCTCCAGAGGACGCTCAAACCATACACAGATCTGAACCATCAATGGAAAGACGGATCCGGAATCAAATTTGCCTTCATACCTTAAAATAATTTTCATAATGTAACAACAAGTAGTTTTAATGCTTTGACAGATTCATGCATATAGACAATAAGATGTAATCCCCTTTGCCCCCGTTTCAACCATTCAGGGTTTGGGGGGTTTCAGTGTTATATATACTATTTTGGGATGAATAATTTGTCATTTGTTCAATCTTCTCTCACTAATACACTTATTTGTTTACAATATATTTTCCTCTTTTTTTTCCCCCTGTATGATCTAGGGTCTTACCTATACTAGGTTGTAAACAAAGGTGACCTTAAATTTCTGATCCTCTGGACGTCCACCTCCTTAATACAGGGATTAAAAGTATGGGGTAGCCGGGCGTTGGTGGTACACGCCTTTAATCCCAGCACTGGGGAGGCAGAGGCAGGCGGATCTCTGTGAGTTTGAGACCAGCCTGGACTACCAAGCGAGTTCCAGGACAGCCTCCAAAGCCACAGAGAAACCCTGTCTCGAAAAACCAAAAAAAAAAAAAAAAAAAAAAAAAAGTATGGGGTACCACACCTAGTTTATATGGGGATAGAGACTGAACTTCAGGCTTTGTTTTTTTGTTTTTGTTTTTGATTTTTGTTTTTTTTTGAGATAGGGTTTCTCTGTATAACAGTCTTGGCTGACCTGGAACTCACTCTGTAGACCAGACTGGCCTTGAACTCAGATGTCTTCCTGCCTCTGCCTCCCAAGTGCATGCACCACCACCGCCCAGCTAAAGCACTGTTTCCAATGTGCACACCTCTGCTTCACTGTGAGACTGGAAAGCATGTTCGCTCCTTGGAGCAAGACCTCCTTGAGAATACAGGTCTAACTTTTCTAGACTAGCAGTAGCTCCCCCTAAAGTCAAGGGCCTGTGTACTCCCTCAGACCCCAAGGATACTAGGAGTCCTTCCTAACACAGTAGAAGCCACCCCACTCCACTCCCACTCCATCCTGCCCCCACTTTGAACTGGAGAGTCACCTGCTTCAGTTTCCAAAAAGCTAGGATTACTTTCCACACTCCAAACATGCCCATCTCATGGTGGGCAACTTAAAACATACATATTTCTCTAGAAGGAACTAAGGAGATGAGATGCCCCTGCTGTGTTCCCTAAATTTTCAGTTCAGCAGTCACACAGCTTGTCACAAACCCATTAAGAACAGGGTTAAACTCAGAGCATTAAACTTAGGGTTTTGTGTGTGTGTGTGTGTGTGTGTGTGTTTAAACTTTGAGACAGGAAGGCAATTTTTTACCTAAGCCTTGGTGCATGCCACCAAGACCCACTGTACTTGGTGCCTGCAGGATGACCCCTGGAATTGCAATGTACAGAGAGACTCAGAATGTGGAGCCCTGGCCCCTTGGCAAGGCTATGGGACATGGCATGTTATACCAGTTAACACGTGTGCATGATCCTTGTGAAGCATGCATTCTATTGTCATTTCTGTTCTTTCTTTGCTGTAGATGTGGCTCATATTTCTTTTTAAAGCTACTATTCAGTAATGATACTTGCCAGCCAGGAAACATTAAGTATCGAGAGCGTAGCATCTGGGGACTTGAAAAACTGTTTTCTGAGAGAATCAGCTCAATGTCTTCATTCCTTTAAAAACACAGAGAAGCAGAAAAGTCCCAGGTTAATTCAGATTGTCAGTGTTAACCTCTCCACACATGCATGCATGCCTTTTTTCCTGACAAAGAATATGAAAGTTAGTTGTAGGCATAATAGTTTGCTTCTAAATACTTCAATATGCATATTCAAAGAATAGTTTCTCATAGCAGAGGCAGTCAGATTTCTTTTCTTTTTTTTTTTTTTGTTTTTTTTTTGGTTTTTGAGACAGGGTTTCTCTGTATTGTTTTGGAGGCTGTCCTGGAACTTGCTCTGTAGACCAGGCTGGCCTCGAACTTACAGAGATCCACCTGCTTCTGCCTCCTGAGTGCTGGGATTAAAGGCGTGTGCCACCAACATCCGGCTGGCAGTCAGATTTCTGTGACTTTAAGGACAGCTTGGTCTACAGAGTGAGTTTCTGATCATCTAGGGCTACATAGAATCCCTATCTCACAACAAACAAAACCAAAACTGCCAAAAACAAAACAAAAATATTTTTTCTTCTTTTTTTTTTAACGAGACAGTGTTTCTCTGTATTGTTTTGGAGGCTATCCGTCCAGCCTGGCCTCGAACTCACAGAGATCCGCCTGCCTCTGCCTCCCGAGTGCTGGGATTAAAGGCGTGTGCCACCACCGCCCGGCCAAAAATATTTTTTCTTACAGGACCACAATATACTATTACATCTGAGGAACTTAGTACTATGATCAGCAATTCTATGAATGTAGAATTTCAGGTCCTACCCATGACTCACTGAATCAGAAACTTTTTTTTTGACAGATGGTCTCTTGTAGCCCAGGCTGTCCTTGAACTCACTAAGTAGCTGAGGATGACCTGATCCTCCTACCTCTACTTCCTCAAGTGTTGAGACTACAGACATATTCCACCAAGCCTGGTTTATCTGGTGATGGTGATCAGGAGCCAGGTGATATTGTCTTTACTGACTCATAACAGAGAGGCACACAGTATCAGAATGTCCCATCACTGTTTTTGCTATTTAATCATTTGATCAACACAGTGCCTGCCAGATCTTAAGAATGTAAAGGTGGGGCAGAGAGTTGGCTGCAGCACCTGTTAGTCTTGCAGAGGACCTGAGTTTCATTCCAGGCTCCCATGGTGGCTTACAATCATCCATCGCTTTTGTTCCAGGGAATTAGATGCCCTCCTCTGACGTTCCCAGGCACAGGCAAGCACCTGGTACATAGTCATGTCTCAGCCCTCTACCTTATGTCTGTGTGTGTAGCTAGGGACTGATGTAGGGTGTTGCACCTGCTAGCAGGCATGTGCCACTGCACCCAGCCTTTTACATGGGTGGTGAGGATCAACCTGGGGCCCTCATGCTTGTATGGCTAACACTTTACCGACTGAAATATTTCCCTGGATAACAAAACAATATTTTTTACATTTTTTGTGAATGCACACAAAAAAAGTTGACCTCTGGCTTCCATACACATGCCCACAGAGATGCACTTCCCCAGTGCTGTTAAAAGTGTATGTACATGCTGTAGTCAGGGCTTTCCCTCCACCATGTGTGTCTGAGATACAGAGGAACACGCTGTGATCCAGCCAGGTGCTGTATCTGCGAGAGAAGCTGGGCACATAGAGTGGAGTCTGCACACGTTTACCTCGTAACAATCCCATTTTCTGCAAGAATGAAGGCTGCAGTAGGATTGGCAGCCCTGATGAGGGTCTGCAGCTGGACAAGGAGAGGGTGCCTCTGTTCCATTGCGTGACTGGTAAACACCACATTATTCACCAGGCCTGAAGAACAAAACCAAAACATATTAGCCTTCAGAATCTTGACTGGGGCTGCAGGCTCACATAAACGTGGCCTCTGCTCCTTCCACTGACCATTCTTTCTCCTCTTCCAGGAACTGCCACATCTTAAGAGTACATGCTTAGCTGCTTCACTTCTAATTTCATATATTTTGTTTTGTGGGTTTTTTTTTTGGCTTTTGTTTTGTTTTTGAGACAGGGTTTCACGTTGTACCTTTGGCTGGTCTGGAACTTACTATGTAAACCAGAATAAACTTCAACTTGTGGTGATCTCCCTGCCTCTGCCTCCTGAATGCTGGGATTACAGATGTGTAGCTTTTTGCTTTTTGAGACATGGTTTACTAAGATGTAGCCTAAGCTTGAAGGAAATCATTGTGTAGCCCAGTGTGGTCATTAATTCACAATAATCCTGACTCAGGACCCTACATACTGGGATTATAAACTTGGGAGACCAAGCCTACCTGCTATTCTCTTTTCACCTTCTCACATTTATCATGTGCACCTGCACTGTAAAAACTGGCATGAGTTTCCACCCACCATAAAGGGACAGAACATGAATTCAGGTTACCTAGGCCTGGTAGAAGCACCTTAACCACTAAGCCATCTCATAGTCCCCCAAACTAATTTAGCTTCTCTTAATTCAATTTTCTGGCTGTTATTTGGAGTTCTTGATCAAAGAGCTTTCCAAATCCCTTACATTCAACCTTATCTGAAACTGGTGCCATTAGCCTTCAGTAGCTCAAACCAAAGATGTTTATTCACCAACAAGCAGTTACTACACATTAGGTGCTCAACAACTATGTCCTCAGAGTCACATTATCCCAAGATCAGTGTTGACACAGATATTCATACAGTGACACGGTAAAAAAGGGGAGCCAGCCGGGCGGTGGTGGCGCACGCCTTTAATCCCAGCACTCAGGAGGCAGAGGCAGGCGGATCTCTGTAAAGTTCGAGGCCGGGCTGGTCCGACAGCCTCCAAAACAATACAGAGAAACCCTGTCTCGTAAAACCAAAAAAAAAAAAAAAAAAAAAAGGGGGGGGGGCCAATGTAGCGATTTGTACAATGAGTAACAATGACACCACTCTAAAACTTTTGTAAAAATGTAAATTCACAAAACTATGGAGAATTTAGTAATCAGCAAAGTTATTCCCACTCTGGCATAATCATACTTCTTTCAAATTTGACTTATTTTCACAGTTATAAATATGATTAATAAGGTTTCTATTGATATAGACTATTTCTGCTATAAAATGATTTGCCTTTTTGGGGTCAGGGTCTAGTCCAGGACATCTTAGAACTCGTGATGTAACTAAGGTTGATCTTCAAGCTCTGATACCTCTGCCTTGCCTCTACCTCTGGAGCTCTGGATTACAGGCATGTACTGGTTTACAGGGTGTTAGAGATCAAATCTAGCACTTCAAGCATGCTAGGTAAGCATGCTATCAACTGGAACATATCTTGAATCTCTTCAATTGCATTTTCTAGTGAAATAATAATAATAGCTATTATTTTGGTTTTTTGAGATGGGTTTTTCTGTATAGCCTTGGCTATCCTGGAACACTCTATACAGACCAAGCTGGTCTTAATTTATAAGAGATCTGACTATTTAATAATTTTTATATCATATTGTGGAATGAGAGAGATGTCTCAGTGGTTAAGATAATTTGTTGTTCTTGAACAGGATCCAGGTTTGGTTCCCAGTATACTTATGATGGTTCATAACCATCAGTAGGCATGCACATGGTGCACACACACACACACACATGCAGGCAAAACACTCACAGAATAAAATAAAATGAAAACCATTCAGATATGCACCAAACTAGAAAACAGTAGCCCCATTCTCTGGTTTTAAGAGTTATCAAGGTGCTGGAGAGATGGCTCAGAGGTTAAGAGCATTGGCTGCTCTTCCAGAGGTCCTGAGTTCAATTCCCAGTAACCACATAGTTGTTCATAATCATCTATAATGAGATCTGGTGCCATATTCTTTCAGGCAGGCACACATGTAGGCAGAACACTGTGTACATAATAAAGAAGTAAATATTAAAAAAAAAGAATTATTGGCAGGTGGATCTCAGTAAGTTTGAGGCCAGCTTGATCTACAAAGCAAGTTCTAGGATAGCCAGGACCGTTACACAGAGAAACCCTGTCTCGAAAAACCAATCATCACCATCATCATCACTGGCTGGATGTGGTGGTACAAACCTTTAATCCCAGCACTCAGGAGGCAGTTGAATTTCTCTGAGTTTGAGGCCAGCCTGGTTTACAGAATAAGTTCTAGGATAGCCAGGGTTAGAGAAACCCTGTCTCAGACAAAAACAAAATTATCAGTACTTAGCTAATCGTATTTTATCTATACCTTACCCTTGCCCATCTCTTGACCCTCCCTCCATTGTGGGGAGCTGATGAAATCCTGAGTGAATGTGTGTCAGTGACTTGAACATTGCCATGCCAAGGAACCCAATGCCTCAGACCCAAGAGAATGGCAGGCCTTCTGTGGGTCAGGTTCAGGAGAATGACAAAGTCTTCCTCTGGCCCAAGTATGGCATTTATAAAAGATTAGTCATTAACTAAAACCAGTTGACTGTAGCCTCAAACTGCTTCTCTAGGGTGCTCTTACCAAGGTTAGCTAGCCCACCCCCTCCTTCAGCTGTACACAATAAAAGATCTGAGCTTCCTGGTTGCTAGTGCACGTCCGTCAGAACTCATGGCCACCAGATCCCAGCTTTTCTGTATGTTTATCTGCTCTTTCTTCATTCTCTCATTACCCAAGTCAGTTTTCTAAGACCCAGGTGCACAAGTCCTGGTACCTACTGGATGATTTTTTTGAAGGAATCTCATAAATCTAAATATTTCATCCAAAAGTATTTTATTATGCATCTCTGAAAAGGATTCTTTAAAAAATGGCTAACAAAGGGGCTGGAAAGTTGGTTCAGAGGTTAAGGGTACTACTGGCTGCTTTTCCAGAGGACCTGGGTTCAATCCCTAGGACCTGCATAGCAGTTAAAGACTGTCTGTAACTCCTGTTCCAGGGCACACACAGACAAACATACAGGCAAAGTAACAGTGCACATAAAATAAAAATAAATAAAAAATGGCTAACAAAACTGGGCGGTGGTGGTGCACACCTTTAATTCCAGCACTCCGGAGGCAGAGGCAGAGGCAGACAGATCTCTGTGAGTTCCACGCTAGTCTGGTCTACAGAGTGAGTTCCAGGACAGGCTCCAAAGATACACAGAGAAACCCTGTCCTGGAAAAACTAACTAACTAAATAGGTAAATAAACAAACAAACATAAAAATATGCAGTCTATGTGTAAATTCTGCTTCAAGAATATTTTGCTTTTATATATATATATATTTTTTTAAAAGAAGTGATGTGGTCAGAATGTATTTATTTATTTATCTATCACATATACAGTGTTCTGCTAGAAGAGGGCACCAGATTGAATTGTAGATGGTTGTGAGCCACCATGTGGTTGCTGGGGAATAGAACTCAGGACCCCTGGAAGAGTAGTCAGTGCTCTTAACTGCTGAGCCACCTCTCCAGCCCCCTTGCTTTTATATTTTAAAAAGACTTATTTCACTTGTATATGCACTGTGTGCTTGACTGGAGCCTGCAGAGGTCAGAAACAGGTGTTGGATCCCTTGTAACTGGAGTTACAGATGGTAGCTACCCCAAGTCCTCTCAAGAACAGTCATCTCCTCTGCCAGTGACAGGGAAGCCTCCAAATGAGGAGGCACTGGTGGTGCCAGTGTATTGACACTATATTTAGAAGGTCACTATGGAGGCTGCAGAGTAATGTCAAGGCCTGGTCTAGAAAACCTGATGCCAGATCTATATCCACACCTTGGCAGAGCCACAGGAAGCCATGAGAGCCTTTGGAAAGAGAGTAAGTGGAGGTCAGAAGGCCACACCCAAAATGTGGCACCATAGGCAAGCAGATAGAATCCCTGAAGTCTCAGGACATTCTAGGATTGGCAGACAAGGATGTGAGGTTACCACAGGCAGAAGAAAAGAATAGTATGGTGTGCCTTGTAGTGAGGAGGCAGGAAAAGCCAGCAGAGGTCTACAGAGGCCTGGAGACTATGACATTTCCTTAGCCAAAAGAGGCAAGTCGCATCAGTACAGACCTGCCCTTCCCAGACATGTGTGCCAGGGTCACAGCCACAGTCCTGGCCTGCCCCTTTTCTTGCCCAGGTTGTGGGCTCTATTACATGAACCCTGTCTAATGTTCTGCTTGCTATAGTATACTGTACGGACTAATTTTGTAGGGAAGGGATGCTAGGTAAGGAACTGGGTACAGAAAAAGGACTTTACTCCATAGCAAAAGGATTATCTCCAGCATTCCTTAGTCCAGCTATGTAAACTGCCACCTGCCAAGAGGAAATGCCATCTGAGAGGCAAGGAGAGCCCTTGTCTGGCACACAGGCCAAACAAGCCACAGTGAGGAGTTCCACCTTATCGGGGTCAGGGGTTTCTTTCCACTCTGTATCAAAAGTGAATACCAAGACTGACCACGGTTACAAGCTAGGCTATAGGCAGGCAGTCTAGCTTGGCCTGTTCCCAAGAGTAGAGAAACACCCTTGCTGTCTGGCTACCCTAGACTGGGCTAAAGGCTTTCAGCAGCCCAGGAATAAATGAAACTACCTTCTTTTCTCTATGCACACTTCTAAAAGCAAGCAGGCAAAACACCTTCAGTTGCTTTGAGTCAGCATGATGGCGAGCCTCTGCTGGCATTAAATGCTGCAGAGCAGTAAGCGCAGAAACCGCTCCCTGTCACTCAGATAACTTGCCAGGGCACTACAGTTCCTGAGTTCCTTGACACTCAATGGGACAGAATGTGGGTTATGTGGCAGTGCATATCTTTAATCCAGCACTAGGAAGGCAGAGGCAGGTGGATCTTTGTGAGGCCAACCTGGTCTACACACGAAGCTCCAGGACAGCCAGGGCTACACAGAGAGACCCTGTCTCAAAACAAACAAACAAACAAAAACCCAAAAAACAAAAAAGAAGAAAGAAAACAACTTATAACCTCAATATCATCTGCCCACATGCCAGCAAGCACAAACTTGGAGACAAATTGCCTTTGAACAATGTATTGGAAGGGATCACTAACAAAATACATTCCAAGTGCCCAAGGGAATTCAGCCACCTCTTCTTGGAAAGATGGACACTACAAGAAGTTTTCTCATTGAGATAGCGGCCCAGGGCTGCTCCAGGTTCATTGGTGATGAAGACAGATCATTTCCTCAAGTCTCTCTGTCAGGAGAAGCTAACTGTCTGTGCTTATGTGTCGCAAAGAAAATTGGGAGATGTTGAGGGAGAGTTAAGGAGGCTCCAACACTGACAGGAAGAAGGAAGGATCAAGGATGGTCAGCACATTTTTTGTAGGTTGATTTGTTCCACTTTTGTTTGTTAGTTTGTTTTTCAAGACAGGTTTCTCTGTGTAACAGTTCTGGCTGTCCTGGAACTTGCTCTGTAGATCAGCCTGGCCTTGAACTCACAGAGATCCACCTGCCTCTGCCTCCGGAGTGCTGGGATTAAAGGCGTGCACCACCATCGGCCTGGCTGCTTTGTTTTTTAAGGTGTGTTCTTACTCTGTAGCCAAGCCTGGAACCTGTGATAATTTTCCTGCTTCAGCCTCCCGAATGTTTGGATTGTAAACATGAGCCACCAAGCCCAGTTTGGTCAGCAAGTACTACCAGCCAAGCAAATACTCCCTCCATTTTTTTGGAAGTTATCACTGTCTGAGTCAGCCTTTATTTCTTCACTGTTAACTCTAGAATCTCTCAAGACTTCCTCTATCAAGATTAGTGGCCTTCTCTGTCCTAGGGCTTATTTTTCAACAAATAATTCAGAAACAAACAAACAAAAACTTAAAAAACAACAACACAGGGTCTTGCCTGGCAGTAGAGTTGCACATCTTTAATCCCAGCACTCAGGGCAGAGGCACTGGATCTCTGTGAGTGCCAGCACAGCCTGGTCTATAGCAAGTTCTAGGACAGCCAAGGCTACACAGAGAGACCCTGTCTTAAAAAACTGAAAAAGAAAAGAAAAAAGGAAGGGAGGGAGGGAGGGAAAGAAAGGAAGGCAGGGCCTCAGCCAGGTGTAGTGGCACACTCCTTTAATGACAGCACTTGGTAGGCAGAGGCAGGACAGTCTCTGTGAGTTCTAGATCAGCCAGGGCTACAGAGAACAGAGAGATATCCTGTGTCAAACACACACATTCTGTCTCTCTCTCTTCTCTCTCTTCTCTCTCTCTCTCTCTCTCTCTCTCTCTCTCTCTCTCTCTCTCTCTCTCTCACACACACACACACACACACAGGAAGACAGTCTCACTATACAACCCAGATGATCCTACTCAACATGCCACTGCTACCCTCTGAAAAAATTGCAATTCTGTTTTTTTCAGACAGGGTCTTACTATATAGTCAAGAATTGGCCTGGGACTTACTATATCTGGCTTCTACACAGAGATCTAGCTGCTGTACTAACTCAGTCTATTCAGACATTCCTGTTGAGAACACCAGTTCATACTTGCAAAACTAATATTTTTTGTTTGTTTTGTATTTAAATTGTCCTTCCCTTGAGGTCTCTGCAACATTAAGCACGGCTGATTTTTCTCTGTCCTTGACATTTGCAGCACTGTTTCTCCTGCTTCATCTTTCAGCCTCCAGGATTTTCTAATCCCCTTCACACCTCTGGCCTTCTAACTTTTCCAACTTTACATCTGGATACTGGCTATCTGTCTGGGCTTTAGTCTTTGATCATGGCTTCGAAGCCTAGAATCAAGGATCAGAAAGCCTCCCACATTATCTCCTGTTCCAGTGTCTCTCATGCTTTCTATTCAAGGACAGCTATCTTCAGCTTAGTTTATCAGTAGGTCCTACTAACCCAACCTCCACAAAACCTGAATCCACTTGGATTAGGCATTATGGAGGGACCTAAACAACTTTCATTGCACTCTGCTGCCGCCGAAGGCAGGCATGACAGCTTATACTAATCCAGGATTTGGGAGGAAGAAACAGGAGGATCAGGAGTTCAAGACTAGTCTGTGCTACATGGCAACTTACTGACTCGAAGTCACATGGGAGTACATGAGATTTTTGTCTCAAAAAAGCAAAGGGGGACCGCTGCCACTTGCTATACTAAGTTCAACAAGAATGTTCCTCTTTGGCCTCATGCCTGGACAGTTGCCAGCTCAGTTGCCTGCCAAGACAGCTCTGGTGTGTTGTGTTTTTGTTGTCCCTGTGGACTGGCAAAGGGATTAGCAAGGCACAAGTATGCTGGGGACACAGAGATGTTGTATTCTACCAGATGCTCATTGTGCTGATTCAGGAAGCTCACCCCCTAAGCATATCCCAGACAGCCCCCCATCCCCCCAGGAAGCTCACTCCCCAATCATATGCCCAGTCAGTACCCCCACTCCCCCAGGAATATCCCCTGATAGCACTAAGTATCTCAGCATCACTGCAGGAAATTTATAATTTATTCTGGCTCTCCAGGACTCCTAATGACCTTGTTGATCCAGAGGTTCCATTTACCGTTCATCCACGGCAAGGCTAGGGCTGCCGTGCTGCTGTTGGGGGAGCTGGTGCATCAAAAGCAAAGTTTCTGAGCATGTCTGTCTACCCAGCGGGACACAAGGAAGTAGCCAAAGTTTTCTCTGGACCAATTTTATATGTTGTAGATTCCAGAAAGGTGACAGCACAGAGAAAAACCAAATGTATCTGAACAGAGTGTGATGGGAATATAAACAGGAAGTAAAACATACTGCTTACCTTGTGAACACTGGTCAAGACACTTAGGAAAGAGAAATCTATGGAGAAAAAAATGTATTTCAAAACCATTTATTTCAGTCATCATTATTTCCCACAAAAGTATGAATCTGGCCAGGTGGTGGTGGCGCACGCCTTTAATCCCAGCACTTGAGAGGCAGAGGCAGGCGGATCTCTGTGAGTTCAAGACCAGCCTGGTCTACAGAGTGAGTTCCAGGACAGTCTCCAAAGCCACAGAGAAACCCTGTCTCAAAAACAAAACAAACAAACAAACAAACAAAAAAAGTATGAATCTGATCATGCAAGTGCCAGGTAGAAATGAGCATTGAGAGAGCAATAGTTATCCAAGACATTCATAGCTTTGCACTGAAGTTAATGTCCCACATAAATTCCTACATGGCAGCTGAGCAGTTGGTGGCAGCACTCAGGAGGCAGAGCGAGGTGAATCTCTATGAGTTCCAGGCTAGCTTGATGTACAGAGCAAGTTCCAGGACAGCCAGAGCTATATAGAGAGACTCTGCCATGAAAAACCAATAAATAAATGAACAAATTAACAGATAGTTGAGCCAAAATTAGGAAGCAGAGCACTGTCAATCATTCCAGTCTTTTGAAACCTCAAAGTCAGTGACACATCTCCTCCAACAAGGCCACACCTAATGCATTCCAAACAGTTCCATCAACTGGGGACCAGGCAGTCTAAGATACGAGCCTGTGGCAGGTCATTCTAATTCAAACCCACATGTGTATGTGTGACTTCCTAAAAATGGAATGAAATTTCTCATATCTTGACATTCTTGTCCTTCCAATTAATATGGTGTCCTGCCTGCCAGCTTGCTTGCTTCCTTCCTGGTTTTTGAGACATGGTTTCTCTTTATAGCCTTGGTTGTCCTGGAACTCACTCTGTAGACCAGGCTCTCCTTGAATTTACAGAAACCCACCTGCCTCTGCCTCCCAAGTGCTGGGATTAAAGGCTTCGCCACCACCAACATTGGTACTTTCTTCTTAATCTAACCAAAAGCTATTGATGTTTCTTTTTTTTTGCTGTTTGAGACAGGGTTTCTGGTAGCCTAGGCTGGCTTCTGTCTTTAAACATTAACTCAATTTAGCTTTACTTCTGTATTTAAATAATTAGCCTTATCTCCAGTCGTATCTTATTAAACTATGTCTGTGGTGCACATGTTGGCACACTCATTAAAAGTTTGCTTTTTGTCTGTTTGAAGCCAGGGTCTTTCAATCTGTTGTAGTCCAGGTTGGCCTTGAGCACTTACTTAGTCATTAAGTATTCCTTGCTGAGATTAACTAGCCTTAACAGAAATGGGTTAATTTAAACTTTAAGAGCTGGCTGGAGACAAACCTAAGCTATTGGCCAATATTTATAATTAATAGTAAGTCTCTGTGTGGTTATTTGGGGAGTGTCTGGGACAGAAATGTCTGCCCACACACCCTACCTCTGCTTCCTAAGTGCTGGGATTACAGGTATTTGGCCACCACATTCAGATTTTATCAGATTTACTTACTTCCTCCTTACCTCCCTTTTTCCTCCCTCCCTCTATCCTGTTTTTCAGTGTTTGGGACTGAACTCTGGGTCAATTACATACACTTGGAAAGTCCCCAGCCCCGAACTGCACCCCCCATGCCCACAACAGATCTTTGATGAGCACTCACTATGCACCAAGCATCGAAAAGACATGGCTCCTGTTTTCACAGAGCTGAATGAGCCCGTCTTCCACAATCTACATCATCCTGCTCTGCACCTTTTAGGACCTCACACAAATCAAAGAGTAATGGGGTGTTTACTGCACACACCACAGAATGATGTCTTCCACCAGCAAGTGTATAAAGGCTTGTCTCACTCTGCTGGGGAGGGAAAATCCCTACAGTTGACTTCAACACCACATCGTGGGCGGGAGGTGGTCCTAAGTGTCTACCTGTGCTCCATGTAGCAGCTCAGGGGCTCCACACACGCTGTGACCGCACCAATGGTAAAGTAGGACTTGACGTTTGGGTCTGGGTGAGTCTGCAGGGCCTGGACAACATCAATGACATCTGTGTAACTAAAGGAGAAAGCACACGGTTAGCTTCCTGGTTGGGGCTGCAGAATGGAAGAGGGGAGCGCTGAGTGGCCAAGCGGCCGAGGGCGGAAGACCCAAAGCTGAAGGCTGTCACAGAGTTCCCTGGAGATTCCCCGCGTTATCATTCAGAGCCCCTAGAATCCACACCGAGCGTCTTCGTTCCCAAGTTCTCCAGGTTCCTCTAAAGGGGAAGAGTAGAACAGTCAACCTAGTCTGGAGATAAGAAGCAAGCGCCTGGGGCTCTGAGGGTGGGACTGTGTTTTCTGGTCATAACTCAGGAGCTCCTGCCAGGCCGTGTTTCTTTAGTTCTTTTCCCCGCCCCCATTTCACAAGGTCATCAGATCTGTCAAATATCATTTCTAGTCGCATCTTCTGCCTGGACCTCCCTCCAGTCTTGATTTACAGAGCCAGCCTGACGTCATCACTTAGGAGCGAAAGTGTTTGTAATCCAAGCCCCGAGCCGGTTCCTCCCAAATTCCTGTTATTCTAAGCCCAGGGGGCTAGGCCAAAAGATCCGTGTCCGCTTTGACTCCACTTTCTTAGTCTTCAGCATAGACCCAGAAGAGATCACTGCTCACACTCCACCGTACTTTAGGTCACCCCAATAGCCTGCCAGCTGCCCCCTACTGTTGTCCTGCCTCACAGCAAACTGTTCTCAGCACAAAGCCAGAAGGATTGCTAAACCCTCTAGATCACATTACTGCTCTGCTCAAAACCCTCTAGTGGTTTCCTTCTCAGTGCAAAAGCCGAGCCCCTTACCATGGGCCAGGCAGCCCCGTGCATTTGACCTCTCACAGCGCAGGGGGAAAGTCATCACTTATCCCATCCCTTCCCCTAATCCAACGCTTTGGCCTCCTGGGTCTTCTCTGAACATGCCTGGCATACTTCTACCTTGTTCTCGGTTCCCTCAGGCTGGAATGCTCTTTTCCTCCGGCATCTGCCTGGTTGGCTTCCTTCCGGTCTCTGCTCAAGTGGCACCTGGTTGGTTTTTGTGGTGCTGGGAATCGAACTCGGAGTGTTGCATATGCACTGAGCCATGTCAAGTGGCACCTTATGGAGGCATCTTGGGCCTTCACACGCTGCAATACTGGTAATGTCCCTTGGGACCCCTTGTGTCGCCCCCCCTAGTTTTCCTGCAAAGCGCTGACTGTGGCTCCAGCTCTCCTCGTTGCTTTGTTTTCTGCATGTGCAGATAGCTTTGGTCCCTTCTTCCCTCATTTATTTGCTCACTGCGATACAGTGGCTCTTCAGGGTTACAGTCTCTGAACCCTAAAGCCAGTCAGACAATTCACTGGACATGACTCCAGCAGACCTTGGCACGACTCTATGAAGGGCCTTCACCTCACAGAGGTCAGCACTGTCCCAAGGGACCCAGACTATTATCAAAAGGTCTAAGTCTGTGGAGGAAGTCAGACCTGATGGCAGACTGGCAGATCAGACGGACCTGTGTCTGTGTGGGCCGTTGGGAGAGCAGTGGGAGGTGGGGGTTAGGTGCAGCCTGCCAGACTATTCCTGAGTTCCTAGACACAACTCACCTGTAAAAGGCCCTTGGCTTTATCCCAGATTAGAACACCGTCCTTGGTCCTGCCCAACCATCAGAACTGCAGGGAGGACAGGGTGTGCTAAGTTCTAGCTTCCCCACAGGCACCTAGCTGCTCCAGGGGTGTTTATTTATTTATTTTATTTTATATAGGCTCTCACTGTGTAGCCCTATGATGGCTTGGAACTTGTAGAATCTTGTCTCAGCCTCCAAAGTGTAAGGATTCCCAGGCAGAGTGCTCAAGAAACTGCTGAGTGAGCCCTATGTAGGATCTACTCCCTGGGCAGTATGCTTCTTTTCCAGTGCAGAGCTTGGGTAGGCCTGGGTTCAGGGAAGACTTACATACTGCAGGCCCTTACAGAAGCACATTTGAAAATAAAGGATTTCTGATGGGGAAGGGCTCCTGTGACAGCATGGGCTGTCTTTTTTTGTTTTAATATGTATTTATTTTGTGTCAAGATGTAAAACTTCCAAACAAAATCCTTTTATAACCACATCCATTTCCCTTTCACCTACCCTATTCTTAAAAGCTTGCCAAGAGTAAAAGAGTAAATGGCACTCTAGAACCTGGAGATAAAGCTCAGTTGCTAGAGTGGAAGCCACAGGTTCAACTCCTAGAAAATATAAACTGTGACACATGCCTATAATCCCAGCATTTGGGATGTAGATCAAAGTTCACAGTCATCCTCAGCAACATAGTAAGGCTGGCCTATGAGAAATGAGACCCTGTCTCAAAAACAAATGAAAACCCTTTAATTCATTTTTGCAACAACAGTTCTAGTATATGTCAAAGCTCAAAACCACTTCCTCTGCGATGGAAAACAAGGTGGAAACCAGGCACTCTGGCTTGTTTTCTCCAAAGACATGCTGCTGCAGACGGCGAGGAGCCGGAGAGATGGCTCAGTATTTTAGAGCGTGTGCTGCTCTTCTCAGGTCCTGAGTTTGAGTCTCAGAACTCACACTGCACAGCTCACAGACATCTGTAACTGTAGCACCAGAGGCTCTGATGCCCTCCCCTGGCCTCTGGGAGCACTAGTGCATACATGACATACATAGATATATACATATGAAAAAGACAAAAGCCAGGACTGGAGAGATGGCTCAAAGGTTAAGAGCATTTGCTGCCTTACAGAGGACCGGATTCAGTTCTCAATGCCCATATTGTGGTTTAAGATTGTCTCTAACTCCAGTTCCAGGGGAATCTGATGCCCTCTTCTGGTCCCCTATGTGGGTACTGCTGGACATGGTATCTCTATGTCTGTCTGTCTGTCTGTCTGTCTGTCTGTCTGTCTGTCTATCTATCTATCTATCTATCTATCTATCTATCTATCTGGTAGCACTCATACACATAAAAATATTTTAAAAAACCAGGGAAATACTGATGAAAACATAAGCTGGCTTTGAGAAACATGTCCAGTATTATGGTAAATATCTGCAATCCTAGCGCTCTATAGGCTGAAGCAGGAGGATCACAAGTTCGAGGCCAGCCTGGAACGATACAGTAAGATGTAGTAAGTACCTTATCTACATAATAAGATAAAAGGGGAGGAAATTCTTGATTATTAGGAGTCCTTGGCATCTTCCTTTACCAACAACCTTAATAATGTCTAGTGCCAATGAGTTAAGGAGTTGTACAAGTTATAAAGCAGGTAACTATATGTTATCTGTTGGCTCTAAAAAATGGATCAAGTCTATAAGTGCCTTAGTAAAGAGCCACAGCATTTAACTATTAGCTTTTTTTTTTCAGAGACAGACTTTCATATAATCCAGGTTGGCTTCATGCTCATGTAGCCAAAAGCTGATCTTCCTGCTTCTATCTCCTAAGTCCTGGAATTATAAGTGTGAGCCATCATGTCTGGGCTTAGCTGTTCTTCTAACTTGAGTCTATTAGGGTATCTATTGGTGTCCCTCATACCCTGTGGTATGACTGGGTGAATGCTGGGTCTATGCTGCATGATCTGGTTCCTACAGCAGACCAGAAGCAGCTAGATATCCGACATTTTTACAGACTTGTAGAGTCAGAGTTAAGGAATAAACAGTATTCTCAGAAATAATGGATAATGGAAATGACCTTAGCTGTATATACTGACAAGCAGACAAGTTCTTTTTCAGGTCCCCACTCCCAGTGACCCTTATCTGGCAAGGGCAAAACAGAGGTAGTGATGCTGGGTTGGCCCATTCCTCTGGCTAGTAGAAACAACAGAAAATCTGAAGAAAACAAGTGGTTTCAAGGCCCGATTCTCCCTTTGACGATTCCATGGTCAAAGGGCTGACAGGAAGGAAACTAGAGAGGGGTCAGACTGCAACAAGGTCTCTCCGTCAGGAAGGCCCCAAAGGTGCACACTGCACTTGCCTCCCCTCCAGGACCACCATCCTAGCTCCTTTCAGGTCCAATAATTACAACCAGGAGCCTGAAAAGAACTATGGATCTGGGCCTCTTCTTAACTGGAAACAACTAGCCTGCTGGAAACATTAATTATTGTGACAATAGTACAAAGCTTCTTTACAACCAGACAGCAGAAACCAGCCCTGCCCCTGTTCTATTCTCCTGACGACACATTCCTTTCTGGGCCCAGGTGATAAAGGACTTGCGAGACATTCCCCGAGAGGCTGGTGGACAGAGGTTCTCTGGAGCAGGGACATGCCACGTCTCCCTTCTGAGCTGGGGAGATGGCTTAGTGGGTAAAACATTTATTCTGCAAGCATGATGATGTGAGTAGGAACCCCCAGCACCCAGGTAAAAAGAAGAGCAGGACATGGCTGTGCCCACCTGTATCCCAGTGTTCTGAGAGACAGAGACAGGAGCTGCCAGGCTAGCTCCAGTTTAGTGAAAGACGCTGACTCAAAGGAGTAAGAGATACATCAAGGACACAGACGTAAAGGCACCCTATGTCCTCTTCTGGCTCCATGGGTGACCACACAGGGTGCACTCTCACACATACACATCTAAATCACTCTCACACACACACACACACACACACACACACACACACACACACACACACACACACACACACGGGCGGGGGGGGTCCCACCTTCCCTCTGGCAATAATGGTCCTTAGAGGGACTTCAAGATTAAGAAGCCTACAATCACAGCTTGGCATCAGGTAAAAAGCAGACTCCTCGCTCAACTATACTATGAGCATTTCTCACTGTGGGTCCCGGAAAGTCTTCTGGGATAGCCACTGGAGAAATGGGGGGGGGGGGTTATTACATAGGGGCCACATCTGCAATTCCAAAAGAGGAAGGAATAAGACAGATGAGGATGCCATAACTAGATGGCAAGGTTTAAAGATTATTATCAATCAGTCTATGAATTATTGGAGAATCTTTATCTCAAGATATTACAATATGGAAGCCAGCAACAGCACCCTGCTCTTTCTGAGAGTGTTGCTGGCATGGAGCAAAATAACGACAAGGTCCCCATCCTCACTCCCATTCCCAGGTCTCCAACACTCACCCTTGTAATACCACCAGCAGTCTGGTCTTCTTGCGGACGTAAGCTGACTGGCGGACAGAGTGGTTCTGCTGGGCCTCCAGGGCATTGGAAAGGTATTTTTGGAAGTGGGCAGCATGGAAACATTCAGAGCTGTCCATGATTTGTCGGTATACCATCCATCTGGAAGCAGCAAAGGTAATCTCAGCATAAGGCTACATATGGCCTGGTCCTGGGAAGTTGGGTCTTGGATTTATATGACCAGTACCCTTATGCTGCCAATGACTATGGAGAGAAAGCTGGTGTGGCATCACAGAAAAAGACAGCAGGCACTAGCTAGGTTAGAAGCCCACTCTCCTGAAACCAAGATCCTTGGATCTTTTGTAGGAAATTGCTTTCCACTGAGAAAAAAGACAGTGAGAAAGAATTCTGACCTGGCAGTGATTTCCATGAATAAAATGGCTTTAGCTTCATGTGTTGTAAAACTTGTAGGAAGCCGGGCATTGGTGGCATGTGCCTTTAATCCCAGCACTCGGGAGGTAGAGGCAGGAGGATCTCTGTGAGTTCGAGACCAGCCTGGTCTACAAGAGCTAGTTCCAGGACAGCCTCCAAAGCCACAGAGAAACCCTGTCTCGAAAAACAAAAAAACAAAAAACAACAACAACAAAAAAAACTTGTAGGAAATGGGCAAGGTCAACAATTCAGAATGTTTTAGAACAAGAGCCAGGAATGGTGGCACATGCCAGTAATGCCAGCATTCAAGAAGCTGAAGCAGAGAACTTCCAATGAATTTCAGGCATCTCTGAGAGACAGAGGCATGGGTGGGGAGAGGGAGCAGGAGAGGGAAAGGAAGAAAGAGAGAAGAGGGAGGGGAGAAAGAGAGAGAGAGAGAAACAAGCACACACAAGTTGGGTGTGGTGGTTTATGTCTATAACCTAGCACTTGGAAGGTGGAGGCAGATTGATCAAGAACCCAAGGTCATCTTCAGCTATAGCTACAGCAAACTCAAGGCAAGCCTGGACTACACAAGACTCTATCCCCCAAATAAAAAAATGTTTATGGGACAAAATCACTAGAAGTGAGAATCTGGTTAACCTGTAAACCCTAAACATGGCACTAAGCACACTGTATCGAATGAGATGATGGATGGCTGCTGGGCCAATAATGCCATGCTAAATGCCAGTACATTTTGAAGGTTCCCTACACCAGGGCAGGGCATCTCTTTCCCTAAAGCAAAAGCAGAAGCCATACTAACCTGCCATACTCCTTATGCAGAGTGACCAGGAAAGCACAGAGCTTGCTAGCATGACAGCCAGGGAGACCAGTTATAATGCTGATGATGACCTACATGAAAGAAACGTCACATGGGTTTCTGGTTCAGCTAGGGAACACTGTGTAAAGGTAAAGAAAGCTGGTCTTCAGAGCAAGGCTTTATGGGTTTGAAGTTCAGTACCATTCACTATTCACTTGCTCCTTGATTTAGAGCCAATGATAATGTCCTGGGTATGTAGGGTTTTATTTATTTGGTTTTTCGAGACAGGGTTTCTCTGTATTGTTTTGGAGGCTGTCCTGGAACTTGCTTGGTCGACCAGGCTGGCCTCGAACTCACAGAGATCCACCTGCCTCTGCCTCCCAAGTGCTGGGATTAATGGTGTGCACCACCAATGCCCGGCAGGGTTTTCTTTTCTTTTTTTCTTTTCTTTTCTTTTGGTCAATCTGACAGGAACAAAAGTCAAATAGGAAGAGGTATCTCAACTAAAAAAGATGCCTCCAGTAGACTGGTCCACAGGCAAGTCTGGGGGGGGCATTTTCTTGATTGCAAATTGATAGAAGACCCAGCTACTGGGAGTGGTTCATCCCTGGGCAGGTGGTGCAAGGTTACATAAGAAAGCAGGCTGAGTAAGTCTGAGGAACAAGCTAGTGAGCAGCACCCCATGGCCTCTGCTTCAGTTCCTGCCTCCAGGTTCCTGCTCCGACCTCCCCCAGTGAGTGAGTGTAGAGTTGAAAGCTGAAACAAACCTTCTCCTCCCCAAGTTGTTTTTGGTCATGGTGTTTGATCACAGCAACAGAAAACAAGTTAAAGCATCACCAGGTAGGTATGAAGACTCATGAAGTTCACTTGTGTAAATAGTAAACAATTTTCTATGAATATTTGTAACTCTATCACTTAAAAGATTAAGCATTTAGAGAGCCTAACTTGTTTAAGACCACAGACCTCTAGCAAAGGACACATTCAGGGATACTACATTTGTTACATTTTTCAGGGAATAAAAAAAAAGTCTAGGAGCAGGGTGTTGATGGCGCACGCCTTTAATCCCAGAACTCGGGAGGCAGAGGCAGGTGGATCTCTATGAGTTCGAGGCCAGCCTGGTCTACTAAGTGAGTTCCAGGACAGCCTCCAAAGCCACAGAGAAACCCTGTCTCAAAAAAAAAAAAAGAAAAAAAAAAAAGAAGAAGAAGAGAGAATCCCCTGGAATTGGAATTACAAACCATTGTAAGCAGTGTGCTGGGAATCAAACCCAGGCGCTCTGCCAGTGCTCCCAACTGCTGAGCCATCTCTCCAGCCCCAGGTATGGGCTTAAGAGCCACTCAGCTAAGTACTCTTACATAAAGGCCAGTATGTGCTATAGCACCTCTTAAGTAAAATATCACAAGATAGGTATTTGCTTTCTTTACCCTCTTATCTAAAGGGAAAATGGAATGTTCTAATTGCATAGTGCTATCTCATTTAGTAGATGAGCATGTTTTAGACTTGCACAGAAACAAATTACGATATACACCTTCCAAAGGAATGGTGAGCAGAGTCAAGTATAGGGAAACATGAGGCAGGAGCACAGTAAGGTCTATCCTGGGGAAGAAAATGCTCAGAGTTACATCTCACCCTGGTGACTGCAACTCGGGCAGCCTTCCTTTTATTAACAGCACAGTGTGTCATCCACTGCTAGGTTAAGTCATTGTCACTAGCAGAAACAAGTGTCAACCTGAGAACATACAGGAGGAGCTTAAAAGACCTGGAGAAGCAGGGAGGATACGGCAAGATGTCAGGGTTGGTCACTGTCACTGGGTCTGGCCTGCAGAAATTCTATAAAGACTGTTTCATGTATATTGTTATTAGTATTCAAGGAGGTGGACACTTATAGAAAGACTCCATCTGTGCTCCTGTCAACTCACACAGATCATCCTGCTGTAAAGTCCCAGCGTGTTTGATGATCACTACCTTGTCACTCTCTAATCCACAGTGTTTGGTGGTCACTATCTTGTCACTCTCTAATCCGTGAGCAGGGCTCATTTCAGCCTCCTGCAGCAGGTCTGGAAGATGGGTCCTCATCACAGGCTCCTGACCAATGCTGCCCACAGCAAAGTGCTGGAGAAACCTGGAAAACAAAGACAACTGTCACAGCACCTTCGCCTTGTTTGACATGTCAGCTAACATTAGTGATTTGTCACCTAAGTGCTAATAAGCCTTAAAGAGATTCTTTCTACGTCACACCTTTAATCCCAACTCTCAGGAGGTAGAGATCTCTGAGTTTGAGGTCAGCCTAGACCACAGACTGAATTCCAGGACAGCCAGGGCTCTTCCAGAGGACTAGGGTTAAATTCCCAGCACCCACATAGAAGCTCACAACTGTCTGTAACTCTAAGTCCTGACACCTTCTATAGACACACACGCATGCAAAATGCCAATGTACATAAAATAAAAATAAATTTAAAAAATTAGCCGGGCGGTGGTGGCGCACACCTTTAATCCCAGCACTCGGGAGGCAGAGGCAGGTGGATCTCTGTGAGTTCGAGGCCGGGCTGGACCGACAGCCTCCGAAACAATACAGAGAAACCCTGTCTCGTAAAAACAACAACAAAAAAAATTAAATTACAACATTCAGGGGGTAGAGGCAGGCAGATCTCTGTGAGTTCAAGGCCAGCCTGGTCTAAAGAGCGAGTTCCAGAATAGTCAAGACTATTTCACAGAGAAACCCTGTCTTGAAAAACAAACAAAAAAATTAAGAGAGAGAGAGAGAGAGAGAGGGAGGGAGGGAGGGAGGGAGGGAGGGAGGGAAAGAAAGACAGGGAGGGAGAGAGGGAGGGAAGGGGAGATAGGAGAGAGAGAGAGATTCTTTCATGATAAGAAAGTATCTGTGAGAAGCTCTATGTAAGGACCATCACTGAAGTCTCCAACATTGCAAAAGCTCAAACAGTAAATAACTCCAGACAGATGCACAGAACTCACCGCTCCAACTCAGGGAGTTTGGCCGCAAGCAGCTTGGGAGAGCTCCACTCCTGGGCAGGATGGCTCAGGGCCCTGAAGAGCTTCTGTGCACAGGAGTGCCTACAACACCGAAGGCTCAGATGAGTCCTGCACCTCCCAAAGCAAAGACACTATACACAAGGAATTCTGAGGTTCTAAGCCAGAGACCCTCACACAGCCAATACTTCCTAACTAACCCCCATGGACTTAAACCAAATGTGCATGTCCACGGAGGAAGGCTGGCCTCATTATTTTTGTTTTTATTTTTTGACAGTGGTCTCAGGTTTTAATTCTTAGTTGTAGTGGTTTGAGTGAGATGTCCCCCTCCCCAAATATGTCATGAGCATTTGACTACTTAGCCCCTGCCGGAGGCTGTTTGGGGAGAATATGGAAGTGTAGCCTTGCTAGATGAGGTTATGTCTTTGCTCTCTCTGCCGCATCTGTGGTTTGAGATGTGTGACCTCAGCTGCTGTTCCAGCCATCTGCTGCTTCCACTCCACCATCATGGATTGTTTTATTTATTTATTTTGTAGACCAGGCTAGCCTAGAACTCACAGAGATCCACCTGCCTCTGCCTCCCAAGTACTTGGATCACAGGAATGTGCCGGCCTGCCTGGTTTATGTGGGATGGGATCAAACCCATCTTGCAGGCTAGGGAAGCTCTTCTAACTGAGCCACACCCCCAGCTTGGATTTCATCTGTCTGGCTGCTTCCCCAAGGGCACCGCTACTTTCATGCTGACAACAATGACATGACTATTGGCCCTTTCAGAAGCGAAGACCCCATGTTACATAACGTGAGTTGCCCTGCAGAGAAAGCACACCCACAAAGTGTTGGGAATTGAGCACAAACGCTGGGGAGAGCCACTTACAATCTCTTTTGTTCCACAGATAATCCATCTTCCTGGATCACTTTTAAAGAAAGTCCTGAGTTATCCTGCTGTTGCCAGGGGGAGAAGACCTAAACAAAATAGAATTTAAACAAAGAACACCTTAAACCCAACAACAGGATATGGAATCCACATGGGATCTGATGACTGTTGAAAGCCAGCACTGTCAGTAGAGAGAAAAACATTCACAAGCAAGTTTGCTTCAAAAATGAGGCCGGAAAGCAATTTTGTTCAGTGTTTTTCAAAGCCAGAAATGCCTTTCTGGTTCCTGTCCTCAGAGACCATGACCTTCCAGAAGTCAGAAAGCCTGGAATAAGGTGACAGGAACACTATCCTGGCTGAAAGAACATGTTCCTCCCTGGTGACAAGACCACAAGGCAGTGGTGGCCTCAAAAGAAACCGCTTAGAGGGACAGCTGAAGGGAATGGATTGCAAAGGCTGTGTCTATGTCTCCAAGTGGGGCAGACTGGGACAGAGGATCACAAGTAAGTGGCAGGCAAGGTCAGCAGTGCTTAGAGAAAGCTGACTGCTGAGAACCCTTCAGCCCACAGTGCTCACTGCTGTTCCTGTGTAGTCTATGACACTGTCACCTCACAGTCCTCACTGCTGTTCCTGTGTAGTCTATGACACTGTCACCACAGTGCTCACTGCTGTTCCTGTGTAGTCTATGACACTGTCACCACAGTGCTCACTCCTGTTCCTGTGTAGTCTATGACACTGTCACCACAGTCCTCACTGCTGTTCTTGTGTAGTCTATGACACTGTCACCACACAGTCCTCACTGCTGTTCCTGTGTAGTCTATGACACTGTCACCACAGTCCTCACTGCTGTTCCTGTGTAGTCTATGACACTGTCACCACAGTCCTCACTGCTGTTCCTGTGTAGTCTATGACACTGTCACCACAGTCCTCACTCCTGTTCCTGTGTAGTCTATGACACTGTCACCACACAGTCCTCACTGCTGTTCCTGTGTAGTCTATGACACTGTCACCACAGTCCTTACTGCTGTTCCTGTGTAGTCTATGACACTGTCACCACACAGTCAGTCCTCACTGCTGTTCCTGTGTAGTCTATGACACTGTCACCACAGTCCTCACTGCTGTTCCTGTGTAGTCTATGACACTGTCACAGTCCTCACTGCTGTTCCTGTGTAGTCTATGACACTGTCACCACACAGTCCTCACTGCTGTTCCTGTGTAGTCTATGACACTGTCACCACAGTGCTCACTGCTGTTCCTGTGTAGTCTATGACACTGTCACCACAGTGCTCACTCCTGTTCCTGTGTAGTCTATGACACTGTCACCACAGTCAATCCTCACTGCTGTTCCTGTGTAGTCTATGACACTGTCACCACAGTGCTCACTCCTGTTCCTGTGTAGTCTATGACACTGTCACCACAGTCCTCACTGCTGTTCCTGTGTAGTCTATGACACTGTCACCACAGTCCTCACTCCTGTTCCTGTGTAGTCTATGACACTGTCACCACAGTCCTCACTGCTGTTCCTGTGTAGTCTATGACACTGTCACCAGTCAGTCCTCACTGCTGTTCCTGTGTAGTCTATGACACTGTCACCACAGTCCTCACTGCTGTTCCTGTGTAGTCTATGACACTGTCACCACAGTCCTCACTCCTGTTCCTGTGTAGTCTATGACACTGTCACCACACAGTCCTCACTGCTGTTCCTGTGTAGTCTATGACACTGTCACCACAGTCCTCACTGCTGTTCCTGTGTAGTCTATGACACTGTCACCACACAGTCAGTCCTCACTGCTGTTCCTGTGTAGTCTATGACACTGTCACCACAGTCCTCACTGCTGTTCCTGTGTAGTCTATGACACTGTCACCACAGTCCTCACTGCTGTTCCTGTGTAGTCTATGACACTGTCACCACACAGTCCTCACTGCTGTTCCTGTGTAGTCTATGACACTGTCACCACAGTGCTCACTGCTGTTCCTGTGTAGTCTATGACACTGTCACCACAGTGCTCACTCCTGTTCCTGTGTAGTCTATGACACTGTCACCACAGTCAATCCTCACTGCTGTTCCTGTGTAGTCTATGACACTGTCACCACAGTGCTCACTGCTGTTCCTGTGTAGTCTATGACACTGTCACCACAGTCCTCACTGCTGTTCCTGTGTAGTCTATGACACTGTCACCACAGTCCTCACTCCTGTTCCTGTGTAGTCTATGACACTGTCACCACACAGTCCTCACTGCTGTTCCTGTGTAGTCTATGACACTGTCACAGTCCTCACTGCTGTTCCTGTGTAGTCTATGACACTGTCACCACAGTCCTCACTGCTGTTCCTGTGTAGTCTATGACACTGTCACCACAGTCCTCACTGCTGTTCCTGTGTAGTCTATGACACTGTCACAGTCCTCACTGCTGTTCCTGTGTAGTCTATGACACTGTCACCACACAGTCAGTCCTCACTGCTGTTCCTGTGTAGTCTATGACACTGTCACCACACAGTCAGTCCTCACTGCTGTTCCTGTGTAGTCTATGACACTGTCACCACAGTCCTCACTGCTGTTCCTGTGTAGTCTATGACACTGTCACCACAGTCCTCACTGCTGTTCCTGTGTAGTCTATGACACTGTCACCACAGTCCTCACTGCTGTTCCTGTGTAGTCTATGACACTGTCACCACACAGTCCTCACTGCTGTTCCTGTGTAGTCTATGACACTGTCACCACAGTCCTCACTGCTGTTCCTGTGTAGTCTATGACACTGTCACCACAGTGCTCACTCCTGTTCCTGTGTAGTCTATGACACTGTCACCACAGTCCTCACTGCTGTTCCTGTGTAGTCTATGACACTGTCACCACAGTCCTCACTGCTGTTCCTGTGTAGTCTATGACACTGTCACCACACAGTCCTCACTGCTGTTCCTGTGTAGTCTATGACACTGTCACCACAGTCCTCACTCCTGTTCCTGTGTAGTCTATGACACTGTCACCACAGTCAATCCTCACTGCTGTTCCTGTGTAGTCTATGACACTGTCACCACAGTGCTCACTGCTGTTCCTGTGTAGTCTATGACACTGTCACCACAGTTCTCACTGCTGTTCCTGTGTAGTCTATGACACTGTCACCACAGTCCTCACTCCTGTTCCTGTGTAGTCTATGACACTGTCACCACACAGTCCTCACTGCTGTTCCTGTGTAGTCTATGACACTGTCACCACAGTCCTCACTGCTGTTCCTGTGTAGTCTATGACACTGTCACCACAGTCCTCACTGCTGTTCCTGTGTAGTCTATGACACTGTCACCACAGTCCTCACTGCTGTTCCTGTGTAGTCTATGACACTGTCACCACAGTCCTCACTGCTGTTCCTGTGTAGTCTATGACACTGTCACCACACAGTCAGTCCTCACTGCTGTTCCTGTGTAGTCTATGACACTGTCACCACACAGTCAGTCCTCACTGCTGTTCCTGTGTAGTCTATGACACTGTCACCACAGTCCTCACTGCTGTTCCTGTGTAGTCTATGACACTGTCACCACAGTCCTCACTGCTGTTCCTGTGTAGTCTATGACACTGTCACCACAGTCCTCACTGCTGTTCCTGTGTAGTCTATGACACTGTCACCACACAGTCCTCACTGCTGTTCCTGTGTAGTCTATGACACTGTCACCAGTCAGTCCTCACTGCTGTTCCTGTGTAGTCTATGACACTGTCACCACAGTGCTCACTCCTGTTCCTGTGTAGTCTATGACACTGTCACCACAGTCCTCACTGCTGTTCCTGTGTAGTCTATGACACTGTCACCACACAGTCCTCACTGCTGTTCCTGTGTAGTCTATGACACTGTCACCACAGTCCTCACTGCTGTTCCTGTGTAGTCTATGACACTGTCATCACAGTCCTCATTCTTGTTCCTGTGTAGTCTATGACACTGTCACCACACAGTCAGTCCTCACTCCTGTTCCTGTGTAGTCTATGACACTGCCACCACAGTCAGTCCTCATTGCTGTTCCTGTGTAGTCTATGACACTGTCACCACAGTCCTCACTCCTGTTCCTGTGTAGTCTATGACACTGTCACCACAGTCAATCCTCACTGCTGTTCCTGTGTAGTCTATGACACTGTCACCACACAGTCCTCACTGCTGTTCCTGTGTAGTCTATGACACTGTCACCACAGTCCTCACTGCTGTTCCTGTGTAGTCTATGACACTGTCACTACAGTCCTCACTCCTGTTCCTCTGTAGTCTATGACACTGTCACCACACAGTCCTCACTGCTGTTCCTGTGTAGTCTATGACACTGTCACCACACAGTCCTCACTGCTGTTCCTGTGTAGTCTATGACACTGTCATCACAGTCCTCACTGCTGTTCCTGTGTAGTCTATGACACTGTCACCACAGTCAGTCCTCACTGCTGTTCCTGTGTAGTCTATGACACTGTCACCACAGTCCTCACTGCTGTTCCTGTGTAGTCTATGACACTGTCACCTCACAGTCCTCACTGCTGTTCCTGTGTAGTCTATGACACTGTCACAGTCCTCACTGCTGTTCCTGTGTAGTCTATGACACTGTCACCACAGTCCTCACTGCTGTTCCTGTGTAGTCTATGACACTGTCACCACAGTCCTCACTGCTGTTCCTGTGTAGTCTATGACACTGTCACCACAGTCCTCACTGCTGTTCCTGTGTAGTCTATGACACTGTCACCACAGTCCTCACTCCTGTTCCTGTGTAGTCTATGACACTGTCACCACAGTCCTCACTGCTGTTCCTGTGTAGTCTATGACACTGTCACCACAGTCCTCACTGCTGTTCCTGTGTAGTCTATGACACTGTCACCAGTCAGTCCTCACTGCTGTTCCTGTGTAGTCTATGACACTGTCACCACAGTCCTCACTGCTGTTCCTGTGTAGTCTATGACACTGTCACCACAGTCCTCACTGCTGTTCCTGTGTAGTCTATGACACTGTCACCACACAGTCCTCACTGCTGTTCCTGTGTAGTCTATGACACTGTCACCACAGTCAGTCCTCACTGCTGTTCCTGTGTAGTCTATGACACTGTCACCACAGTCCTCACTGCTGTTCCTGTGTAGTCTATGACACTGTCACCACAGTCCTCACTGCTGTTCCTGTGTAGTCTATGACACTGTCACCACAGTCCTCACTGCTGTTCCTGTGTAGTCTATGACACTGTCACCACAGTCCTCACTGCTTGTTCCTGTGTAGTCTATGACACTGTCACCACAGTCCTCACTGCTGTTCCTGTGTAGTCTATGACACTGTCACCACAGTCCTCACTGCTGTTCCTGTGTAGTCTATGACACTGTCACCACACAGTCCTCACTGCTGTTCCTGTGTAGTCTATGACACTGTCACCACAGTCCTCACTGCTGTTCCTGTGTAGTCTATGACACTGTCACCACACAGTCCTCACTGCTGTTCCTGTGTAGTCTATGACACTGTCACCACAGTCCTCACTCCTGTTCCTGTGTAGTCTATGACACTGTCACCACAGTCAATCCTCACTGCTGTTCCTGTGTAGTCTATGACACTGTCACCACAGTCCTCACTGCTGTTCCTGTGTAGTCTATGACACTGTCACCACACAGTCCTCACTGCTGTTCCTGTGTAGTCTATGACACTGTCACCACAGTCCTCACTGCTGTTCCTGTGTAGTCTATGACACTGTCACCACAGTGCTCACTGCTGTTCCTGTGTAGTCTATGACACTGTCACCTCACAGTCCTCACTGCTGTTCCTGTGTAGTCTATGACACTGTCACAGTCCTCACTGCTGTTCCTGTGTAGTCTATGACACTGTCACCACAGTCCTCACTGCTGTTCCTGTGTAGTCTATGACACTGTCACCACAGTCCTCACTGCTGTTCCTGTGTAGTCTATGACACTGTCACAGTCCTCACTGCTGTTCCTGTGTAGTCTATGACAGTCACCACAGTCCTCATTCCTGTTCCTGTGTAGTCTATGACAGTCACCACAGTCCTCACTGCTGTTCCTGTGTAGTCTATGACACTGTCACCACAGTCCTCACTGCTGTTCCTGTGTAGTCTATGACACTGTCACCAGTCAGTCCTCACTGCTGTTCCTGTGTAGTCTATGACACTGTCACCACAGTCCTCACTGCTGTTCCTGTGTAGTCTATGACACTGTCACCACAGTCCTCACTGCTGTTCCTGTGTAGTCTATGACACTGTCACCACACAGTCCTCACTGCTGTTCCTGTGTAGTCTATGACACTGTCACCACAGTCAATCCTCACCTCTGTTCCTGTGTAGTCTATGACACTGTCACCACAGTCCTCACTGCTGTTCCTGTGTAGTCTATGACACTGTCACCACAGTCCTCACTGCTGTTCCTGTGTAGTCTATGACACTGTCACCACAGTCCTCACTGCTGTTCCTGTGTAGTCTATGACTCTGTCACCACAGTCCTCATTCTTGTTCCTGTGTAGTCTATGACACTGTCACCACAGTCCTCACTGCTGTTCCTGTGTAGTCTATGACACTGTCACCACAGTCCTCACTGCTGTTCCTGTGTAGTCTATGACACTGTCACCACACAGTCCTCACTGCTGTTCCTGTGTAGTCTATGACACTGTCACCACACAGTCAGTCCTCACTGCTGTTCCTGTGTAGTCTATGACACTGTCACCACACAGTCCTCACTGCTGTTCCTGTGTAGTCTATGACACTGTCACCACAGTCCTCACTCCTGTTCCTGTGTAGTCTATGACACTGTCACCACAGTCAATCCTCACTGCTGTTCCTGTGTAGTCTATGACACTGTCACCACAGTCCTCACTGCTGTTCCTGTGTAGTCTATGACACTGTCACCACACAGTCCTCACTGCTGTTCCTGTGTAGTCTATGACACTGTCACCACAGTCCTCACTGCTGTTCCTGTGTAGTCTATGACACTGTCACCACAGTGCTCACTGCTGTTCCTGTGTAGTCTATGACACTGTCACCACAGTCCTCACTGCTGTTCCTGTGTAGTCTATGACACTGTCATCACAGTCCTCACTGCTGTTCCTGTGTAGTCTATGACTCTGTCACCACAGTCCTCATTCTTGTTCCTGTGTAGTCTATGACTCTGTCACCACAGTCCTCATTCTTGTTCCTGTGTAGTCTATGACTCTGTCACCACAGTCCTCATTCTTGTTCCTGTGTAGTCTATGACACTGTCACCACACAGTCAGTCCTCACTGCTGTTCCTGTGTAGTCTATGACACTGTCACCACAGTCAGTCCTCATTCCTGTTCCTGTGTAGTCTATGACACTGTCACCACAGTCCTCACTCCTGTTCCTGTGTAGTCTATGACACTGTCACCACAGTCCTCACTGCTGTTCCTGTGTAGTCTATGACACTGTCACCACAGTCCTCATTCTTGTTCCTGTGTAGTCTATGACACTGTCACCACACAGTCAGTCCTCACTGCTGTTCCTGTGTAGTGTATGACACTGTCCCCACAGTCAGTCCTCATTCCTGTTCCTGTGTAGTCTGTGACTCATCATGAAGAGAGGACACTGGTGTAATCACAGCCTTCCAAGAATGTCTATCAGTTGTAATGCTAACTAGCCATTATTCTGGCTTTGGCTACTGTGTGGTCTCTACGTGCATCACATAATTTATTCATCTCAAGAGGGCCTCACACTCACTGTGTAGCTGAGGTTAATCTCAGAACTCCCGATTCCCTGTTTCTACCTTGGAAGTGCTGGAATTATAAGCATGTGACAGGATACCTTGTGAAGTCACAGAATTCTTGGTAAAGTCCTTCCCTTATATCATATGTACTGAGGATGTACAGTAAGCTTACTACCATGTAGAGCCACTTGCAAAGGCAAGAAGGGAACTGCAGTCACAGGGAAGGACAGCATGGGGTGGGTTAGAGAGCTGCAGCTCAGAAGGGCCTGTTATTTAGTAAAATAGCTGAAACTCTCAATATAATTGGGAGTTAAGAGGGGACAAGCAGATTTCATTTCTGTAGGTTCCACCTTTCAAACACCAAAGGGATTAGCAAAACACCAGCTATGCTTTCATTCCTCAAGTCCTCTCAACACTTGTTGTTAAACTTTTTGTTGTCATTCATGCTTTTAGGGAGTGTCTTATATAGCCCAGGCTGGCCTTGAATACCTTATATAGCTGAGGCTAGCTAACCTTGACCTCCCAATCCCTCTGCCCCCACCTCCTAGGTACTACGGTTACAAATTTGCATTACTACACCTAGCTTCAACTTTCACTAGAGTCACATCACTGTTAGTTCTTTGTAATTAAAAAAACATTAAGTTTTATTTGTATAGGTCTTTTTCTGTGTGTTTGGTACCAAACGTGTGCACACCTCAGAGGCCACAAAAGGGCATTAGAAGCCTGGAAGTGGAGTCACAGATGGTTGTGAGCCACCATGCAGACGCGTCAGTCCTTTGCAAGAGCAGTGGTGCTCTTTACCTCTGAGTTCTCTCTTCAGGGGCTCCCCAATCCCTTCTTTTGGAGAAAGGGTCTCACTGGGTGGCTTTAGGTGGCCTGGGACCACTACAGAGATCCACCTGCCTCTGCCTCCCAAGTACTGGGATTAAAGGACTGAGCCACCACTCCAGGCTTTACCATTAGTTTGTTCTAAGACACCATCTTACCATTTCAATTGCTAGGGGGGAAAAGTGGCTATTTTGCTAACTTGATAGATAACTTATGTTACCTCTGAGTAAAAGGCTTGATAGATCTTTGATTTGGGGAAAAGGGCAATCATCAGGAAATTGCTGGATCCATGGAACTGAACTGGGAGATGAGGAAGCAGTGAGCCTCTGAAGTTGATGAGAAGGGCGGCCACCACACTGGTGGAGTCCTAGAAAGGGAAAGAGGCATCAGAAGAGAGTCCATCTGCAGGGTTTCACTCCACTGGTGTCAGCACACGCAGCACCAACGCGTTTCAATAATTTCCACAGAAAATGGATTACTGACTTTAGCAACAGACATGTTCTCCAGCTCCTAGCTACAGGAGATATTGGAACTCTGTTATTTGGTGGGGGGGCATGGTCTCACCAAAGGCCAAACTAGCCTTCAACTCACAATCCTCCTGCCTCAGTTTCCCAAACAGCTGGGATCAGAGACGTGTGTTGTCACATTAGCTTAGATACATATTTTCCCAAACTGAAAATGTCAGCTCAAAATTCCTTCTAAGGTATTGCCTTAGGGAGGATGGGGTGGGGTTGAGTCATGGTCTCATGAAGTCCAGGCTGGACTCAGCTTACTATGTAGTACAGTACAACCCTGAATTTCTGAAAGTCCTTTTCTAGTTCCCTAACTGGGGTTAAGGCTTGTGTCATTTCTCTCAGGTAAGGTATTAATTTATCATATATAGGATTTCTGCCATTTGGTGAATTGTTTTTCATTCTTTTGAGAGTGTCCTTTGATGTACAGAAGCTGTTAAAATTTATCTTTAGTTTTTGGAAAGGGTTTTGCTATAAAGCCTAGACAGGCCTGGAACTCACGGTGAGTGAGCCTCATTGCTTCAGCCTCTCAAAATGTTGGGATTGCAGCCATCATGCTCAGCTAGTGTAATTTTTAATAATTACCTGAGTCAGAGAGATGGCTCAGCTGGTAAAAGCGCTTGCTGCGACCTTGATAACCCTGGAGTGTCATGTGAAGAGGGAAAGAAGTCCCACGAGATCTCTGACTTCCACCCATACCCACATTGAACTCTGTGATTAAAATGACATGTGCATCTGTGTGTACAAGGGTGCATGCACATCACAGTGCACACCTGGAGACCAGAAAGCGGCTTTGCGGAGCTGGTTGTCTCCTTCTGCCACGAGGTCTGGTGATGGAACTCTGTCATCAGGCTTGCACTGCAAGTGCTTTTACTTACTGAGTCTAGCGAGCCAGAAAACCTAATGGTTTCTAAGATTTATGTATTTACTTTATGTGTGATGTATGTTGTCTGTACACCACATGTGTGTCTGGCATCTAAGGAGGTCAGAAGGGAGCGTTACACCCGCTGGAAGTAGAGTGATGGATGGTTGAAAGTCACCATGTGGGTGCTGGGAATTAAATCCAGTTCCTCACAAGCTCTTAACCACTGAGCCATCTCTCCACCCTCTGAAAAGATTATTTAGTGTAGTTATTCTTCTGCTGTCTGTACTTTTGGGGAACTAAAGAAGTCAGCAGCAAGCCGGGCGTTGGTGGCGCACGCCTTTAATCCCAGCACTTGGGAGGCAGAGGCAGGCGGATCTCTGTGAGTTCGAGGCCAGCCTGGTCTACAGAACGAGTTCCAGGACAGCCTCCAAAACAATACAGAGAAACCCTGTCTCGAAAAAAAAAAAAAAAAAAAGTCAGCAGCAAATCCAATGTCATGAAGCTTCTCCCCTGCTGTGTCTCTTAAGAGCTTTATTGTTTTAGCTTTCCTGTTTAGGTTTGGATACATTTTGAGTAATCATTTTTGACTTGGTATTAGGGTCCAACTTCATTTTCTGGTGTGGATATACAGTTTCTCTAACATCATTTGCTGAAAAGACTATGCTTAAGGCTGAAGATAGTTCAGTGGTTAGAAGCACTTCCAGAGGACCTGGGTCCATTCCCAGTACCTACATGGTAGGTAGTTCACATCATTTGCAACTTCCAGGAGATCCAAACCTGCTTCTGGCTTCTGTGGGCATCAGGCACACATGTGGTACACAGACATACATGTACACACATACACATAAAATAAACAAACACATAAAAAAACAAATTAAAAAAAAAACTGTACTTTCCTCAATAGACCACTGTGAGTTCCAGGCCAGTCAGGACCACATAAAGAGACCCTGTATCAAAAAATGAAAGGAAGAAAGAACAGAAGAAAAAGAAAGGAAGACCTGAGTTTGGAGTATTAGAACCTACACAAGTAAATGTCTTGGAAGGTCTCAACTTTGGAGCAAGCTGCTAGCAAGGTGACCTGTATCAATGAGCTCTGGCTGTGACAAAGATACCCTGTCTCAAAAGATAGGAGATCCCAGCCTTTAATCCCAGCATGCAGGAGGTGGAGGCAAAGGCAGAGGTAGAGGCAGAGGCAGAAGCAGAGAGACAGAGGTAGACTGATCTCTGTGAGTTTGTGGTCAACATAGAGAGTTCCAGAACAGCAAGGTCTATACCATGAGAGCCTATCTAAAGGTAAGAGAGGTGGAAAGAACAACGGAACAAGATAACTTGCTATCACCCTCAGCCTTCCACATGCATGTCCATGGAGTGGGGTGTTGTATGGCACTCCTTTAATACCAGCACACAGGTGGCAAAGGCAGGCTGACCTTTGTGAGTTAAAGGACAGCCTGGTCTACATAAAGTAGTAGCCCCCCCTGAGCTAACAGTGAGACCTTGTCTCAAAAACATGAAACGAAACTCAATATAAAGTTAGAGTAACCTAACAGCATGGTACAAATAGAACAGTCTGGATTATGCCCAGGCTGTGCTTGAACTCACAGAGTGCCACAATTAAAGGCCAATGCCACCAAGTCCAGTCTCAGGCTGGACAAGTACTCCAACCACTGAGCCATTTCCAGCCCTTCTTTAGAACTTAACTTTATTTATTTTTTTGTGTTTTTTTTGAGACATTTATAAGAGCAAAAGTTAAATTTTAAGTTTGAATTACTATGCCTTACAGATTCACTAAACAAAAATGGCTCTGATCTGCAAGCCCCTTGCCCAAGGACAGATAGTTCCAGAAATGCTGGAGGCTATTGTTTATGGGAAATAACAAGCCAGCCACATTTTCACTTCCCTAACTAGTTTGCCTGACCCATCTGCACCTGATGTGTTTGATCACATGTGGGTGGGAGGTTCATATGAGGCACATATGCTTGCCCCTGATTGACCTGATGGGAATGCAGTGAATCATGGGTTTTCCTTCTTAAGTTCTTGCCATACTTGATTCTGGGCCGTTTCCCAGGAACCCGGATATGGACCTGGTGAGAGCCCATCCACCGGGCCAGTATTTAATTAAAGCTGAGTTTAAACTGTGGTAGTGTCTTATTCTTGACCAGCTGGATGTCATGTGATTGTCTGCTTCAAGTCATTACTGCTGTGACTTCCCTGCCACTGTGAACTGCAGCCTGTGACTCCTTTCTTTCTAAATTGCTTTTTGTCAGAGTACTTTGTCACAACAGAAATGAAACTTGTACACAGGTCTCTTTAATGCTGGCTGGCATGGAACTTCCTATGTGGACCAGGCTGGCCTCAAACTTGTGGCAATCTTCTTGCCTCTTCTCATGAGTGTTGGGTCACAGGCATGCACCAAAACACCTAGGGCTCTTAAATATTTCCTAAGCTTAGAAAGTCTTTCTGCCTCTACAGATTAATGGACATTCATTTTTATGTCTTTTATACCTATGAAATTTTACAATATTTAATTTGGGGCTGGAGAGATGGCTCAAGGAGTAAAAGCACTTGCCACACAGCTTGATAACCTAAATCTGATGTTCACAGTGGAAGGCAGACCTGACTTCTAAAGACTGCCCTCAGACTTCCACGTGTGCACTGTGGGATATGAGTGGCTCTTCCTACCAGTAATAAAGTTAAAACTATTTAACTCTAGTACACATTTGTTTGAATTAAAAAGAGATTTTTTTCTTGTTTTTTTGAGACAGGGTTTCTCTGTGGCTTTGGAGGCTGTCCTGAAACTAGCTCTTTTAGACCAGGCTGGGCTCGAACTCACAGAGATCCACCTCGCTCTGCCTTCCAAGTGCTGAGATTAAAGGTGTGCACCACCACCGCCTGGCGAGATTTATTATTTTTTATTACACATATGTGTGCATGTCTGCATGTGAGTGCAGGTACCAGGAGAGGCCAGAGAAGGAGTTGAATCCTCTTGGAGTCTGAGTTAAAGCTAGTTGTGAATGGCTCAACACGGGGTCTACAGAAGAGCAGCAAGAGCTTTTAGTCACTGAGCCATCTCTTCAGACCCTACTTTGAACTTTTTAATGAGATAAGAATCCACTCCCACAGTTGGGAGTGGCAGTGCACATCTTTACTCCCAGCACTAGGAAGGCAGAGGCAGGAAGGATCTCTGAGTTTGAGGCCAGTCTGGTCTACCTAATGAGTTCCAGGACAGCTAAGGCTATATGGAGTCCCATCTCAAACATAATAAAAACAAAAACCAAACAAACAAAAACTACTCCCCCCAAATTAGCCAACCTTGTTATCATACTACTGTTTCTTCATTTTTGTTTTTAAAAATATATTTTAGGCCGGGCGTTGGTGGCGCACGCCTTTAATCCCAGCACTTGGGAGGCAGAGGCAGGCGGATCTCTGTGAGTTCGAGACCAGCCTGGACTACCAAGCGAGTTCCAGGACAGCCTCCAAAGCCACAGAGAAACCCTGTCTCGAAAAACCAAAAAAAAAAAAGTATATATATATATATATATATTTTACTTTATGAATGTTTTGCTTGCATATATGTATGTGCAGCACATGTGTGCCTGGTGCTCATGGAGGCCAGAAAACAACATCAGATCCCCTGGAACTGGAGTTATGGATGGTTATGAGCTAACATGTGGTTGCTGGGATCTGAACCTGGGTTATCTGCAAGAATAACAAGTGCTCTTCACTCTCCCCAAACCCATTTTTTTTCTTGGTTTCCCGAGACAGGGTTTCTCTGTGTAGTTTTGGAGCCTGTCCTGGAACTCACTCTGTAGACCAGGGGGCCTCAATCCTCCTGTCTCTGCCTTTTGAGTGCTGGGATTAGGGGCACACGCCACCATTGCCTGGCCTATTTCTCTTTTCTTCCTCTAGAAGAGCTGTGAGTGCTCTTAACTGCTAAGCCATCTCGCCAGTCTCTCCAGCACTGTTTCTGTTTTTAACTTTCTTTTTACTTATTCTTGTGTCTTTCACATCATGCATCTCCATCCCATTCATTTCCCCATCCCTTTGTATCTGCCCTCTGCCCTTGCAACCTCCCCCACAAAACAAAATAAAATAAAATTTAAGAGAGAAAAAAAAAGAAAAATCAATCTCATCATGGAAGCTGCAGTGTGTGACAGTGAGTCATGCAGTAAACCCTTCCTTTATTCATGTATCGTTACTTGCAAGTGTTCACTGTGAAGAGTCACTGGTCTGGTTCAAGGCTTCTGGTTTCTGCTATCCTATAGATGCTGGGCCCTGGCTGGAACTCCTTTTGGTTATCCTACTGTTGCCCTGTGTCATGGAGATCCTGTAGCTTTGGCTCTGCAGGACTGTCCCTTCATATGCTCCAGTAGATCATAGATGGGGTGGATATTGTCGTGGGCCAGCTCATAATCCTGGGTAGTTGCAGGGTTGGCCAGCCCACCAGCTCTCCCTTGTCCTGTCTACCAGGGTGAGCTTTCCTGTATTGCCTTGGCTAGTTCACCCCTTGAAAAGCCATGGGCAAGGGGCAGGGCCAAGTCTCTGGCTTTTACATCCTCAGGGTCAGTTCTCCCACACCTACACCTGCAGGGCTGGCTCTACTGTGCTGCACAGGTGAGGTGCAGGGCCTGCTCTGGCGGGCAGATCTCCAGCTCTTATGATGAGTAATAGGAACAGCTCTCCCATGCTCACAACTTTGAGGCTGGCTCACCTAGACCTCTGCCAATGAGGTTGCCAAGCACTGTTTCTTAAATAACTTGTATAAACTTTCTTTCTTGATCTTAGATAACTACTTTTGTTGTTGTTGTTTTGAGACAGTTTCTGAGTAGCCCTGGGTGCTCTGAAATTCACTCTGTACACCAGGCTGGCCTTAAACTCAAGAGGTCCCCCTGCCTCTGTCTCCCAAGTGCTGTGATTAAAGGCATGTGCCACCACTGCCTGGCTTATGTTCAAAGACTATTTATAAACACTAATATCAAAACTCTTGGGATGGAGAGATGGCTCAGTGATTTAGGAGTGTTTGCTGCTTTCTCAGAGAACCTGAGTTCAGTTCCCTGCAACCCATGTTGGGTAGGTTATAACCACATGTAATTCCAACTCCAAGGGATCCAATGCCTCCCCCGGCTTTCATAGGCAACTGTACTCATGTGCACATACTCGCATACAGTCACATAATTCTTAAAAATTAAAAACCTAAACAAATCCTCTTTTATCTAATAAGGCCATCCAATCTGAACAGTTTTTAGGGTTTTGTTGAAGACAGTTTTGATCATAAATTCATCTGTTGAGCCATTTTGCCAAATCACTTCAATTCACCTCTATTTTAGTTGCCAAACAGCCTTTGAGGCTGAGCCCAGACCGAGTGGAAGGGCTATACTCCACTGCTGCATCGAGAGACTGACTATGCTCTGCTCTGGCCAGGGAGCACAGGACAAGGGAAACTCTGGACCATCACCTTCTCCCAAAGGGGAGAAGCCTGGTAAACAATGATGTTCTTAGGGAAGCATATTTATGGAGGTAGAGGGTAAACTTGAGTGTGTGAGAGGGAGGTGTTAAATTCTCATGGAGAAAGTGAGCAATTTTTTACCTCTTCTGTGCACATACAGTTCTTCCCTGTGGTTAAGGGTTATGTTAGAGCCCCATCCATGCCACAGAATGAACCTTCCAGTTTTGGGGTGTGAGCCACTGGAGGTCTTTTTCAGCTATTTTCCACTGTCTTTAGGATGACTGACTTGGGCGCGGGGCTGGCTCTTCTGACTCAGGCCTTACTAGCAAAGCATACAAGTTTTCTGAGAGTATGCAGTCCTCTCCTCATCCCTCCCTGGCCTGCTTCAATGTCTACTGTGGTTTCTGACATCCAGTTGCATGATATCGCAGAAGGGAAAATGGAATGTATTTTAGAGGGGGTTGAAAAGCCAGGGGTTGAAGAACCACATACCCCATCATAGAAGGACACAGAATTCATGTGATCCTTGGAAATGATGATACTTCCATGATGACGGTGAGAAAACAGAAGGCCACCAGAGAAGAAATGCACATTCCCTATAAGAAAAAGAATGCTGGTCAGACTGGGGTGCTAGATTCTTGGCTAGATTCCAGAGTCCATCATCTTGAAGGTACTAGAGTGACAATGTAACCTTCCTGAAAGGAGAAGAGATAGTTTAAAGAGAGACACTTATGCCTCAAGTATTGAAACAATGGATCCCAATGAATTAAAATTTCCCAAGGAATCTTTTTTTTTTTTTTTTTTGGTTTTCGAGACAAGGTTTCTCTGTGGCTTTGGAGGCTGTCCTGGAACTCACTCTGTAGACCAGGCTGGCCTCGAACTCACAGAGATCCACCTGTCTCTGCCTCCCAAGTGCTGGGATTAAAGGTGTACGCCACCAACACCCGGCTTCCCAAGGAATCTTATGCTGTGAAAAGGGAAAGCCTGCAGTCCCGACACCAGTGAGAGAAGGAACCTGCCTCCTAGGAACAGATTTCACACACTTCTGAGGCAGGCTAGACAGGGCAGAGACGATGATAAACACATGATGAGTGGGATAGCACTGTAATCAGAACTGTTCAAATGGGCATCCTTTTGCCGTGTGTGTGTGTGTGTGTGTGTGTGTGTGTGTGTGTGTGTGTGTGTGTGTGTTTGAGACAGGGTTTCTCTGTGTAGTCCTGGCTGTCCTGCTGTCCTGGAACTCCATGTAGATCAGAGATCTAACCTGCTTCTGTCTCCAAAGTGCTGTGATCAAAGGTATGTGTCATCTTGCCTAGCTTCTTGCCCACTATTTAAAACTAAATCTTGGGATCAAAATAGTTTACTACTCAGAACATCATAAAACTGGGTTGTAGTTCATGCTTATGATCCCATGACTCAGAAAGCAGAAACAGGATGCTTAGGGAGTTCAACATCATCTTTGGCTATATAGTAAATCAAGGCCAGATTGGACTATATAATAAATGAAAAGTCAACTAAACTATTAACTCTAAAACACAGCCCCCCCACCAAATACCAATGAAACAGAAAACCAAAACACCACTCTAAACAGAACTTGGAAAATAGACTCGGGCATCACTGTACTCCATGATTTGACCCTTTTTCTATTGAGACTATATGGGATTCATTTCTGTTCTCTGATTTTTACTACTGCTCGTCTCTTTAATGGCTGTGCTGGGGTGGGTGGCTCAGTCTAGCCTGTGTGGTAGCTTGCTGTGTCTTTGGGAGCCAGGGAAAAGAAAAACCGGAAAAAGCCATGTAGACTAAGCAAGGACCTCAACTCTGCATGAACCTGACCACATCTTTCCTACAATCCACTCCCTGTTTAGCAAGAGACCTTGACGGAAGGGCAGTGAGACTGCTATACAGTTTACTCACTGCCAAAATGCTTACAGAGACCTTGCTACATCCCCAAGTGGCTGTCCCTTCCTTCACATCTAGGTCATCTTTAGAATATCACCTTTTTGTTTATTTAAACAACCAATAAAATCATAAGTTAAACTACATAGGAGACTGTAAGAAACATTAAAAAAATCAGGCTTCCTATTAAACACTGTAAAATTTTTGCTTATAGAAATTCAAATCCTTTTATCTTCCCCTGGAGAAGACTATGCCAAATGGTGTGATCCTCTTTGTTTAGGGTAGACAAAGACCCTGCTGCATTTCTTAGAACTTAAGTCACATAATTATCTGTGGCACCCCCCTCCTTCATTTCCCTTCTGATGATGCTTTAAAAATTAGCCAATCTCAAAAGGCTGTGAGGTCAGACCCTAGGGAAAAGACATAGTCACCACCTGCGTTAGAATAAAAACCAAGCAACGCCCTGTCTTAGCGTGTGGTCAGCCTGGTTTGGGTCTTGATGCACCTGCACCTTTTTTTACAAAAGAACTGGAGAGTTGAGCTACTTACTTTGTTTGACACCCAGAATATTCTTTATGCTTCTGACAGAAACAGAGAAGCAAGTCATAGAAAAGCCGTTTCACTGTATTTGTTGTTCGATCCCCACCCCACCCTGCAATAAGACTCTTAATGAGATGGTTAGCATAAGTAAGAGCTGTTTTTCTGAAGATGTCCGGACTCTTCACTGGGGCTGCAGAGACCAAGCTTTCACACAATAACTCCAGTATCGGTAACTAGACACCACTATTATGTGCACTTATATAACCTGTAGCCGATCCATCGGCTCTGGGGAAGCTCAAATAGCTTTACAGAGCCAAAAAAACGTAGAAACAAAGCACACACAGTTTTTGCATAAGAATGAGAGGAAAAAAGAGTAGGCGAGGCAGCTCGGTGAGCGCCTGTAATTCCTGCATTCTGGAAGCTGCGGTAGGAGGACTGCCTGGAGCTTAAGGCTAGCCTGGGCAACATAGTGAGTACAAGGCTGGCCAGAGCTACATAAAATAACCCTGTTTCCAAAAAGAAAAAAAAAAAAAAAAGGAAAAACAAAATAGGAACAAGCATATGTATTGTCAGCTGATGTGGAGAAGCAAAATCCACATTCTCTTACTGGGCATCTTCAAGGGATGTATGTTTTATTTGGATGTGTCTGCTCTATTTGTGAGAAAAAAATTTAAATCTCCCTAACCTTGTAAAATCTGTATGCAAATCTTTTAATCTCTGCCACCTGGTAATTTTTTTTTTACACAAAGCTTCCTCTGCATTCCCAGAACTTGATAGAACTTGTCCCCGTCCCTCTTTCTATCATTTCCTTTGTGCTGATTTTTTTTTTTTTTTTTTTTGGTTTTTCGAGCCAGGGTTTCTCTGTATTGTTTTGGAGGTGTGCTGATTTTTTTTAATTAGCCAGTCTTAAAGATTGTGAGGTTAGACCCCAGCCTATCAGAAAAGACAGTGACTACCTGTGTTAGAGTAACAATCAAGAGTGCTTCTTCTTTTTTTACTTATAACTAAAACATTTATTTTTATCATTTATGGGTGTGCAGAGTCACTTGCCCACCTCCATTCCAGGAATATCTACCTTATGGCATTACTTTATTTTTATCTATTTTTATTTTTAAATTTAAGTTAGAAACAAGGTTGCTTCACATGTCAATTTCAGGTCCCTCTCCCTTTCCCTTCCCTCCTCCCACTAAACCCCCCCCCCAACCCCCAGTGCTTCTGGTTAGGTCTCAAGCCCAAGATAAGCTTCACTCACTACCTGTGGCTCCTCCCAGTGCTCTTTACCAAGCCCTCCACTCTCCACCTTTTCCTTCCAGGGCTGGGCATCCATTTCCCTTCCCCTAGCCTGATGCCTGTATAACAGCCACTTTGGCTAGCCTGGAATGCCTCTCTTGGGTGGTGGCTTCCCTCCTGCTCTCCTTTTCCTCTTTCCTTTCATGATCTGGTTTAGCTGGCATGTTCAGCCTGGGCTCTTCCTCAATCTCCATACTCTAGTAGTCAAAGCCTCCTTCTAGTTCATTTTTTCATTTCCTAGCCCAGTTTGGGTTCTGGTACATCCTTTTTGCACAGAGAAATTACCTTGCTAGGTTACTTTTGCTTTGTTGTGTGGTCCCCAAGATTATTCTTTGTTTCTAACACATTGGTGAGTTCATAAATTCTTTCTCCAGGTTTGGCAGGAGCCAGCTCAACCCTGAGGAGATCATATTGCTCATCTTGGGCCCAAGAAGAAGAAATGGTGGAATGTAAAAAATAAATTAATTTAAAAAAAAGAAGTGAGGGCTGGAGAGGTGGCTCAGAGGTTAAGAGCACTGGCTGTTCTTCCAGGGGTCCTGAGTTCAATTCCCAGCAACCACATGGTGGCTCACAACCATCTGTAATGAGATCTGGTGCCCTCTTCTGATCTGCAGGCGTACATGCAGACAGAACACTGTATACATAATAAATAAATCTTTAAAAAAAAAGTGAAGAAAAAACAACCCCCCCCCAAAAACAACAAAACCAAACTTGTTAAGAGCAGAAATCATGCCTTCTTCATTTAAGAAAAAGAAGTAACGGTACAGTTATTTTACAAGACCTAATAGTTCCTTTTTTCTTTTCCTTTCTTTCTTCTTTAGATTTATTTTATTTGATGTGCATGAGTGTTTGCCTATACCACATGCATGCTGGTGCCCACAGAAGTCAGAAGAGGGTCAAATAGCCTGAACCTGAAGTCAGATGGTTGTAAGCTACCATGTGGATGGTTATTGCTCTAGTCCCTGGGAACTTTCTTTTTAAGTTTTTCTTTTCTTTTTATTTGATGTACATGAGTGTTTTCCTGTAATATATGTGTGTGCACCACGTGTGTACAGTGGCTGTGGAAGCCAGAAGAGGGTGTTGGATGTCCTGGGAGTATAGTTACAGATGATTGTGAGTCATCTTGTAGGTGCTGGGAACTGGGCCCAAGTCTTCTTCGAGACTTAAGTAGAACAGAGTAGAAATCACCAGCTATTAGATATTGATACAGTGACTTTTTTAGTGATTTACTTAAAGCATTACTTGTACTGATCATTTCCAACTATGATTTCATTTGTTACGTGGAACAGAGTGACCTGGAGAAAAAGCTGAAACAATGGGTCACTACCCTTAATAACCTCATACCAGTCAACTAATACATACACCTTAAAAAAAGGCTGACTGCCATATACTTATGTAACCCTCTCCTGCTTGCTCACCCCATCTTGTGAGTTTAGGGTACAAACGAGAATGTAAACGACACAAACTGAGGCCTCTCAGGAACTACCTGGTTCCAATCTCCCCGTGAATATGTCTCCTCTTTCCAGTGCTTATTCCAGAAAGATTCCCACAAGATCAGCCAACACTTTTAACTGCTGGGCCATCTCTGCAGTCCTAACGTTCTTTTTTAAAACATCTGTCACCAGCTTCATGTGGACACAAGGGAAGTGAACAGGGTGCAGAGTAAAGGCAGACTCTCCGACCGACCATTTTCACTGTCCCACGTGTGTGACCCGAGCCTAACTCTCCTAAAGGAATCAAAACAAAGCGCTATCAAGCCTAATGGCCACAGGGAGAGTTAAGGAGTGAGAATCAACCACTCACCAAAGCCTGTTACGAAATAATAACCTACACATACACGGTCAGTTGATTTTCAACAAAGACAATT